TGTAATTTATATTTGGCTTCCTTTTTCTTTGATTGAAATTGTACATATTCCAGAAGGATCTCTGCCGAACCCGTTTACTTGCATGATGTTACATAAACCATTACAGCCGCCCGCGCGGTTGGACCGGTTATTTGTGTGTCCAGTAGAAATGTGATGCAAATCAAAATCACAGGTTCGTTGTTGATTCATAGAATGTAGTCTCGGTGTCTCTATTTGATGTATATTCGACCTTCGAATGGTTTCAGAGTTTCAAATACAGAAACCTCGTAATTGCCGACCAGCAGCTTCATCCCAGAAGTCCTCTCAGCAAGCTTGAACGGCTGGCTTTGCGCCGTAAAGTTCAAGATAATCAAAGCCTCCTTCTCCTCTCTGCTCTTCAAAAAGCAAAATGTTGCTGGATTCTCACGATCCAATACCTCAAAGGCCCCATGAATAAACAAATCTCGATACGTCTTCCTAAGCGTGAGCAGTTGCTTCCAAAATGATAGCACGCTTCCCCCCTCCGACTCTTGCTGCTTCACATTAATCTCAGGGTATAAGTCATGAGCTCTCATCCAAGGTTTGCCAGTTGTAAAGCCCGCATGCGGAGAATCATCCCATTGCATAGGCAATCGAGAGTGATCACGAGCGAGAATCCTCAGTCCGTCCATTATTTTCTTTTTGCGCAAAGTATCGATGCCGCTTTTTTCTAGGGACTCGGCTTCACGATAATAGCCCAGTCCCTCGATATCGCGATACTCATCAATAGGCCACTCAGGCGGCGCATTGATCATGCCAATTTCCTGCCCCTGGTAAAGAAACAAGGTGCCTGTCATGCAGACCATCATAATCGCAAGCATCTTCGCGCTGATCTCACGAAAAGCGGGGGAATCGTTGCCAAATCGCGATACAGAGCGCCCGTTATCATGATTCTCACAGAACGCTGTCGTCCATCCATCGCTTCCCTCGACAAAGCTCTGCCACTTGTAGACGACATCCTTCAACTTTGTCAATTCCCATGGGTGAAAAATGTATTTGTCCTCTAAGGCGCCCATCCCGATATGTCCGATGTCAAGATGGAATACCATGCTCAACTCCTTCGCTGACGCGCCGACATATTCCAAGACTTGTTTGGGATCGGGCGTATTCGCTAGCTCACCGACAGTAACGACATCCCCATATGGCGCGAGAGCGGTGTCATACATCTCGCGCAGGAACTCGTGAATACGTGGCCCGTTGCACCACATTGGGATTGCTGGTTGGATATAACTTTTGGGATCGACGATTGATACATCGGGGAAGGAGGTGTGTTTGCTGTATTTGTTGACCGTGTCGACGCGGAAGCCGTCAATACCCTTCTCCAGCCAGAAGTGGACTGCGCTTTCGTAGATTGCTTGTCGCGTAGATTCGTTGTCCCAATTCAAATCCGGTTGGCTGGGGGCGTAGAGATGGAGGTAGTATTCTTGAGTGTGCTCATCCCATGTCCCTAAAAATCACCGAAGGTCTATATTAGCATCATCGTCTCATATGAATCGACACGGTTTTAGTTGAAATTGATTCGGTGACAACAAACATGTACTCCCCGCAAAATATCCTCGATAGTTGCTCGGAGGCAGACGGTTCCCTTGTTCATCATATCGCGGTGGGCGCCAGAAGTACCAATCTCGTTTGGGATTATCTTTGCTGCTGCGACTCTCCTTGAACCATTCGTGTTGATCGCTGGTATGGTTGACAACGAGGTCAAGAATAAGCTTCATTCCCCGTTCATGGCATGCCTGTATCAGCTTTTCGACATCTTGAACTGTTCCGTACGCCGGGAGAACATTCTCATAGTCCGAGACGTCGTAGCCCATGTCGTGCATGGGCGAGTCGTACATTGGAGACAACCAGACGACATCGATTCCCAGCGAGTGGAGGTAGGGGACTTTTGCGATAACACCGGGAATATCACCCCAGCCGTCACCGTTCGAATCATAGAAGGAAGCTGGGTATACCTTGAAATATGTTAGTGAAGCAATTCAAAGTTGCTATTGTGCCAAAATACCTGGTAAACCGTTGCCTCCTTCCACCAGTTGTTCGCCCCTGTCGGCACGACCTTTGAAATTATTTCTGCATGGGGTGACATGATTCAAGTCTGTACCGGGCAAGACTCAACCTATCCGAAAAGAAAATAGCTCTTTATATTATTTCATTCTCGGCGTCCGCTCGGATGCTGTTGCTAATAGCCCCGCTCCATATTCCCGCCAAGGGTCCGAAACGTATCTGAGCATCGCCGACTAACGACCGACTAACTGCCGGAAACGTGAAATGTCCACTCCGATTCGCCAACATACTAACTCCACTCTTCTGCTTCCCCAGTTTTTCTCCAATTGCTGCTTCGGCTGCACTTTTCTTCCCCGGATCCACGACCTGCATGTCGCGCCACGGCACGGACAGTGCACATGCTGTGTGCAATATAAATCATACGACTTTTCCCTCGATTGCAAAGATCATGTCGCAAACGACGAACGAGATGCAGCCTGGCGTCTAAGACTCATATCTCCTCGCTCGATTATATTCCGAATATCTCACAACCCCAGTTGGTTGATAGGGCTGTTTTCCAATGAGTCTTTCATTGCAACATACGACTGGAGGGGATGGACTGGATGCCAAACAACCTGCTCTGCTGCAGGGTCAGCAGGCTGCTAAGAAGGAGCAGTCTATGACACTACGGGAAGCAGTGAAGCTGTACCCCAAAGCTGTCGGCTGGTCTGTGCTCCTCTCATCAACCCTTATCATGGAGGGATACGATCTCGCCCTGCTTAGCTCCATGTACGCCTCGCCAGCTTTTAACCAGAAATTCGGTGTCGAAGGACCAGACGGTAAATGGGCTGTTCCAGCCTCCTGGCAATCCGGCCTATCTAACGGAGCGCGATGCGGAGAGGTAATCGGACTCCTAATCAACGGTCTTGTCTCCGAGCGTCTGGGGTACAGACGCACTATGATATGTGCCCTGGCGACAATTACCGCGGTAATCTTCATTTTCTTCTTCGCTGTCAATGTTGAGATGCTCCTTGCTGCGGAGATCTTGGCCGGCATACCTTGGGGTATCTTCCAAACATTACCTGCTGCTTATGCGTCGGAAGTTTGCCCGGTCGTCCTTCGTCCATACCTGACCACCTTCATCAACATGTGCTGGGTCTTCGGTCAATTTGTCGCGGTCGGCGTGAACCGAGGATCTATATCGCGCGATGACCAATGGGCCTATCGGATTCCCTTCGGTGTGCAGTGGGTGTGGCCATTGCCCATCATGCTGGGCTGTCTTTTTGCTCCTGAATCGCCTTGGTGGTATGTCCGACAAGGGAACGTTCAAGGGGCTCGACGAGCTCTGCAAAGACTTACGTCTGGTAGCGATCCCAATTTCGATATAGATGACACGCTCGCTATGATTCAGCATACCAACGAGCTGGAGGCGTCTCTCTCGAGTGGAACATCGTACTGGGATTGTTTCAAGGGCACAAACCTGCGCCGGACAGAAGTTGTATGTGTTGTGTGGCTGGTTCAAACGCTCTGTGGCCAGAATCTGATGGGTTATTTTGCCTATTTCATGGTCCAGGCTGGTCTACCCCCTATCCAATCCTTCAATTTATCGCTGGGACAATATGCACTTGGTGTGATTGGTACACTGGGATCATGGTTCCTAATGACCGTTGCCGGTCGCCGAACCATGCATATCTGTGGCCTTTCCTGTTTATTTTTACTTCTCGTCATTACTGGGAGTCTGTCATTTGCCGATAGCGATGGGGCAAAATGGGCTATTGGAGTGATGTTGATTATCTTTACATTCTGCTACGACATCACCGTCGGCCCAGTGACGTACTCTCTTGTCTCGGAGCTCTCTTCAACGCGTCTCAAGGCTAAGACCATCGTCCTGGCCCGCTCATTGTACAACATCAGCAATATTGTCGTGAACGTTTTGACCAATTACCAACTGAGCTCTACAGCGTGGGGCTGGGGTGCAAGGAGCGCATATTTTTGGGCGGGCACCTGCTTGCTCAGCCTTGTTTGGGCATTTTTCAGGCTTCCAGAGCCGAAGGGGCGAACATACGAAGAGTTGGATTTGCTCTTTGAGAGACGTGTGTCAGCTAGAAAATTTGCCCAGACCTCGGTTGATCCTTATGAAGGCGAAGCAGTGGAAATACGGGAAGATCATTTTAATAAGGATTGAGCAGGGGTCTGAAATCATGTTGGAATTGAGTAAATCTTCCAAGGTTAAACTCACCAAAGAATTCGAGTTATGTGCTTCGCAATACCGCAACTAAATATATCAGCCGTTTTTAACCATGAAAACCTTTCAACTCACCCAAGTACCTCGAGCATCCCCCAAAGGGACAGGAAATTAATTACAGAAACGATCACTTTCCAGCCTAGAAAGTTTCAAGTTGTGGAGGCGTTGCGCTCTCAGGTCTGCAAGATTCACACCTGGACAGCGAAGGGCTAGGCAGCGACTTTAAGATGTTCCTTGAAAATAGGATAGCCATCATAACCTTGAACTGCCCAGCGTCGGTGTTCCCATCGCACCTTTCGCATTAAACGCCTTAACCTTAAGCGGGGCCATCAAAGGCCAATCAAGGCAGATCCTAGTGGGCTGTGGTGGCTTGGCTGGGTCCACTTTCAGGTGTGCGGAATGCGAATACGATGTTCCTTTTGCATCTGCGAGATACGATGTTTACCCAATGCGGCAGTAGAATAATTACAGAGTATAGAGTCAGGAATTTGTCCATTTTATAAATTAGGCTGATGATGTCCTTGTAGTTTGTTGTTGATATACGCTCTACGCAACAAAATTGCATATCCTATTTTCCGAATCTTTGAAACCTACAAATTCCAGTGACAAAAGCTCTATTTTCCAATCACTATGACGGCGGACATTAATAGCATTTATTTCTATAACCCTTCGCTTGCTGCCTCTATTATTTTCACAGTTGTCTATTTCGGTCCTTCTGTCTATCACCTCTACGCCTTGGTCTTCGCTCCGCTCCATGGCAAATTTCAGCGCAGCGGCCATTTCACCCCCCCTAGTCATTGGGGCCTTTCTGGAAGTCTTCGGATATGGCATACGTTGTGCTAGCCTTAAACAACCTGACAGTATTCCTCTATATGCGGTATCCGCCACTCTTATTGTTATCGCACCGGTTTTCGTGTGCGCGAGTCTTTATCTGCTGATGGACAGATTGATTTGGACTGGGAATGATGAGAAGTCCAGCGAACGATCGACGAAATTCCTTTTCATCAATATCCGACGTCGATGGCTACCCAGGATCTTCGTTACGCTGGATATCATCAGTTGCCTTACTCAAGCCTCAGGAAGTGGCATTGCTGCCTCTGGAGACTGGGAGGGATCAGCAAAGGATACTGGAAATGGAGTCTTGATTGGGGGTTTGGTGCTACAGGTCGTGACATTTACCGCTTTTCTGATCATCGTGGGTTCATTCCACCTCAAATCGAAGAATGACGGAAATACCATTGATCAAGGCGTGGGTAACCTTCTGAAGGGAATATACATCTCTGGGATCTTTATCCTAGTAAGTGAACCTCATCAAGTCAATTAGGGCTCGGCTAACACGTCTCTACAATCAAGGTGCGCTGTATATACCGCGTGATTGAGTTTGCCCTAGGGGTCGACGCATATTTGTTCATTCATGAATGGCCCCTATATGTTCTCGAAGCAGTCCCGATGATCATCGCCATTAGTGTTCTTGGGTGGTACCATCCAGGCCGATTTCTGTATCGACCAGGAACACCCCATGCTCAGAGATCCTCTCAATCGGCGAATTTCTAGTTTCCCCCAAGAACTTATTAGGTCACACCTAAATCTTTCCGACCGACTTGAAAACGGGCAGATATTAAACTTCCGTGCATATATCATTCGTTTTTTAGCTTTTCACGGTCTGGGTGTTGCCGTTGTTGCTTTTCTTCTTCCAGTGGTGTGATATATGGATATTGCCAGCTCCAAGAAGTCCAATACCACTATTAGTAAGCCAATGAGTCTTTTAGTAGATCTTTTTAGAATTTGATCTGATGTTCCACGTAATCTATTAAAATTCAAGGTCCATGGACTACGATCAAGCTTTTGACGTAATGTAAAATCTAATTCTAGACGATGTGAACGATCTTCAGGTTGATGGATGACAAGCCTAGACAATGGGGGCGGGAAACGTGGTGGGTGGTTCGACACGAAGTAGATGTATCTGATCTTTTCGCCATTATGATACACAATATAACCGTCCAATGCACGCATCGGTTTATCGGTTCCTTGATTCCAAGTACGAAGATTTCAGAGATTTTTGAGCTTCCCCTTCTATGAACCATCTCTCAGTATGAGGGGTATGTTTGCCTTCTCACGGCGCACCAGATCGACCTCGTGCTTTACCAAACGTTGGATATTGCCGGGTAACCCATAATACGCTGCATCTGCCCATTGTTCCATCACAATGGCACCAACGGACAAGCTCGGGTGTTTGTGGCCTCGAACATGAAGTAGGAATGGTCGCATTAGTGTGTCGATTGCAAAGTAATGCAAGAAAAGCGCCCGGGAAATAATGTTCGTGCTGGTAATGAGATTCATGAAATTTTGATTTTCCATCGAATGCCAGACTTTATACACATCACCGAGGCAGCGGAAGGCATCTTGAATTGAGTGTTGGAAAGCGAGGTAGGTATTGAGGAGGGACTCAAAAAAGCATAAAGTGCTTCCGTCGTGTATAAACGGGTGTAGCTGTTCAATGTCCCTAATGCAAAGATTCACGTCATCTTGATTCGGATGCATGTCCTTTGATAGCCATGGCTCTATTAATTGCATGACTTCCTCCGAGTTCTGTAAAAGGAACATTTTGCTGCCTTTGAATCTTCGTTGGATATGGGTGGTGATCAGGCTGCACCCACGTACCATGACGGCAAAATCAATCGCACCATCGTTCATGTAGTAAGCCTGGAAGACTAAAGCGTAGCATGTGGCCAATATACCGTCCAAGGAAGCAGCCGAGCAGCTATCGATATCTGCTAGAGCAAGTGATAGATACTTCAGGGCCTTTCCTCGATGGGAAATGGCCATGGCATTATAGTGAGAGTTGCTGGGTATTGTAAGGTCGTAGTGGGTTGCCCCGAGTGAGAGAATCGCATGCATCAGATGAGGGCACTGAAATGGCTTAGCGGTTGCCTCGAATCAAGAATAAGGGTTTTATTGCAGCTTACCTCGTGTGAATAGGCTGGAACGTCCGTGATCCATGACTGTTCGCTCCCAAAGGGTAGATGAGGGCGTGAAACGGTAAGAAAATGTTGGAAAAATCGCAAATCTTCACCCGTGAATGGTCCAGATAAACACATTTCAGTCTTGATGAGACTATTGGCGCCAGCTATAGACAGCTCAACGCTTTCATCTTCCGTGGTTGGTGCTGGGTATGTACATTTCATATCTCTCGAAAGGCAATTTGTACATGCTGGCTTTGTCTCTTGACACTTCGAAAAGGTTAGGCTCTAACGATCGACAGTGAAGCGTACCTCCGATCATCGACTCACCTTCACTTTTCGCTTTTTGCAATTCAGGCACCCGCGACGAGATTTTGTATGTGGACGTTTTAAACGACGGCGACTTTCAGAAGGTTGCGAGTGAGAAGTGCCATCAAGCATTGTTAGGTCGCCAACTTCCCCGGTCGGGATTCCAAGGATATCGGTGAGCTGACCCGGATGCAGTATCCATTCCATACTGTTCAAGATAGATTCCGGCGGAGACTTTGTTAGTCGCTTGGGGGGTTCCTGTGCAGAAGCTAGGACGGATTACGTTAAAGGATGTTCACCAAAGCGAAACAAAATGATTGAGCACTAACATCAATGACTGAGTCAAGGCAGCATCATTCTCTTCGAATACGAGCCTCAAAGACCAAGTAACCAATCATACTGCTCGGTGCCCCATGCTTTGTCATTTGTTCCCAGAGCTCGTATCCCTTTTGGCACGAACCAACGATATATGGTTTCGAGTATTGGACTATTTGTCGTGGCCTAGGGGAGCTCTACCTGATTATATGAAGTGGTCGATGCAGCCTTTGCATTTGGTATAATCTTTTCGCCGCCTTTTCTCGCCAAAATATTCCAGAATCGCGTACTCTTTACAGTAACGAATTTGTTGATTTTTCCAATCAATAGGCAAGTTCGATTCAAACACGTGTCATTGAAAATAACTGGAGTATTGAAGAAATGCCTCGTCAATTTCAGGAGTCTTATTCCCGATCCGACTCATCTCTGCGTAGTTAAAATGACTATACGCCCAATCTTCCGAAAAGGATTCCGAATTTACATTAGACGAGTCCGGTCGCGGTGATGAATTATCCTCAGGCCTTCGAGCCAAGCTTAACCCAAGCTCGTCAGAGCCCTGTTCGGGTATCTCAGAGCTCAAATTGAGATGTATGGCGATTGTTTCCATCATGGATGGCAGGGTTTGTCCAATTTTAGTCAGAAGTAGAGGAAGAAATCGTGCTCGACCACCAGGTAAGTCATGTATGAGTGTAAAAAAGTGCTTTAGGTAGTCTTGCGGGCCAAGCTTGAATCCAGAGGAGCGGAGGCCGGCGGCTGATAGGCAGGCCATAACATCGATCAATGTACATGCAACTTCGAATATTTTCTCAATCTGTGAAATATATACGTTAGCAATGAAACGATAGTGACGGTTGGCAATAGACTTACCAGGCCAATTCCATGCGTCTGCATACTTTGTTTGGATAGTTTCCATGTTGCAAGACACAGGTCCCTTGAAATCAATACTGGGTATCGAAAATCCATGCACTCATGCGTAGGACTAGTTGACAAAAATCCAGCAGTGGTGGAAAGCTGCCAGATCATGATCCGTAGCCATTGTTGTGAAACGCGCAAGTCGGCCATCAATACATCCGGTAGGTCGATATTCGCCGGCACGGCATTTTGAATTCTCTCTTCGAGCTGGACCAATGATTCTGTTGAGCAACTCGCATGGTCACCATTCCATTGACCAAGGAATTTCTCATCGAAGGGTCGATATAAATTGACAAGGCACCGAAATCCAATCGCGACATTGGATTGTGGCTCATCTAGCTCCCTGGTCTCGGCGGAAATCCGAAGAGTGATAGGTCTATGCCGCCGAATGGCATGGGCCCTGGGTTCAAGTCAGTTGGAAGGTTTTGAGATTAGGCAGATTGAAGACACTACCTTTCCGACACCAGTAATAACCAGAACAGATTCCCAGCTTGCGACGATTCTTCGCTGTCGTCTTGTGCGGACGTTTCACCGTCCAGCGCACTGGCGGTATAGATAGTGGTCGCTTCTCGTAGAAAGTAATATGCGTGTCGCTGATTTCCGAGCCCAATGTGGCATCCGTAAAGCAGAAATGCAGTAATAATTGTGCGCTTCATGGGCTCTTTAAACGGGTCTAGGTGCCTCCTTGCCTCAGTTGCCTCGTTAACCAGTCTCTCCCGATATTCTTCTTGGGTGGCACTGCCGTGATCATTGAGAATTTGAGGACCGATACAAAATCCAGTTTGTGTCACCACAAATGCGCAAAATGCCGTAACCAAGCAGTACGCGTGCAGACATTTGCCCGCTTGGTCAATCTGTCTTTGGAAGGCATCGGGATGCAATATCGGTACAGTGCCACGCATCCGAGAGAAGAAGTAATCGGAACACGATGCGATGAGCTCGTGACTGACAAGGCCTGCCGATCTGGAAAACTGACATCTTCCCGTTTCTCCTGAAGGGGAGGGAGCCCTGTCAGCCATGGGCAAATCATATTGTGTATTCTGCCCTGATTGCGATATCGAATCATGGCTCTGCATCCCTTTTGCTCTCAGCTCATTCAGAACATTTGCTGTTTTTCCTTGTCGCCCTTTTTTCCGATGCTTGAACGATGTGTGGCACCGTAAGCTGGCGGATTCGCATTGTTTGCACGGCCTATCATTGTTGCAGCGGACCTTCCGTCGACGACATTCATCGCAGGCCTGCTTGACCATCTCAGCATCAGGCATTGTGCTGGCTGTCAGCTAGGAAGCTATTGCGGAGGCTCGGTCCGGGGAGCGGAGAGATCTCGGGGTAAAGCCGGACCAAAGCGGAGCCGGATTCGGAGGAGATGGTGAGCCAATACAGCTCAATGCATTGGAGAATTGGAAATATGAGCGGTTAGTGTAACAAAAAGGCAATCAATAAACGCGCTCTATGGATAAATCTGTATGGTCTTAGACTCATACTAGGATTTCTGTGAGCCTTGAAAGCAAATATCGAGTCCTACGTCAATTCGCCTGGAGGTCAGACCTTGACTAGCCGAGATCGCCCCATTTGATCTTACATAAAGGCCTTGAGATATATGGTGTACTGGAATGTGAACAGGTATACAAAAATCATTCTCTCAATGCTCGATAAGTATAAAATTTCAAGTGGTCCGCCAAAACATCCGCGAACTATTGTTCCATGAAGCCTCCGCAACTTCCTGCAGTGGTACACCTTTTAATCCGGCCACAACAAGTCCAACTCGTTCAATAGTGCAGCTCTCATTCCTTGTCTTCACCATTTGACCCAGAATGAATTTATTGTGCTTTCTGCTTGGGGGTAGAGGTCTTGCAGCAGCAAGGAATGGTTCGATTTTCGGGTCCGTTTCCAATACCTCGCACCACGGAGCGTCGGTTTCGAGTTGCAATTTGTTCAAAGGGGACATATTTGGCCATTTCAATCTGCTCATCGCTGCGGAAAGACACACCATTAACACTGATATCCAAACCCAGTTCCACAAGCTGAAGCATCTCCGCCTTGGAGCCAGCAAATGAATGCACCAAGCCACCTCGCGGCAGCTTTGGCAGATATGGTTTTATGATTGAGATAAAATCTTCGGTGGATTCGCGAACGTGTAGAAATAATGGGAGCTGAAATTCTGTAGCCATCTCCAATTGATCCCTGAACGCACGCTGCTGTGTCTCTTTGTCTGCACGGTCAAGATAGACATAATCAAGACCAATTTCGCCGAATGCTGCGAGAGGGGAAGGCTTTTCGGCAAATAATCCCTCGCCTATTTTGCGAATTGTTTCCAGATATTGATTGGAACCCTCCTGAGATCCCTGTGCCTCGTAGATTTCGCCAGCATGGTACGGATGTACCCCAAGCGTCATTTTGCACATTTCTGGAAATTCCCTGACAAGTTGTAGGTTTTGCTTCGCCCCCTCAAGTGACATAGTGGTAAGCATCACTTTTTCGCAGCCATAATCCTTAGCTCTTTTCAGAACCTCGGCAAAGTCGGGCTCATGGTACTGTTTGCCACGGTAGATACCGCGGAACTGATCTGCAGTAAAAGTGACTGCGACCTGACGAAACAATCAGCATCGAATATAAAAGCAAAGAGATGCGATCCGTAGAGTCGATTATCATTCACTTACATCGAAATATCGCAGAGCCGAGTTCCTCGCTGGCTGTGCCATTTTTGTGCCACAATTGAGTTTTCTCGCTTGGCTGCGAGATGGAAAACACGTATACCGATTTTTGAGGAGAATTCGGGAAATTTATGTTGCGGTTGGGATTGTTTGCACTTGGTCCCCTTGGTGAAAAAATTAGAGCCAAGCTGTTTTGCTGCATAATCGGGTGCATGTACCCGACTGTGTTGGGTACTCGCACCCGGGCCTCCCCAGTACCTAGGGCTTTTGTTACCAGTACTTCCCAAAGCAGAGAGAGGTTATCAACTTTTGGGGAAAAAAAAAAAAAGGTATATTTACGGCTATCTTCTGCGGCATGAAGTCTACTAATCTTCATCATCTTCCTACTACCGTTCCGTCTTCCGACCGATGATCTTTTCTATGAGAGCAACTCGGATAAGTACTTTGAGGATACAAATTCTTGGTTTGCAATAAACTTATGCACCATGAAACTATTGTGGACTCGGAAATAATGGAAAACGATATAGAAGTAGGTGATGAGCTGTGCTATACAAACGAAATGCCAATAACATCCATGGATATTCCAACCGCCCCCACCACATCGTCCTCCATGCAAGACCACTGGCAAAAGATATCAAGTATGCATGTCAATCATCAACCATAGAAAAATTGAATCCTCCGGACCGTCCAGTCATCTAAACATTGAAATAGCAGACAGCGCTCAGATCGAATGAGAAAGCCGCAAATCCATCCTCGTGACCACAGTAGGGCTCCTTGTTTTGGCTATCATAGTCATATCCATTGTACGAGAATGAAATGCTACATCCTGCCTTGCCAGCAGGCGGGTTCCAGCATGCGGTAACATTGGTGTCCGAGCTAAGACCGCCGCCAGAGAACAGACAGTTGCTGCAAGTACCGTCCTGATCCGTGCAGGCGACGGGGTCGATCTTTGTTCCCTGGGCGTTGAAAGCCAGATTGCTGGTGAAGTAACCAACGCCACCCTCGCCTTCACCTGAAGCTCCTCCTTGGTCGGGAATGGTGACTCCCTCGCACTGAAAGGCGAATTGGGAGTTTCCGGATTTATCGCTCGGGTCGCGACGTTCGAGTTCGGTAGTCGGGATGGCGGTTGCCAGGGCAAGGCCGAGAAGGGATGAGAGGATGACTGCGACCTTCATGGTGATTTTGATTTTTGATATGATCTTTTTTTGGTTTGAAATGATATTCGAGAAAGAAGAATATGGCGTTTTGTAAGCCGACCGTGGGCTTTCAGGAGAGAGGCTGAGGATAGGAATGCTATTTAGAAGATATCTCGATCTATTCTATCGCTTTTATAGCCTCACCTTAATCGGGAATAACATGATCTGGGCCGAAATCAATAATAGTGGGGATGGCCCCCAGGGTCCTGCTGCGTCATTGTGCATTTCTTCATCCCTAATAACGGGGTTGTTCAATTCAGCCCCCATGCAGATCAGCAGATGATCTAAGACATAGCAGCGGAAATATCAACGATGTGTACGAAGTAGCACTTTCTGCAATATATACACGATGAAAAGTCTCTATGGTTCCCTCACAATTCGAACAATCTATGGGTAAAAGACCGAATTTGTGGCATATTGCCCTCATAGTTTATCTCTCCGCGATGTAGATATCTATATGCGTTCCTGTGCTATAAAACGTACTGTTACGATAAATCGCTTACTCCACCTCAACTTGTGGACCCTTCGGCAATAGGCAATGGCTAGAGGAAGCGAACTACTAGTAGCATCATGCGCTGGATCCTCTCCACACTTCAGAATGCTTAGTATTACTTCTTCGCTTCCGCCGTACTCCGCAGAGTCTGTTTATTTCTTGATTCCTTGAAGAACGCCCTCATTATGTGGGGCGCGGGACCGCAGATCAGGGGCCGAATTCTTAGCATGCTTGTCTGGAGGCGGATGCGAGCGACAGAGTAAGCTGACGCAATGGTACTTACTACCGATAGAAGTCATCGCTAAGCCCGATGCCACGCTGGGTTTCAAAAAAATTGCCACATTATCGTAGAAGAAGTTCAAGTTGGAGACCTCGACACGTGAGAGAATGGATTTACCCGCCGTGGCTGAAACAAACGGAGGTTTTGCGTAAAGATTTTGTTTTTGATTCATGTTTATCTAGCAGTAGGGTATACAAAGATCATATCAAAGCTCTGATCTGCGCGGTTAGATACCCCAGTCACCTCTGAGCAACGCAGGGACAAAAATAGCAGCGTTTGGTACGGGGTCCATGTCAATGTGTATGGCCAGTCATATCAAAGGTACCTCCTGTGTTCCATATAATATCGTCGGGCTGTGTACTATTAAACCACTCCTGGTCCAATGAAACGTCGCCAGTGAGTCCCGGAATGGCAGTGAACTCACAAAGCTCGTCGGGAAACGAGGAAAAGAACCCATCGAATGAAGGTACTGAGGGATTTGTTTGTTCTTCTATCGGAATAGCATTTTCCCCAAGGCTCACGGCAGCTGTTTCCATCATTGGATCGGCTCGCCAAAGCTTGGCCCACTCCTGGAATTGATCATATCCCGACGCGGACTGTATCGGGCGATTGTCCTCTAGGCTGGTAGGGGCATATAACCGTTGCCGGGCTCTATCAAGTGCTTCAATTACCGCCACTTCGGATTTGGCAGATTCGAGCCCAACGCACATTTTTCGAATTATTACCATTCCCTGTGTAAGAGCGGTAGATATTTGTGCCGTCTGTTCGTTGAGACTGTGAGCAATCAAAGCAAGCAACGCAATGCGGCATGCACTGAACTCGGTATATGAAACACGAGCAAGACCAACAGAATCTTGCAAGATTTGACACAGTTCTATTCCCCGGATAGCAGCCTTTAGTGAGTCGTCGCGCAATTTTTTGATGACATCCGGGGCCTCTTGGGCAGTTGTAATGGCCTGTGCTGTGCTATTTCCTGGTCCTTGGGCTGGAGTTATGATGAAGGGTCGGCCAATGTATATTATTGTAGTGATATAATAGATCTCAAGATGAATGTTTGATCGGAAGAGAGGCCCATTCTGGTTGAGATCTCTGCAATGAACCTGCGTTGGGAGACCAGACCACCAGTTGCCAAGTTGATCATGCATGGCGGCCAGCTGTCTGAGGTATCTCTGTTGTTTTGGCCTACTGCAGCTGCGTAGAGATTTGATCGATTCTGAGGCGTTCGCCAGATGTTTGGTAAGGATGACCGCGGCAGAAAAATTGGGCAAATTTGACCGATAGTCGGATGATTGGAAGCCTGCTAGCTCGCTTGGCATGGGCGTGTCGGTCTCGGCAGGCGACACAGAGGCTGGGCGACCATGTAGAATACTGATGCGACTATTGAATGTTAGATGACGGTCTGAATATTAGTAGTCCCCGATCATACCTTTCCAGTGCATAGGCCGACCACCAAAGACGATTTCTCGCTTCGACTAATCGACCATCAAAATCATCCCCAGGGAACTGCCTGTGCATTCCATTCTGTATTGCCATTTTTATTGCCAGGCCATAATATGTATATGCCAGGCCCGAGGTGTCAATTGGTAGTGTATATGATCCCATGAGCAGGAAAGCCTGGACACTCTCGACGCTAGCAGTTGTAATAAGATCCGGAATCAGTCGGCAGCAGAATCGATAAAGTTGAATTCCAATGTGATCATCTTCAATATCAGCGTTGGCAAATTCATTCGTCAAATTCGGACCTGTCTGCATATATGCAAATTGTGTACCAATGGCAAATGTCATGAGGAGGGTGCAGACCCAGCCAGCGTCATTGATAGTCAGCGACCCTTCCAAGTCATAATAGTATTCTAGTTTGCGATAAAAAATATCTTGATCGAAATAGAAATAATTAGTCAAGGCATACTCTAGGAATGTCTTGACCAAGAAATCAGCGATGGGCCTTGGTGGGAAGTACTGCTTGGCTAATGATATGCACGAGCCAGAAGACTGCAGGCCCGTCGCTCGAAAAAAGCCATTTCCAGTGTCCCCAGTAATCTAGATGCTCCAAATTAGTATATTCAAAATGGAACGCATTTTTTGCATATCTTACCTCGCCCCTTCCTGGCTTGGTGCCGTTGCCTAGACTTTGAAGTCGGCGCTCGAGCATCTTCGAAAAGTTCCAATGGGAAAGCTCTCCAGAATAGTCTGCCATAACATGTTAGATCCATTCTTCATGGAACAAAGCGAATTTGACCCACGCATGGTGTTTGTAGAGAGGGGATCTAAGGAGTAATCCTTGGCCAGGGCAAGGTCTTGTGTGATTGTAGATGGATTGCCATCATCATCGCCTTGTCTCTCATCCAAACCGTCTGCAACTGATTCGAGGTGAGCAGGCTCCAGCGAGATATTACCCATGAAATGGGTGATGATTCGCTTCATCTGAATTTCCCTTGCTGTAAGCTCCGGAGTCGGATTTCTGCCACCGTAACATTAGCCAATGTTCGAAAGCAAGATTGACACGAAGCAAGACAATTCGACTCACCCTTCAGCGTCAGTCAAGACGGATCTTCTCCCTTGTACTCGAACATTATCAAATCGGCATGTTCGTTGATAGCGCTGGCAACGATCACAAGGATTGCCACCGCCGCCTGCCAATCCCCAAAGTCATATTAGCTGATTGGGGTTATGATAATGCGACAGTTCCTGGGGGGGGTTATACATTTCTCTTTATGTTGGCGACACGGCAAGCAACTAGAAAGTACGTGTCAGTGCGTTAGGTCTACTGGCAAATGACAAGGGCGGAAACTCACGCCTGTGCGGTCCTTTGCCGCTGCGAATCTGGGACACGAGGGCGCCTTTGACGGCCACGTCTTGCCTGTGACCTCGGCTCAGCCATTACGTGGCATAATGTAGCAAGGGGTTTCTGATATTTTCAGTATGGAGTAACCCGGTGGTCGGCCGTTGTTGAAGTTGACGTTGTGCCGGCGGGCGGAATTTGCGGGCTTGGCGTCATGACGTCATGCATATAGGAGAAGTAAACAAAGGACTTGTTAGTATTTACGACATTTACAACATTTCAACAAACTACTAAATAGAAATAAAGATGCCTCAAGTTCTTTCTATCCACAAAATCGGTTTGCGGAAAAAATCTAGCCTTCAAAATTTTTGTAAGATGTGTCTAGGAGCGCCTAAATACTCCAGTCTGATCCACCTTCAAGTTCGGGTCCCCTTTCTCTGTCGATAAGTATCCTACCAGGGTCATATACTCCAAACTCTTCTCAATCGCTGCACTAATCTCACTCGTCAAAAAGAGAGAGTTCTCGGTCCTTTCTTCTTTGCCCCCTCAAAATTACCACATATTCTCGTCAAACCACTGCATCACTGGTGAGAATGGATGGTCAACTTCTGCGTTTTCAATATTACGCCGTAGTATTTGCATCCATTGGTCATGACGAATACGTGTGATTGGAATATTTAATTTTTCGCTCACAATGTCACAGAGTGCCGAGGCACTTATGCCATCGAGGCAAGTTAACGGATCAGATTCGTAGTCGTTCGGGTAGAAGAGGACATTTGAAACCAGCTCTGACACCTGGTCAACCCCAGCGACCGTGAGATGACCAAGTTCTTCAATTATAGCTCGAAGTCGAACGATGCTGTACACAAATCTCCAGAGGAAATCTTCCGTATGTGCGATGCCTTCCTCGCGTGTCCCTACGATAAAACCAGGGATGACTGTCCGAGCTCTCGGCGCAGATGATCCTTGTCGATGTAAATGTTGGTTGTACTCGTTGACGAGAAGCTCTGACATGAACTTGGTCTGATCATACCCGGACGCAGGGGCAAGCCTTTTGGCGATACTCGCATGGGTTTCTTGGCTTGGTGAAAGGTAACCACCAGAAACGTATATGAGCTGGCAAGGAATGCGCATACCGGACAGCCCCGAGAGAATATCGGCTGTGGAATGAACATTCACTGCCTCGAGATCCTCATAGTCATCCAGCCAGTTTACTCGGGCTCCGTTGTGAATGATACCATCAACCCCGTCGATATCTCTATTTCCAAAAAGCCGATGCCTGTGGTCTTCCTGTAGACCAAGCCCAGGCTTGCTGAGATCACCGAGCCATATCTCAATTTTTTCATGGAATGAGACCTGCCACCATTCTCCCAGCTCGGCCTGATGTTGTACCTTTTTTTCTAGCCTGAGTCTCATCACTTGAGCGAACTAAGCCGATTATTTGGCCAATTTCCGGGTTCTTTAAAAGAAATCGCAGGATTTGGCTCCCCAGAAAGCCGGAAAAAGACCGCCTTCTTGCGTAGCTTTAATTTGGACTTCAATTTGGCGAGCTCATCTAATAGATCTCTTGATGGACTTGCATTGCCAGGTGTGTCCGACGGGTTTGTGAGAATATCTTCAATGCCACAGGCTGTCAATTTCGGTTGGCGCGAGCTTTGAATTTCAATGATTTTTCCATATTTTCTTTTTATCGGGTTGGCCAGGGAGACTAATTGCATAGACGTGAGCCCAATCTTGCTGAGAGAAAAGTCCTTGCCTCGCAGCGACTGCTCGTAGGCCTCGTCTTTTCCGCGAGAATATCGGCAATTGTATTGCTGATCGTAATTGCAATGGACCTCTCAGCTGGTATTTCAATCAAGTTCGTATCGATAGATCCTCCTTTGCGGTACTTCTGAATAATGGTCTGGTTCATCTCCGATATCTCCTTACGAAGATGCTGCCGATCAATCCTTTTTGACATAGTCAACGGTAGCTCCTCAATCGGTATAAAGATGGTCGGGATCATGTACTTGGGGAGAGCTTTGCTCAACCGATGAGAGATTTCATCGGCGAGAGAATCCGACCAAGGAAAAGTATCCCGTCCTTGACATGTCAGTCCTTAGCGACGCGTTATATAAGATGAACCTTTCGGTTCCACGTGGTCCTTCAATTTTGTGGAATGAAATATTTCTACGAAAGATACTAAGACAATATTTTACAGATTACACGATCAAAGGCTGGGGCAAAGATGGCTCGGATATCGAAGCTATGAGAATTGTCGTACACGAGGATCTCACGTTGGAGATCATGCGAAAAATGATGGCCGTGATTGTGGAATGGGTTGGAAATATGATTAGCGGGTAGAGCAGCCATCGAAGGAGACTCGGATTGGGAAAGAAAACTTGATCATTCGCGTGATCATAAATGGCTAGGATATTCAACAGCTACTCTCAGAGCTATCTATCTATCCGAAATGCAGTCTTTCTTCATGTGATGACTGGACATACAGTCATTCAGATGCTCCACCTTCACGAATGCTATGCGTTTCTTGATGGTGAATGCAATATCTAAGATTTCGGTCCGTCCATGTGCGCATGTCCAGCCCTTCGTATCATGTTCATATCCAGTTCTTCTCTCCATCACACAGTTCACATCCTCATATGTCTGTCCACACTTTCGAGCAGATCAGTCTTTCGCAAAGACTCCTTAGCTGCCTCGTAAATAGCTCTTGCAGCCATGGGAGGGAACGCATTGCCGATCTGCTTTCGGGCGCCTGTCTTGTAAAACTGATAATCTCGTGGAAACGTTTGAAGGCAGGCAATCTCCCGATCTGTGAATGTTCGTCTCCCATCAGGATGATAGTTCTCCTGTCCACCAGCCGTGGTTATTGTCTTCGCTTGCTCATCCCAATCCAATGCCTTGCGGTACTCTCTTGACCACCGTCGCAGTCGAGTCGCCACGTCGTGATTTGGAGAGTCGATAGGCAAGTCGTAGATAGCATCGCGGATCGTTCGGAGTCTTGGTTGACCTGGCCCGCCGAAGGTCGGGCGAGGGAACTCACAAAGATTCTCTCCTGGTCTAAATATCGGTCAGTTATAGGAATCAGTTCAATCGAATGATCGTGGAAAAAGGAATAGCCAGTGAGAGCTTACCCTGCGGCGATAAGAATGAGCCGTTTTCGTATCTGCGGCACTCCGTACCCGGCCAGCTTGATAACTTCCCATCGCACCGAGTATCCCAGCTCAATCAAATCCATTATGACCCGATTTAGGTTGGGCCTATGAGCGTCATGCTCAAGACCAAAAGTCTCTTCCATGGTGAGGATGCGAGGCCGGACTCTTTCGACTGCTTGCCGAATACCTATCAGACATGCGGAGTTGCGGTCGTCATTCTCCTCGTTGTTGACTGTATGCGCCGGGAGTAGGTCTGGCATGGAGGTGAGCAATGCATGATATCGACTCGCAGAAAAGGCATCGGCTTCTGGAAGAAATGATGCGCCTCCATTCTCCGGGACTTAGTCTCATTTCGCGGGAAGTTGAGACCGTATGATTTCATCGCGTACTCGTTGATGTCGAAGGACCACTTGATTTTCAACCCTGCCTGCTTTGCCCCGCAAGATGCACCCCCGGCTCCGCAGAATCCATCACCGAACGTATACGCATTCTGGCCTTCCGAGGTGAGGTCAATATGAGTTGATGAGGTAGGTGGAGATGGCGGCGGTGTCGGAAGAATGTTGTCGAGGTCAATGATCTCAGGTGAATCATCACATCGACGCTGAATGGTTCCAACGATGGCACCGACCTTTGCTTCACCGAATGGTGTGGTGGGGCCTCTCCATTTCTCGCGCAGTTGCTTGTTGGTGAGTCCTGTTCCGGGGTCTGACTCCTCGAACGTCAAATCTCGAACCACCCAATTCGCATTTTTCACCGGGTTGTCATGATTTGAGTCACGATAAGAGTAGAATACCTTCAGACGACATGTCCGCACTCGAGCCTTTCCCCATAGGGAACGCTCATTGGTGAAGACGACCTTGGTAATGCCAACCACCTTGTCAGGTAGAACTTGACTTGTCCGTTGAGGCACCCAGATGAGCTCATTTCGGGCATGTGGGATGATATTCGGGAGTTTGTTGTTGTTGAATGCCTTTGGATGAAAAAGCCGGCGGCCCTTGAACAGAATACGATGGCCATGCCGGGTGATCTTTTCTATTCGGAAAAATGATTCGTCTTCCAGCTCTAAGTCCAGGCCAACTTCAAATGTCACGCCATCTTGTTGGAATGGCAGGTCCTTGATCAAAATGCTCTGAATCAAGCGAGGCGGGTTACCCAACCTTCTCACTGTGTCCTCACTTTGTTCCGGTTCGGGTCCCTTTGTAAGATCTATAGCGCGCTTGGAGCGCTTTCTGCCATCCGAATTCACTCGTGCTCTGTATCTTGACCCCGACTCTGGCTCGGGAACCTGGCTCCTGTTCATTGTGTCTCTGCGGATGGCGGCTTGAGGGCGAGAAGGGGAGCCGTCGGATGAGAATAGCACCCGCTTCACTGATTTCAGCTCCTTGGCCGGTATGAGACGTCTCTTTTGGGGTCCATCTATCTCAGGGTCTTCTGAGTTCAGAATTCTAGGACGCTTTCGCGAGTTCGAGGGAGGTGGTGTGAGGACGGGAGCTGCAAATGATGTTGCCCGTCCAGGTGTAGAGTTCGATCCACAGAGATGCCCGAATCTCACAGCTGAGCTAAAGTCAGCAAGGCGTTCCAACGACTTCTTCGATGCTATGACTTACTTGGAGTAGGGGGAATTGGTGGCTCATCACGGCGGGGGTCTTCCACGGTGAGGTCAACAAAGGAACGCTCCATGGTCTTGACTTGGTCTCAAATCGTTGTTTGGCTGTTTTTCGTCAAAGAAGGCAAGTCGAGACGGAACGGTCAGAAATTCAGCAGAGTATGACTGACCGATGCTTTCTCCGTACACGACGAGTAAAAAAATGGGGGTGAGCTATGAGGTCAAGGGTTGGTGAGGATTGGTGAAGGATGGGGGAAGGGGAGAAATGGGGAAAGGGAAGGGACAGTGAAGTGGGATAAGGGCAGTTGAGAAATGGGAGGTAGCCGGAATAAAAAGGTGGATGGGAAGGCTTTTTGAAGTTTTGTCAAGGGTCAGATCGGGGTTGAGGGTCTTTCGATCATGTTCGAGGTTGTCCGGGTCCCGGGTGGGAGCTGGTGATCCGAGAAGGTACTTGGGATAATAAGATATTTTCTATTTGAAAAATTGACAGTTCTAAATCATACATGAGCCAAGCAGGCTTTCTAGGTTTTTTCTGGAGTTTCTTGAAATGATGGTGTCCTTGCTGTGATATTTTTGATCTCCGTGGATTCCTGGACCTGGGACACAATTGAAGGTTTATCAAAGATTCCCCCCAAAAATGTAACAAAGACTTCTTGGACCATCTTTTGTACCGTATTTGAACGCGAACATATAATGCAAGAGTATTTATCAATGGAATGACCTCCCACAAAGAGACTAAGCATGGGTGGCACTCACCCGCACATGCATTGGTGTTCATCATGTTCATGTTCTCTCATCGAACTGGCTTTGTCCGTGAAGGTGCAAAAGTCTCCCACCTCCCAACTATGTATTTTCTTTCCTTTCTTGTCTAGTCAAAGTGTGATTCGTTTTACTTTAATTTGGATTTTCCCCCTTTTGAATGTGGAAAAATTATAATTTACTCATCAGCAATCTGGGACAACCCTCACTGAAAGGGCTTGGGTTCCACAGCCTATGATAGGGTATTCCAAGAACCTTCAATAAATTTTGAAATGCTGTTATAACAAGTTTCTAGCTTCTATCATTATATGTAGACCCTACACCTAGATTATCGGACTTTTTATTTACGATGCACTAATATAAAAAGAATTTGAAGCGTGACCATTATTTTAGAGGACACCGGGGAAATAGTGCGCGCTTCCAGGGTTGATGTCCTTTTAATGTTGCCTGAAAATCTACTACGAGTCCATAATGCACACTCGGGAATGCGAGAACAAAGGGTATCCCAAGCAATATAATAGTACTCATTTTCAATGTTGTAATTTGGTAGCTAGGATACTCAAATCTCGCGCTGATTTTCAAGGAGTGAGTGCATGAACTCGAATCTCTTCTCACCAAATACGATCCCCTCCAACCGGACCCACGTGGAACAGACGGGCCGTGCCGAGTGCGACCTGCAACCCGATCCTCGGGACTGTAAAACCTGACTTAGTACCAATCTCTCCTTCGGATGACATACGACTTGATAGAGGAAAGATAAGTGAGTACATAGTGAATGTACAATAAGGACGTGCCCGCGGGTAATACTTCAATTGCTCAAGATCTAATATAATAATAGGGAGCATAGCATGGTTTTACGGGGTCGATAGTCAGACAGCCATCCCAAAATGCGTCTATGTCCAATGGGAAGTGGGAAAAAGGAAAATCGTAGTAGAAAAACACGCTGTAATAATGAAAATGCTTGGCCGATTCATCGCGAATGAGCAAAGTGATATAATCGGAATGCAAGAAGGGGGCTGAGGAGGCATTGAGTTCGTCAAGTCATGTCGGTGGATATGTGAAGCGCAGCGATCGGGTAGAAATTAGGCACCGTTGGGCTCGTCGTCATCTGACTTGTAATTCTCATCATCTTCATCGCTGTCTTCTCCCCAGCCATCGGCTTCCAGTGATCGACCGCGGATACCAAAGCTCATCAGAAATCCGATGAAAGAAACTATTCCAAATACACCGAAGGCCAGGGCTTCGCCCTTCGGTTGAATCTTGGAGGTCAATGAGAAAAGTCCTCCGGAGAGGAAGGGGCCGACGGCACGTCCGGCCGCGGAAAGAGTTTGTGCAAGGCCGTTAAGAGCACCAAGAACTGCATGGTTTGGAGCGGAATTTGTGATCTAGTGGGAGTGAGTAGGTGAAACCAAAAATTATCGGGATCTTAAGAAAGAGACTTACCAGCAAAAGCGCACTGGTCAGACCACCAACCGAAGCGACAGTCTTGACCAGTAGCACCAGGCAAAGCTCGACGGCCATCAGTGCAGACTTTCCTGTCAGCCCCTTGCTCTCCTCGGTCTTATATCCAACAAAAGGCATGAGGAGGAATGAGAGAACAAATCCAAAAAGACCAGCGCGGTATGACCAGCGATTACCCATCTTATCGCGCAGACGGTTGAAGATGCATATCTGGAAGATAATCGTGACAGCACCAGCAAACCCCTGGGAGAGACCGATCTCAGACGGCGTCAGGTGACGGCCAGCGGGTGGCTTGGCCTGCGCGAAAATTGGAAACAGGGAGTTGAAGGAGACATTGCAAAAAGCAAAAACGAGATATGTCAACAGCAACAAGACCGTGTCCCGTGTGAATATCTCATCCCAGGTCAGTTCCTCGTGATTGCCAGCTTGACTTGACACCTCGGATGCGGAGTCCAGATCGCTGTCGTGTTCGTCATTGTCGGTACTGCTGTGGCGGAAGTGTGGGTAAGGAACGGCTTGGGGTATGCGAACATAAGTTGGCCTCGGGGCAAATCCCGTGAACTGCCAAAGCCAGGTGAAAAGGCTGCGAACCTTTTTGCCAATCTTCGGGAGGGTGTCTGCGTCCTCCAGGCTTTCGTCCAAGTATAAGGCGGTGATTACCAAGTCCAACAGAAGAATTACAGCGGAGACGAGGTTCGGCGCAAGGTAAGGATAAGTGCTCTTCTTTCCGGTAAATGGATTGCGCTCGAAGACCAGCAATCCTCCCAGGAGCGGGCCTGTGATACCTCCGACGCCGTATAGAACTGGCAAATATGTGAATGCCTGCGATTGGTTGCTTCGGTCGGTAATCTCACCGAGACAAGTCGACACCAAACCTTGATTGCCATTGACGATTCCCATCATCGCCTGGACTAGGATCGCTTGCCAAAGGGTCTTGCAAAAGCCAAATGCAATAAAGCATAGCGCCGTCAAAAAGGTTCCAAGTAAAATGACCGGCTTGCGACCAATGCGATCAGACAGCGAACCCCAAAAGTAATTGGTTGCAAGCTGCGCCAATGCAAACGCCGAAGCGATCGTTCCAACGTATACGCCGACCTCAGACGACTTCACCTCGGGGAATGTGGATGCCATGTCGGGAAGGTACGGACTGATGGAATTCAGTGCGGTCTGCTCTGCCAGAGCGATTATTGCCAGCACCGCCATTTGGCGCTTGGGCAATGGTGATTGTTGACCAGTTTGGTCAGGCGATTCATGGTGCGCATCGTAGGAACCTTCACCGGAGGACTCCGACTGGCCGGAATTGGGTCGCCCACGCGACTTCGGTGGCGGGGTATCAAAGGTCTGGTAATGCTGTGTAGAGGAGCGGCGTTTGACAGCAGTGCGATCTGTGGCCGGCATGGTCGTGAATAAGGATGGAGGTTAAGCCCGGCGGCCGCGGTTTGGAATCCGCCTAGGCAAAAGCGAAAGGAACTGCAGCCTGCGGTCGACAGGTCGATCGCAGGCGTGACTGCTTGCGTCGAGTGTGATCCGGTGCACACTGGATGGGAATCGTGATTGAAGGGCGGACAATGTCCAGGGTTAAGGACAAATAAGGTGAGGGCAGAATGAATGGTACAATCACCGAATGGTCAATGTCTAGCGGGCTGGAAAGGTTGGAAGTTGGAAGTTGAAGGTTGGCGGGCCTGGAAGCTCTCGGCGGATGAGGTAAGCGCGGAGAGGCTGAGTCATCATCTGTCGATCTCCGCCGGGGAAGCCCATTTTCCCCTTGATCGACATTGATATTTCTAATATCCCCCGTCTCTCACTGGTCTGCGAGCACGGACGATGTGATATAGCACTGCAGTACTGCAGCCATGTCGCACCGTTCCTGGCAGCTTCTCAGCCAGCCTCTTTGCCGGCCGGTTATCGGCATTCGAGAATACTGAATTACTTCTAAATAGCAACACTTGAAGGCGACCGCGAGAACTTGGAAGTGTTGTTTATTTTTCTGTCATTTGATATTCATAAAAGTGCGACTATCGTTATGTCTGATCCGCCAGTACGCCCTGCCAGCCAATCTAGATGCGATGTCTTCCTCATATTCAAGCACCAGACTTTCTCGCAATGACCTGCTTGAAAAGAGCTTCGAGGCGTACCCCTTCTTCGTCTGCTACAGTTCCATACGCCTTGGCACTTCCGTATGGGTGGTAAGGGAAGGGACTAAAATATATCCAAAGTTAGCATCACCATCATCGCATGCGGTGGGGAGGAGCAACTTACCCGTATTCCGGTACGAAGACAAGGCTCGCATTGGGCCCGTTCCTTTCAAGGTAGCTTTCGATGATCTTGGTCCACAACCTTTCCATACACAATCTCTCTTGTTCGAAGATAGGGTTGAGGGGCTCCGGGCATTGTGATGCCTGTGTTGTTCCGATTCTTGCGTGGAGATGACCAACCTAAGCAGCTTTCAGTGGCTTGAACATGCAAGGATTCTCTTTATTTTCACTTACGCGTGGGATAACCTCATCCAACAGTGTGCGGTCCTCATCGCTGATGTCCAGAATACGCTCGCAGCAAACCATCCAGTGGGAGAAGTCGGCGGTGATTTTTAACCTGCGGTGTGTCAGTTTTTTCTTTCGATGTGTCGCCAGGGGCTTGGTTGTTGGATCCTTACTCAGGAACAGCTTGGAGAATTTGTAGCGAGTGGTATGGTGTGGAAAGCGATCGATTGCGGTGGGTCTCGTGAAAGACATGGCCAGTCAGACCGAGCTCCTTGTCGACTTGCAGGGTGCCTTGGTAGAATTTGACCGACTCTTCGACGGTCCATGTGTCCCTATATCTCCGGTGAGTATTCAATTTGGGCAAGCAAATTAGTTATTTGAGTCCTTACTGTCCCGATTGGAAGTTGATGGCAACCGGTCGTAGCACCGCTGTTGATTGGAGAACATCGCGGTAGTTTTGGAGATGGTGTTGGGCATCTAGACCAACAGGTCTAGGACCGACGTATCCAACCCAAGAACTATGGGCTCTGTTGCTCCCATATTAGTTCTCCGGTACTTTTCTGGGTTTCGAGGGAAACTTACAGAACACTCATCTCCAAACCAACCTGGTCTAGCAGTTCTCTCAGGCGCGGAAACTCGGCAACAGGGTCCAGCTGATGGATATCTATCTCAACGCCATCTTGAAGAATACCCAAGATCAGCTCATGATTTGACAGGGACTATTCGTTTGTATCGATAGAATGCGCACATACTGTAACCGTGCTTCTTGAGCTCTGGAAACCAGGCTTTCCAATTTTCGAGACCGGGACCTCCCTTATCCACTCCCCAGGTTGTTCTATGGCGTGTGATTCCCATTCTGCAGTGTGTGATTCTTAACTTATAGTTCTCCAAAAGTTTTGCAACAGTTGGAGCTAGACGCGACCAAATTTATTTATCACTTTCGTTGCGCTGGGATCTACATCTCGCCCAGATCGGGGCAACGCTGACCTGTTCCCAAAATGGGAATAATTCCCGCAGGATGAGTGGGGCACGGCTATTGATTCACGGGCTGTGAATGGTCAAATTGGAAGCGGGTGCGGCGTTTTTTAACACTTTGGGGTAGAGTGGGTCCTTCGTCGGCGAACTTTGCCTCGCAGAATTGATCAAGTCCTCCGTGCTCCGCGATCTGATGTCAAGAGATGCGGAGAAGAGACTGGTAGCTATTCACATCCCACTTTTCTTTCTTGTGTTGTCTGATTTACCCCGCGCTAAATTGCGTGATAAATCAAGCTGGGCTATTATTGATACGGAGAATTTCACTCTCAATCGTTAACTAACATCGGAAGCTTGGAATCACATTGTTTATACACGAATAGAGGCCGGGCTATTTTATCATATCCAATGCATTCTGAGTATCTAAGACAGCCATTTATATTTATTTTCTATAATAAAAATAATAAATAAAAAAATAAATAAAAATAAAAATAAAAAAGCGGGTTTAGCTACTTTTCATTGAGGGCTGCTAAACTGGGCAACAAGACACAAGACTGCAAAATAGGAGAGAAGGAATATTTCATTCTGGTATGTAGCCGGCGATAAGGCTAGAGTTCGGGCCGATGAGTGGCAGCATTGCGCTTAATCATGGCAGTTATTCATTTACCTGTGCCGCGCCTCAGAAACCACCATTGGGGTGTAGTAAAACCTTTGTGAAACCGTCTGCTCTTTTGTCGAACTTATCGTATGCCATCTCCGCATCGGCCAATCCTAGCTCGTGTGATACTACGAAGCTAGGCTTCGCTTTTCCGGCGATTATAAGGTCTCTCAGATATCTGTTGTAGGATTTCACGTTGCACTGTCCGGTACCCATAGAAAGGCCCTAGAAGGAGAAAGTCAGAATGTTCTTTTCAAAAGGCTCTGGATATTGCCAAATATTCAAAAGACATACCTTCTCGAAAAGCTTTCCAAAGCTCAAGCTGATCATTCCATTTGCAGTAGCAGGGTCGGCGGCACCAGGGTCGCTGAGTAAACGTCAAAAACATGAAGCAACCAAGTATGAGTACAACGGAGAACTTACCTAGGGACGTAGAGTCCCGGAAATTCCCAGTCCACCACAAGCACGAGTCACCCGAATCATGTTCTCAAGAACAATGTTGGCCTTCTCGGAGGAGCCGTCGGAACCAACTGCCTGGTAGCCGACAGCGTCGATGGACCGGTCAACCTCACCACCGTTATGCGCGATAATCTGGTCAACTGCATCGCCCTTTGTGAAATCAATTGGAATGCACCCAATCTTCTTCGCGGCTTCCAAGCGCTCGGCGACACGATCAACCACGTATATGTTCGATCCTCCTCGCAATGCAGCCGAGTACGCCGCCATCAGACCAACAGGACCGGCGCCGAAGACAGCAATGCTTTCACCTGACTTGAACCCGGAAATTTCGACACCGTGCCAGCCTGTGAGAACCTTGTAAGTCATGGGGGAAATGTAGTGCGGAAAGGGATATCGTACCGGTGGGGAAAATATCTGTCGCGGGAATTAGTAAACTTGGAAGTGACCAAAATGCAAATGCTGTTGCTCGACATACCTGCAAGAAGAATAAAATCGGACTCGTGCTCCTTGCCTGGGGGGAGCTTCAGAGCATTGAAATCGGCATATGGGATACGAATATACTGTGCCTGTCCTCCGCGGTAAGGGCCCATGGCGACATAACCTGCAAGCTGTTAGAGAACTGCCATAGAAACCACATGTAGTACCATGGACTTTTTCTGACCGTATGCACCACCTGCGAATCCGGGATTGACACCAGTGCAGAAAGCCGTTTTTCCTTCCTCGCAGTTGCGGCAGCGGCCGTCGGCGACATTGAATGGCATCACAACACGGTCGCCTTTCTTCAATAATGTGACTCCCTCTCCGAGCTCCTCAACGATTCCCATATTCTCGTGTCCTTTTGCCTTTTCAGTGATTGTCGACAGTTGGTTCAGCGTGGAAATCTTACCGAAAGTTATTCCTGGCTCCGCGGCCGTTCTCCCTTCGTACATGCTAAAGACAGGTAAGTTTCGCACGTCGAAAACTCATCGCTCCATCCCCTTTCATTTAACCTACTGCAAGTCTGACCCGCAGATAGCAGCCTAGATCTCAGGTCAACTCCTGCGCTTTTCACTAGCGAAACTCAAGATATAACTCACAGTGGTGACCTTGACAATAACATCATCAGGATGCTGCAACTTTGGCTTTTCCACCTCTTCCACGCGAACCTTGTAAGGCCCGAGGTAGTTCAATGCCTGCATGGTGGTAGCGGACGTCATTTTGAGCTAAATGGACAATGTCAAAATGTTGGGGAGGTTTGTGTCTGACGGGCGAGTCGCGCGGGGTATTTGGATTTATTTGTACGATCAGCTCGGAATTGTGTCGCAGCGGCAAATGTCAAAACGCGGTGGTTTGACCCTCCGGTGATCCTTGTACTTGTTTCTATGGATGCGGGGTGTGTTGCGGCCGTGAGGGGAAATAAACCCCCCGCATTCGACTCGGGCAATATTGCCCGATCGCCGAGTTTTACTCAACTAGTTCACTCTACGTGGGGCAGATTTATTCACTTGGTAGGGGTTGCTCAATACGTCAGACAATTCAGGAGTCTGCATTTCATTGCTGGTGAGCTTGTTATGGACGCTGCTAAGGTTGTGGCCATGGTGGTGATTGATGGTGGGATATTTGATGAGGTTGTCAATTCTGGTAGGGTTTCTCAAGTGGAGGTGAAAGGAAAACTGATAATACAGAGGCGAAAATTAAAAAGAAGAAGAATTTTGAGCTTTCCCATCATGTATTAAAGATGACATCCTGGTCTATACATTTAGTCATACCGGAAAATGCGGTCTGAAGCAAGCCAGCCACGTCGGCCGATCCATTTTCTAGTAGAGCATGACCACAAGAGCGCCGCTTTATGATGTCCCAAATTCTCACGTTTGACTCGAACTGTTCGGTGAAGCCGGAAGCATGCCGGGTCTCGCATAGCCGGAAGTGGGCGTCCAGGATATCTCTCGCAGGGAGCTGCTTGTCTTCGGGAACGGCTCCCGAAGTAAAACCTCAGTAAACCCACTTTGACTCCTTAATGGAGCAGGTACTTTGCGAAAGAAAGAGCGGCCTTCCACACTCCATACTGACAACCGGTGCAATAGTACTAGTACCTAGATAGTTACTGATTTCAAGCAAAGGCTTTGTGGTCTATTGCTTCCATGCATATACATTTTATTGGACCATCCGTCCGGTTTTCGAATCTTCCCTGGTACCCAGCCGGGTAGGCTTATTAGTAGCTTTTACGGTTCTTAATGTCAGCTTTGCTTTATAGTACTACCTTGGGTGTTACTCGGTCATATCACCCTGTCTTTCATTTATTCAACTAGTTCCTTGAATGTTGTTTTTACTAGTAGTATCATTGTTCTATTATGTACAGCCCTTGGCAGTCTACAGATATAGACGGGCAGCCTAAATACCTATGGCAGATTCAACGAGCCAGCTGCTTCTATGTAGTGTGGCAGGCCACTATTCCTTTCCGCCATAGTAATCGAAAACTAGAACCTGAATAGTGAAATATTATAATTAGCAGACCGTTCATTTCTAGTTGTTTGCCATAGGTAATAGGGCCGTTGAGAGTAGTATACCCTCGAATTTCCTAGATCTATTGGTGGCGCTTTTGATGCTACAATATGTACAGGAATGGAATATGCACAACGTGTCAGATGATAGAAAACCATATTGGAAATAGTCAAGATCTAATTGAGGCTTGTCTGGCTGCAAGTGACACCTGAAGCCCAAGGTATCATCGAACACTCAACTATTCAAAGGAATGTCCCCCTCCACCACGGCGTGAGTGTCCAATTAACTTGTGTCCCAATAAAAGCCACACGTAGCCGTATGGGCTCTTGGGGAAAGGATTACCACTGGTCGGGGTCGGCATCGGCAAAAACGGTGCCAGCTGCGATCTCATCGTACCAAATTTGCCGAGTGCCCTGTGTACCCTTCATGCCACCATCATCATGCCAGCCATTGGCATAGAGTCCGACGCGGAACTGGAATGCACGGTCATCTTCGATAGTGGTGTTGATATCGTATTTTTCCAGAACCTTCGTGCCATCAAACCACAGCTTAAAGTAACCGGTACCATCGGTCTTCCAGCTGGATTGAATCTCAATTTTGTGCCACGCACCAGCTGACACGGTCGCCAGATTGGGGAAAGTGGTGATCTTCTGTGCACAGATGGTCCCATACTTGACTCTGGTATACAGCTGATCCCCGACAAGCCACACCATACTGGAAGGCATCCAATCATCACAGCCTGTGTCGGTGAAGTCGGCGATGAATTGAGCGATGTTATAAGACTGGGCTGGAGAGGTCTGCCAACTCTCCTGCAGGCGGAACATGAAGCCGTAGAAACCAGTGTCGCCGCGCTTATAGACATTGTTCTTGACAACCTCGGAGTGGTATCTTCCGGTATAGCTGGAGTCGTATACCTGGGTCATCTTCAAGGCGGTTGGACCTTCATAATAGACATTGGTCACTTCCTGGACGGTACCCGAATGCTCTTGATTCGTAGCATCCCAGCCCGCGAGTGTTCCCTTGTTGCTGAAAATCTGAGTAGCCTGAGTAGTCAGAGCAAGCATGGCCGCAGCCAAAGTGACTTTCAATTGCATCTTGAAGATTGCAAGGTGTGCTTTGTATAAGAATTGGAAGTTTTGGGAAGATGGTTAATATTTTTTTTGGAGTTCGAGATGCGATGACGATGCTTTTTAAGTCAATTCATCCGACGTCTATTTTCATACATCTGTATCTCAATTTCTGACGTGTGATACCAGATTGAGTTAATGGTATCTGGATTTCTCCTCATCAATGAGCCAACTTCAGTTTTCGGTGAAGATGAAACGAAGAATCGCTTAAAGTGGGGTTTCTGCAAAAGTTGGCCCAATATAGTCGAATTCTATCCGAGAAATCACAACGCTAATAGGGTCAATGTCACCTTTCGCTCGGCACGCTTTTCCCTCAATAATATCATGCCAATTTCCCGCTGTTCCCGCCGCCAAGATCCAGAGATGACCGCATATTCCAGTGGCATTAGCTTGGTAACATGATATGGATTTATTTCCTAGTATAACCCGATGCTAGTATGAAGCACTACACATGTTTCTGCTTTCTGGTTGGATTAGATCATTAGTTTTCATGCATGCACAGATATATTTTTAGTTCTACATGTCGAAGACAAACAACCATTCAAGGGGGGGCGGGACGGACCGATGAGACCCTACCCCGCAATGTGCCCCTGGCATATTAAAACTAATCGTTACTGGAATCACAATTTTCCTATAAATTAGGAAGAACTTGAAGCAAATGCCCAACCCATTAGATTTTATCTTCCATTTAAGATATAGACTGATGAGTCAATACTACCTCACATGATAGATTTCTTCTAGGAAGGTGAAGATAAATAGTTTAGGATTCTTGAGCCTGCGATCAGCTTCTGCTTATTATTTTTAGCCAGTTCATCTCGTAAGACGCCACATTATCAGCTAGTAAAAGCAGCTGCAAGCTAACATCGCTTGAGTCTTATGCTGTGCATATACAAGTTTTCTTCACCGCTCATTGGCATTGCCCTGAAGGAAAGTAATGTGTCGTGTTCTGGAATTACCCGAGGAATGCAAGCCTCGGCTGATCCGCATGTTGGCCTTGTGGCCTGAAAGCCCCTTGAAACATGCCACTTCCTATTCCGGCGTCGTAGCATTCCTCAGAAGCCACTTTTTGGCATGGTTGTGAGGGGTGCGGAGGTCGCAATTCGGTGGCGGGCTCGTTCGTTCCATGAACTGACTTGCCACGCCCCTTGCCCTTCTAACAGAATTTTGAGATTCCATTTCCGAACCCATACATTTTTGACAGCGATCGGCAAGTGTCCGTGCCCCGGCTTCTCACCTGCCATGCACGGAGATATTTTGGCTTCCGGGACTTTTTTAGGCTTAATAGTATAATCGGACAGGTCTCATGAGCACTTTGAAATAGTATATTCACGAGCGCAGTTGATCAGTGTCATATCAACATATCACAGTCATTTCGTAAGAATTCCAAGGCAATTAACGATGGTTCGATATGTCACTTGTTCAGTTTGTATGCTTCATCATGACGGTTTCTACGGAGTATTTGGACGGGTTTCCGAATGCGGTAGTTTGGGTCCATCCCATGAAGCATTCGACCCCTCAAGCTAAGACGAAGACGGCAGCACTGCTTGCAATAACCAAACAACCTATTTCGGACATTCATCTCAATCTGCGAACAAATTATATTGAAATCTATATAACAGTCCTTCAATCCCGCCTCTGTTTTCCAGTTGGTTAAAGCAAAGATCCTCTCATCAGATCATATCCCATCTTCTCTCTCGAATTTCTGAACTCAACCCTCTCCAAGACTTCCAATTAGTCCCTCAATCGGTCATAACCACCACCAACAAACCAATCTTCAAAATGCAGTTCACGAACGCCGCCGCACTCGCCTGTGCCCTCTTCTCCTCCATTCCCTCGCCTCCCCGGCGGAAGCCTCGTGGAGAACCACTGCCACAGTCCAACTCGCCAACGACCAATCGGGCGCAAATTCCAATGTTGCTGTCCCAGTTGATGGCAAGAAGCGCCCCGTTCAAGAGCTTTGGGGTCACACCGCTGTCGCTAAGCATGGCCTCGTCTTCGCATCGAGCGCCCAGCTCGTTGCTTTCCAGCAGACCACTGTCTGCACTATTACCGAAGAGCCTCGCGTTGATGTCACCCTGGACGCCAAGAAGACTTGGGCATCCTTCGGCGGTGTTGTCGATCTCTGTGCCGCTTATATTGTTTGCAAGTGTGAGGGTATGTGAACAACTGGAACCAATCATTTCTCATTGTCGAAGGAAATAATGGTAGTTTATAATCGGAGTGTTTGAATCTGTATATCGGTCACAAGTAGAAAATGTATCTAATCTAGCATCATTTGATTTCAAATATTTCACTTTTACATCCTTGAAATGAAGATAGTCAGCCGTTCGAACTTTGAAAATGAAATTCCGGCGTCTTTATGGATCAATTGGGGGAGAAAATTAGACGCCTAATCTTTGAAGAAATTTCATGGTAACTCAAAAGACACAGATACATAGTATACTATTTACATGTATTATAGATTGGCACACCCTTTCCTGTCGTTTTTGACAGAATTTTGCCCAACACTACCGCCCTACGGCTCCGTACCAGCACAGACCTAGTACTGCGCCAACAATAATCGACCCAGCAGGAGGCAACCGAAACCATGCATTGCTTGCATATGACACAGTTGCCACTACTAACCACCACGGGTCGTTTGCCAGGCTTTGTCCAGCGCTATTAGCCGCGGTCAAGTAGCCAATCTCCCATAGCCGGTACACAGCGGTGAATACCAGGCCAATTGCTGTGGCATTGACACCTCGCAAGAAACGAATCACAGACCTCCTCTTCCGTAACGCGCTCCAGAAACTCTGGATTGCAACGGCAAGGGTAATTCCCGGGACAAAAATGCCTAGCCCACCTAGAATTCCGCCGAAGACAGTTGGGTATTGCGAATGCTGGAGAGCTAGCGCACCCAAGAAGACAGCGAAGTTGAAGTTAGGCCCCGGAAAGGCTTGGATAATGGCTAAGCCTATCAGAAAGTCACGGCTAGAAACCCAGCCAGGACCAACAACATAAGAGCGAAGCAGCGGAATGACAACTGGACCTCCACCAAAAATCACAGTTCCTGCGAGGTACATGCCGGCGAATAGATCAAGCGGGAGTGGAGGGGGCATCAATTTAGCTCTAGCGACAAGAATTGCAATGAAGGAAGCTATTCCATCGTTAGTTCCAGTATCAGTGTAGCAGTCGGCTTAGGGAAAATACCAAAGAAAATAATTAATATAGCAACTCCAGTCCGAACGCGAATACTATATTTCGGTTGTTGACTTGCTTCACTCTCTATCTGCCGCGATGAGTTCAACAAGGCCCCAGAGGATTGTGGCAAAGCTCCACCAGGATCAACCTTCCTTGACCGAAGCGTTCCATTCCGCTCCAATTGTCCGGGTGAGATAGAGTCCATCGGCGTGGAATCTATGTTCGTCTCCTCTGAATCAGCTGGTTTTCTATGCCTGTTCTTCCAGGCAAGTCTTGTCCTGTGTATTAGGGAAAACAACCATCCATCCCATATAGCGATAGTGAGACCTCCAATAAGCATCAATACCGGAAAGTACCACAGAGTGTTATAACAGAGGCCTGCGCATGCACCAAAAATAATAAGAATGCGAGAAATTTTATCTTGAATCGCTTTTTCTGCGAGATGCACTGCAGAAACCGCGACAATACCGACAGTTGAAGCATTAAGCCCGGATAGGAGAGCGTATACCGGCCCAGGAAGGCTCTCGCTAACATTCTGGATACCAACCGAGAGGGCGTACATGCCGATTGCCCCCGGAAGACTAAAATTAATTTAGTATGGTCAAACGAAAGGTTTTGCAGACCCCTTACCTCCAAAGGAAAAATGCCATAATAGCCGGAATTACTCCCGCATGGAGTAGAACAAGACAAAAGAGCATCTTTGTGCTGCCTGGGCCAGGAAGGCCCTGGCAGATAGCAAAGAGCTCCTGATACTGTGCAAAGTGTCAGAGAAGGCTCTAAAGAAATGTATAACGTAGACTTTGGTACAGTCTGCTCATCCACCCATTTCTGTTTCCCTCCTTTCCCTTCCACAAATCGGGCGTGGAGAATTTGAAAGTGTACAGGAGGGCCCCCGAAAGCAATAAATCCTAGGTCCCATGTACGCAGAAAGACGTCGATCATGCGGTGAGCGAGGGGATCTTCGTCGTGACTATTCCGTCTGGTTTCGGCGTAGCTGCGCCACTTCTGTTTCAGCGAGCTAATGGACCCGCTATATCGCGAGAAAGGGGAGGGAAGTAACATATTAGAATTTTTGCATCGAAGTTGTTGACTTGACCACTGAGTTGGTTGCAAGTCCCAGGGTTCAATATATATGTAGCGAAGTGTATTGGATGAGCATTAGCTTAGAATTTCATGTCGCCTGCGACTAGTGATTGGCCACAATATCTCTTGGCACCATTCCAACTACCCCATGTGTCAATACTTTATCTGGTGATTGGTTGGAGCATCTGATAGGCTAGCACCAATGCGGTGTCCGATCGCTCCACACAGGTCAACCATGCGAAGTCCCAGCCCAGCTTGGGCCTTGGTTACAGTGAATCTGGTTTGAGCGAGTGTCTCCATATACTTCACACAAGGAGAGTGTAATTCCGGGCCGTCTCAGCACGCTTCCTGAAATCCTTTTCATGCATTCATTAGTATTCTAACTACCTCCCCGCCGGGAATTTGGGATCAAAATCAATTTGCCAATCCTGTGTTAAGAACTTCATAAAAGTACCATGTGTCACGACTAGTATGTCCTTCCATTCACCCTCTACTTCGGAGCTTAAATCCGCCACTATTGCCCTCACTATTCATGCTCGTTCCTTCACTGTCTCATCAATTATAGAATTTATACCTTCCTTCACCTGCCAATCGTGTTTTCAACTTTTGAAAATTCGATCTTGGAAAATATCCTTTTAGTATAGCACGATCTGACCCAGTGTCACAGGGAAGAACACCCCTCTCCTGTAAATCAGCGTCGACGACAAGCTTCACACCATTCTCAACGCCTTTTTTGAGCCTGGTTCAAAGCACTGTTATAAAGAATGTTTGGAAGGCCAATAAAGAGGTTTTGTAATATCCCCTCATTATTCAATTTGGTACATGTTTGCTTTGTTCTTTGAGGTGCTTAAATCAACAATGTCCTATATCTGGCCCTTGCTCTACCTATCTGTTAGAGAATAATCCATAGCAAGAATACTGGACGAATCGAGTCTTTAGAGAGTTTTGGCTATTTGGCCTAGTTATCTGGCCTACTAACTCTTGCTTTAAGTCAGTAGCAGACAATAATTATAGAATACATTTTGCTCTTATATTAGTACTTATACTGTAGGAAGCTATACAGATCTTATATTTATAGATTAGTTTGAAAGTATACTATAAACTGAGAACATTTCATATTAAATTACTGCTAGTAAACAGTAAACTCTAGATATAGGAATCTGAGATAGACAGCTAAGAGTACTATACTAGTATTCCTCTCTATTTCTAAAAATATAACTAAATCTAAGAACAAATTATAACAGGCTCAAACTTAATGTGCAAAATAATGCCTCGCCTCGCAGAAACATGAAAATGTCAGTAAATCTCAGGGGGACCAGCCATATCCAGAATAGGAAAAGAAAACATAGTCGTTAAGTTAATTGGGTACTGCTGAGAGATACTTCAGCTGTCACGGGATTCCGAGTATACAACACCTCAGGCATTCGACGCCGATCCGAAGCTGAATCCTCTTTGAGTCACCTGCATATCGAGGCCCACCTGAACCCTAGTGTATTTAAGATCCTACAAACATCCAGGATTCTTGATCTCTTCAAGAATCAGTCTGTGTATCAACTGTCCAATCTGATCTCCACTATCCGATATCCTTGCCTAGTCAACAGGTCTCTAGCCTGACAACTTAGTAACTATTACAATTATTATTAAAAAGATAATTAGTTATTGTGGATATCTGTAGAGTAGTATAACCTGAGTAATATTGTGAGATATTAGCTAGTTATCTTTAGTATCTAATAAGATTCGAAGCTATAGTATAATGATAAGTAATAGTAGAGATTCTAAAAGTAAATCTTAATGTTGAGACTTATCTATTATCTTAACTCTAGATAGATATCTAGGAAGTATTAAGTACTGTAGTAACGGTACAGTAAGATATAGAAAGGAGAAGTTAATACCTTGCTAGTTTAGATATTACTTTGTTTGTAGTGTTTGTTATCTTTATTTAGAAACCTTTAGAAACTTTAGGCTTTTAATTTTAGGCTTGTGTATCTGTGTTATAATCTATAAAAAGGAACTGATATTATTACTAGTATATCCAGAACGTATTATTTACTTGTCTTATATGATTAGGGTTTGAAAGAGCATCTCTATGTTCGCGGCGTGGAAACCGATGTCGGGCGGTTCTGTACTTTTTTTGAAGATAGGCTTCTCCGAGCAGGGGTATCCCTGATCACATCCCGCATTCATGGTGCGACGGCTTCACCAACCACTACACCAACCTTGGAATCTATTTAATCTAATCCCGACGATGTTTCTTCCCAAAACTAAACTGCTATATATTCCTACCCATTAGGACTATTTGTACTGAATTCATTGGTGCAAGCTGCGGACGCGATCTGGGTTAAACTGGGTTCCAAGATTTCCCCCGCCCGTGCCATCAAAGGGGAAATTGAAATGAGATCCAAAATCTAGCCTGCTCATTGGTTAACAGCACAGCGACAAGGGAAATTGACCCCGCATAACGTGGCTTCGATGTTTTGCCGCAATATTCCAGGGTTGAACAGATGTGATCATCGTAGAGAAGACCAACAGCTAATCATCAACCCTTACACAGGCCTCCGTCGCGTAGCCTCGGCAAGCATCATAACCTCATTGAGAGCATTCTGGTTCAAGAAAATGAGCTTTCACTGTACGAGTAAATGATAAAATCAGAAATTCGGGAGGAAATCCGATGCTTGTATTGAGTTCTGGGAGTCATACGCTTCCCCACAAACTTTGATTGTGGGAGAGAAAATGGCTATTTACGAACGTTTCGTAAACACGGTCCCATGGGGCGTTGTAGATCTGAGTGATACTCCTAGCCATATGGTGGCAACTAAATTGCAAAGGAACTAGTGAAGCGACGCAGACTTAAATTTCTCCTTTTTAATAGCGAATAAAGAAGCAACTCCTCAAGGCCACGCCACTGCGGCAAATGCAACAATGCTTCCCAAATTCCACTATGGAAGAACAGTTATATCTCTCATTGACTGTCTCATATAACAAATGATAGTTGGTGTACCTTGCAACTGCTCAGCCCCTGGATGTGTATCACTCGCATCGGAAATACCCAGAAACGATAAAGATCTTGTTCGGGGCTTTTGAAGAGCAATATCCACCGAAGGCCTTCCTGTTCCCAGTTGCTCCCAACGCTCTGGTCGTGACCATTCAGTCTCTGGTCGTGACCATTCAGTCTCATCGCCTTGGTGTGTCCGTCAGTGCGGTCCAATGCTGCAAGGTGGTGACCAGGGCCCGCAAAACGAGGTGTACTTTCGTCCCAGCGGGAGAGGGCAGTCGATATTGACTAGAGATGGTCAGCATTTGGAGGTATCAGATATTGTTGAACGGGAAATCTACAAACTTTTCGCTCCCCAGACTGGCGAAGAAGTTCAGTCCTCCGAGTTTAATCCTGGTGACACCTCTGAACCTGGGATTATCCCAGTACCCCGGAAAAGAAAGGAAAAATCCGCCAGAATAAACAAAAACCCTGCGCCAAGGACAATTGACGTGTTCAAGGGACACGAGCGGTAACTGGAGACTCCAGAGAATCCGCATACCGGAATGACAGTCGCTCGGACAGTTTCGAATTGTTCGCAAGCATCCAAGAAGTTGACACGCCTTGTATTTCAACGGGGGGCCCACGGTTCCGAAGAGGTCTTGAGATGCGGATAGGGCTAAGAGGGAAATCGCCGAGCCTGTTGTCCGGAAGTTTTAAGCCTTGATTCAAGGTGAATCCAAGCCACGGAAGCAGTTTTCATTTTGTGGGATAAATGGAATAAATCCGGGGGAGACCAGATGGTCCTCGTGTCAGAATAACCATTCATAATGGCGAGGAATATTGTATTTTGAACGAAATGGACCGTGTTGGATACATGGCGGTGGAGTGTTAGACGACGAGTGATCGATTTGGGCAACTGAAGACAGAAAGCAATTCTTGTTGTTCGGTTTTTGAAAAGAGGGCTTGGTTATCTCGCTTCTTCTGAACTTGAACATCTCCATTACGACGCATTTTCCCACCCGCTGGACTTCTCAAGCAGGCATTTTGTCCGGAGTCCAACGTCAAAAACGGTACGGAATCCGGGGCCAGGTTTGGGAAGCAATGTGGGCAATTTTTATTGTTCCTATTGACACCATTAGCATCCAGGAGCAATAGGCGTGTGAAATAAAAGGTCTTACTGGTCAAAAACCTCTATTGATGGGCAATATAACCGACAAAAAGAGTTGAAGGCTCCCTAATTGAGGCCTTTCCCAATCGGTAAGGTGGGAGCATCCGGAAGTTTCCCAACGAAAGTTGCCATGTTTTCTTCCCTGGTGCTCTCTCGCTTGTTTGCAAACACATTCACTCAGGCAGCTGTTTTCTGAGAGGGTATAAGAACCTGCCCTCCTTCCATTTCTCTCCTCTTCCGACTTCCCCTCTTCACTTCCCATCTCTCACTTCCACCTTCTGGACCCCTGATCCCCTCCCCCTCTTCTGTCGTGACTATCACGATACACTTTCCTCTCTTCTTAGTTTTCTTCCCTTTCATCCTTTTAATTTGCCGTTTGGGCTTGGGGGACGGTCAGCGGTGGATTGTGGTGAATCCTGGCGTAGCGCGATTCAGGGACGCTGGCTTGGAGGACTTGGTAAGTATCCCCCTCTTCCGTCCTTCTCTTTCCATCATCTCACCTCTTTCATCTAGACTTAGGGGTCGACCAGCGTGGTGAATTGTGGTTGATTGTAGTGGAGCGGAGCGTGGTTGGGGGACGCAGGTCTGGAGGACTTGGGCGACAGTAAGTATCTCCCTCTTCCCTCCTTCCCTTTCCTCATTCCCATGCATCCCGCCTCGGACAAGAAACTACATTCTGATTGACCTCATCTAGGGAAACCAGGGTGGTGGAGTGTGGTGGAACGTGGTTGGGTGGTAGGACTGGGGGAGTTGGGCGACAGTAAGTATCCCTCTCCTCGTCTATCTTTTTTCTTTGCATCATCTCATTCGACCTCCCACCATCCCACTTTCTAAACGAAGCAAGCTGCTGACGGGTTTCTTTTTGAAGATCGACAACTCCGGCCGGGCTCGGATTCACGGCTGGATCCCCATGGACACGCTTGATCATCGAGACGATGATCGTCCTAAAATTCGCTCACCCTGACTGTTCTTCAGTTGGAGGGCCGACAGATGAACTGGGACAAGATCAAACCCTCTTTCTTGAAGTGAGATCGATGACCTTCCATGTCCTGAAATCACGGGCAGCAAAGAGAACATGACCCGTGGGCCTTGAAGAGCCTTTTTTCCTTTCTCTCGCTCCCCCCTTCTTTTCCCCTTCCCCCTCCCCTTTCTTGTCATCCACGTTTTCAGCACCACTCCGCACACGCGAGTCTTAGGGAGGGCCGCAGGATGATCACCTCGGTCTGCATGTAAGCAGCGGTCAATGAAGGTTGGCCGAAACGAGTATCTGATTGTTGGCTGTGGGCATTTTTGTGTTGGCGTCGGCGAGGGGTTCAGAGGGACTGGACTTTATCTTCTATTCGATGATTAAACCGTTGTGATGATTCGAGGTTTCGCGTTCCCCGTGGGCTGAACATCCCCTACGGTTCGCAAGTACTTGTGGTACGACCCGGATCCATCAGATGAAAGGAGACACCCCACTGGATTGCCGAGAACGCCTGACAAAAAATCTATGAGAGTAATCAAATCTTCTTCATGTTTTTCATATTCTTGTATCTACTATCTGACTTGTTTACTCAGAATACAACTAGCCTCTTCCAACTTTTCTTCTTTGAACTCAACATCTTTCTTCTCTCTACTCATAGAATATAGCTCAAAATGGACGAGTTTTCTCGGTCATGAAGCAGGAAGCTGATCATATGTTCCCACGATAAGTAGTGTGCTTGATACTTCGTTTCCTTTCTCTGCGGAAACAAGTCTTCTTCTTCCAGCATCCCCATTTCGTCCAGGAATCATGTGCCCAGCCTTGGTCGTAATCGGCTTTTATCTCGTTTCAACCGTCAACATCATCTTCTCGAACTAACGGTACCTTAAGGTAGGGTTGAAACTTGCGCTTGAGATAAGGTTGTAGTAGCTGTATCTGCTATGGACACTCTATTCGCAGATTCGTACACCGCTCCAACCCCGATCAGGAAAGATATCAACAATGTCCATCATGATTTGGCCCATGCTCCTCTTAAACTCTTTCTCTTCCTTTCGCCTGTATCGCAGGAACACCTTTATCGGATAAACTGATGATCGGCTACATCCACAGTGTCTACATATGATATTCGCTGAGTTCAAAAACTCGACTGAAGCCGTAAATCGAGCTGCGCACGGCCCATGCGTGCATGCATGACATCATCCCCGCTTCCAATTGCACGGCCAACTTTTCACTTTCTCCAGTTCACAGTTCCCAGTTCCCACGCCATCTGACCTATTCACCTATCGCAAAAACCGCGAACGGCATCGAGTCGCACTATCTCTCCATGTCAGAAAAACTCAAGGATGCCGTGCTCACCGAGGCCGGTAACGCCCGGAAAGCCTCTGAGGAGGTAGCGAAAGCCGGCGCCTATCTCTACCCATTCAAGGTAATTCATTCCATACCTCGGCAGCATACAATCGACGCAGAATTGGCTAATCGAAATGTATGGAAATATAGGGCGTCTTTTACTTTATCACCCACAAAGATCTCTGGGGTCCATTCATGTCCCGCGCGGGCAGAACCATCAGTCTAGGGATGGGAATAACGACATTCATGTTCGTCTTCACCTATTTACCTCAAATGACGATCATGGCCTTTACCAGTGGTCCCTTGGCCGCTGTTTCCGCCGCTCTTCTGGTTCTGAGCGAAAGTTCTACGATCACCAATCTACTTTCGCGATCATTTCTCGTCGAAGATGCCCTCATGGATACCTTTGATGGAACTCTTATCGCCCGCGGCCAGGATTCTCTTGTTGCCGAAGGACGTCAAGTCAAGTCTCGCTCGAGTGGGGATGCCATTGCGAGATTGGGCAAGGTCTTCACCAAGCCTTTTTCCAAGTTGAAGCCCCAGGCCATTGTACGATCGTTGATTCTCCTACCCCTGAATCTTATCCCCGTGGTTGGAACATTGCTGTATGTCGCCCTTCAAGGAAAAAGGGTCGGCCCATCACTACATGCGCGGTACTTCCAGCTCAAGGGGTGGAACGGATCTCAGTCCGATGAATGGGTTAAGCGGAATCGGGGTGCTTATACTGGGTATGGATATCCCCCCCCCCCGCATATTCGATTGGCCATTACTGACTAGTAACGCGCGCAGACTTGGAATTTCAGCTTTTGCCTTGGAGATGATTCCCTTCGCCTCTATTGCCTTTTCATTTACCAACACCGTTGGAGCTGCGCTTTATGCTGCGGACTTGGAGGACGCGACCAAATAACTGTCCAGGCTGCAGCTCGCCTGAACAGCAACCAGTGGTCGCTCGGCATCAACTTGTGCTAAGCCTATTTCGTCTACCTCACTTGAGCATAGCCTGGGGTTGACTATCTTATCGGGTAAGGTTGGTGTTGAGCGACCCACCGGACATTGTCGACCTGAGCTGTAAGCTAGACGATCCTAGCCCAGCGGTTGGCCCGTGATAAGGGTTTCGCCAATGCTTGCCTCATCCACTCCTTTGAGTATAGAAGGCTCTTAGCAGCAGTTTTGCCTATTTATGATGCCCCTCTACTGAATGAATATCACACTGTCTATCTCTGTCAATCAATCCACCTGCGTGACTACGCGTAATAATCCATAATGAAGATTCTAATGCTCCATGGTGAGACCTGAAAGCGCACAAAATAAAATCAAGCAATAACTGAATTTTTCAGGCTCTCGACAATCCGGCGAGCTCTTTCGAGCCAAAATTCAGGGCCTGGAAAAAGTTACTCGACAAGCCCTTGGTCTTTCTCCTCCGCAACAGGTCGATTTCATTTATCCCACCGGGCCTTTCCCTTTGAAGCTTACGAGCAATGACTCCGATCTGCGCGGTCGGCATGGTTCATGGACCTGGTTCAATACCGAGTCGATTGACGGCATTTATCCCGGCTTGGACACAAGCTTAGAGTGCATTTCCTCTATTCTGAAGAGTTCCGGGCCATTTGATGGTATCATTGGCTTCAGTCAAGGTGCAGCTTTGGCGATCATGATCGCCTCGCTCCTTGAAGAGAATCGGAAAGAATCCTTTGATCGCCTGCAAGTTACAGGGGGCATTCCTCATCCTAACGCGTTTTCTGCGCGCTATCATCCCCCGTTAAAGTTTGTTGTCTGCATTTCTGGCTACGCCGCTTCCCATTCAACATATCGAGCTTTCTACAATCCTCCAATCGAAACCTCCGTTTTGCAATTCCTCGGAAGTATGGATACTATAGTGGATGAAAACACGTCGCTGAAGCTTATTCAATGTTGTGGGGGCCCAGAGAATGAAACAACGCCAGCAGTCTTGCGGCACCCAGGTGGACACACAGTTCCAGGTGGGAAACGCGAACTTGTGCCGATTGCTCTTTTTTATTAAGTCGAGTAGCGTTGAGTAATCTAACCATTATATTTCACTATGATATCGACAAACTGAAAGCTCCGGACCATGGCTTGCATAGATATTCATTCCTTTTCAAGCTCCTGTCGAAAGGTGCTCCTTCTCCGAATTCTCTCGCCATAGCGAATAAATACAAAGGGAATGAAAGTCATAAGCAGACTCAAAAATCCCAGTAAGCTCGTCCCCCAATTAACTCCAAGGCGATGGAACATGGGACTAGCAGCTAGAGGCAAGATGGCTCCAAATATAGAGCGACATGTGCTAGCAGCTGCCATGGCGCTTGCAGCGTATTTATGATAGGCATCGATTAAATAATTAATCAACGCCACGAATATCAGGAAGAAACCCATGCCGAAAGGTATCCCAGCTAGCATCGGTACAATCCAATGGATCTCGGCAGAGGCAGTCCAGCCGAGCCAGAACAAAGCTAAAACGTAAAGGGGTCCCCCAAGACATGCAAGTGGTAGTCGTTGGTATTCCTCAATGAAAGCCCATTCTGCATTTTGGGACTTTGCGCGGTAAAGAAATGAGTCGTACCACAGGAATATTATCATCCCGATTGCGGCTCCGACGGCAATGGGAAGAAACGCAAGACCGGCTATCCCGTCGCTCATTCCGTATATTCCCTGAAATATCAAGGGATATGCCTCAAAATACATGACTTTCTCGAGTTAGAAAAAATCATGATTGCATCCCCGGGAATGTTCAGGTCATCGTTGGCAGAGCTCACTCACAGAAAATCGCACTTGCATATGATAAGTACAAGCACGTCAAAGATATGATTGGTTCGCAAAATATCATATACACGGGCCTCGTAAAAGCCTTGACTAAAATGCCCTCAACTCGCTTTTTCGGGCGATTGGCTTGCTTGAGAATTGGCGCGAATGTCTCTGGTAGATATAAGACTGGTCCGAGGGTAACGGCCGCAAGAATCAGCGAGACCCAGAAAATCCACCTCCAGCCAACCTGGGCAAGAAATCCTGAGATCATCGGGGCAAATTGAGGACCTGCAGTCGTCACTGCCATTGAAAGTGCCATCATTCTCCCTCTTGCGAGTGGGGTTTGGTAGACATCAGAAAATAAACCTCCAGTGACTGCGATGGGACAAGATGCACAGATTCCGACAATGGTTCGAAAAATCAAAAATGCAGCCCAGTTCGTCGAAAGCGCGCAGGCCAGTGTGAATACCGTAAATAGGATGAAAGTTCCCACCATCACCACTCGTCGGCCGTAGACCTCGCTCATGGGTCCGAAAACTGAGAGGTCCCATAACGTACCCGATCAGGTATACTGACGTCGGTAGAACTTGCTGTGTTTCACTTTCGACGTTGAAAAAAGCAAATATGGAACGAATGCCACCACTTGGTATCGTTGAATCAAAAACGCTGTTAAATAATGTAAGAAGGCCAACGAAGACCACGCACATTTTCTTTCTCTGTTGGAATTTTAGTGAAATGTTTCTTTTCGATTGCGTTTCTTTAAAATGCGGCTGCTCGCCTACCTCGCTCCATTCCGCAGGATCCAATGGGCTATTTCGCTGGATATTCTCGTTTCCTTGTTCTAGATCATCCACGCTAGGGCTAGCTAGAATCGCCGTGACCCGATCGGCGTCGTTTGATTGAGCCATTTCCCCAAGCGCAAACCGAGACTTGAAAAAATAACGTCGCGGATTCGGCTACCTGATCCTTACCACAACCTATTTATATGATTCTTGATTTTTTTTTTCTCCTTCATACACGGCCCATACCTATCTATGATCGACAGCTGCCGTCCGGGCGGGGAGAGAGGATTAGCTAGCTCCACTACGACTCCACACGCCGATGAGGTAAAGCAACTCATACCGAGATAAGCTTTTTATTGGTTGATCATCTGTCAATTCCCATCGATTTGAGATCAATTGCTGACATTTTCACTCTCGTAATAATCCTTCTGTATAAATATTATTAGGCATTATATTTGCATCTCTATCTGCATCTTCTAAGAAAAGATCTGACGTGGTTCTGACTGGCCTTAATGTAGTGACAAGCTACCAGGTATGTGATCAGGATCTGCGACCAGTACTAATAGATCATCTCACTCTCAGTAAAATTGTCTTGAAACATTGAAAAAAGCATTTATTTAACCTACCCTGTAAGCACTGAGTCTCAATTCTTAACCGAATACCGCCGATTACTTATGGCCCCCAATCACGATAGTCGTCGCCGGGCACCGGAATAGGCTTAGGCGTGCTGGGACCCCCTCCAACTTCTCGCCATGACCTGCCCCCGTCAACACATTTGGAAAACGCGATCGGCGGAGCAGCATGAATGACAAGACTCGATTACCAGGCAAGAAACGGTGCAGAGAGTTCACCGGATGCTGGCAATGCCGATCGCGTAAGGTAAAATGTGCAAAATCTCTCGAGACGAATCTCCCCTGCTCGGCCTGCAAAAGGCTGGGCTTGGCTTGTGATGGCTCGAGCTCTCGCCTCGTGTGGTTGGATGAAAATAAATCGTACCGATCCAATGGGCGCCGGTTTATGCACTGCGGTTAGTTACTGACATCTACTTATTACCTCCTCTGCGCGATTCTGAATTCACTAACAAAAAACAGAGCGCACTTGGGGAAATCACCCGCCTCTTGCTTCTGACGCGGTCGATCTTCTGATCTCTGAGTGCGATTTGACTGAGGGCATCGGAGAACGATGTCTTATGGGTGCCAGCCATAGTCCGTTCTCTGTATTCCCCCTAAAAGTGGAAAGCATCTGGTCCAATGGGGGTAGAAACATGAATCATGCTACGAACGAAGACCGACTTCTCTTCCACCATTATGTGGACTATGTTGCGTCCATCATGGTGCCTTTTGAAAATCCCCATGGGCCTTCGAATCCCTGGAAGGTCTTTTATCCATCAGTCTCCCTTCGCTATTTACTCCCCGGGGAAAAGGCTTTGTACCACGCCATTATTGCACATTCTGCTTTCAACATGGCCAATTTAGGCCCTGAAAATCTCAAATCGATGCGATTACGATCGGCTACGAAACACTATAACATTTCAATACAATATGTGAACGAAAGCATTGGGTCTGTCAATAGGGATTCCGCAAGTACGCTTGCTGCAATTATGACATTGATGATGGCCGAGGTTAGTCCTTTTGCGGAGTTTCTTGGGCGGTAAATGCCAGCACATATGGGACATTTGCTAAAATTGGTCTAAAGGTATACAGCGGTCAATCGAAGAAATGGAAGCATCATCTTCAAGGGGCATGGGCGCTCCTCCTTGACCCGCACAGTTTCGAGCTCTGGGATAAATCTCCATTTACACGTTTCTCGGTTCAGAGTTTACTCATTGTGAGAATCATCAGTGGCACCGCTTTGGGAGGTGGTGAGAGTTGTTCGCATGAACTTGACTTGCAGCACGCATCATCACATCGAACTGTCGACACTGTAAATGCCTCCACTTCCAGAGATCTCGCATATACCTCATCGATTTTGTCAACCCCGGAATTTGGATTCACCATTGGGGCGCATAGGTCTTTACTTGAGTGCATATCATCTATAACAGACGCCAAACACAAAATGCGATCGAGCATGACTTTCGATGACCCTTTCGATGTTGACATAACTATCTCTCTTGTGTTAAGCTGTCTGGAAGATATTCGGATGCAGCTGGAAGGAAATAATGTCGTGGAAATTGCAGAAGATATTTCCCTGACTCAGAACCTGGCGCGGTACCAGCTGAGCGCATTCCTATATGCCACTTACATCCATCTCTTTCGATCACTCTTGGATGTGCCTCCACGCCGAGTTGCGAAATATGTGGAATTGGTATTTGTCAATACTCATGCCTTTTATTCTCGAAGCAGAGGAAATTTCTCCTTATGGCCAGCGTTCATCGCTGCAGTGGAAGCTTATACAGAATACGACATTAGCTTGGCCACAGAATGGCTTGAACAATCCAGCAATTTCGGGCTTGGGAACAGACGGAAAATCAAGCAAATTGTCGAAACTGTGTGGATAAGAAGGAATCTGGTGCAGTTGGAGACAAATATGGACAAGGGTCTTATACCAATAGATTGGAGGGAAATCGGTCTCGATACGGATATCCTCTTAGTTTGAAGCAAAAATTGTTGAACCCTTAATCCCTTTTATCGGAATTTCAATGCAGGGTCTGTGCGATCTGCGGGGGATCGCGCATTAAGGCTTACTTCGTTCGTACGGTTCTCAGTACTCCGCAATGGGGTAAATGGTAAATGGGGGGGCCACTTTAAAGTTTCGCGACCCCATTCCGCCTGAGTCATCAATCCATCCCTTGGTAAGCCACCCTGTTCCGATTCATGACGCACTGAATGCTCCACCAGGAACCTCAAGCTCGCTCGACTTCGAGTCTGCCGTACGCGACAGCTTTTCAAATGCCTGCGGCCCCAATGATATGGGTTAATGGGTATCCAGGCTCGGGAAAATTCACTGTCTGCGAAGTGATAAGACAGCTTGTGCCAGACGGAGCCATCATCCTAGATTCTCATAAACTCATCGACCCCGTCGAGGTCAAGTTTCCGCGACTACATCCCGATTATCAAAAAGAACGACATATTTATCGCCAAGCCATATTTAAACAACATGTATACAACAAAGACGCGCTCTCTAAACTAGTCGTGTTCACGGGTGAGTTCCAATCGCGCGTCCTCCTGTGCTACGAGTTTATACATCAGTTTGCTATGAGTCTTGACTAACTTCTCTGTCAGACTTTCAATCAAATAATGCTCTTGGCCGAGATGTGGCGACTGAGTATAAAATAGCTGCTCTAGAATCAGGCAGGCCGTTTTTGCCGGTCTACCTGGTCTGCGACGTCAATACGAATCTCAAGCGTGTCAACACTATCGAGCGTATCGATAGTGGGACGAAGAAGTTAACAAATGTCGAATTGGTCCGAGAGCTTCGTGAGAAATGCGAACTTTTTCACTTCGACGATTGTCCGGGGCTCACACTCGACTCGACAGGGGCATCGCCGCTTGAGATTGCCTCAAAGATCCTTGATTTTGTCGACAACAGCCGGCGTTCTTTTTAACTTCTTGAAGCTAAGATTTTTGTTTCGGGGGTTTTTTCCTATTCGCGAACTTGATCATGAGCATATAGGGCACTTTGAGCTTGTGTTTTACAGAATTTCGGCAGGACTTGATTTGGAGTTCGGCGTTGGATAAGCATGCATGAGCAACACTTCACTTCCAGTCAGCCTGATTGCATATTATTTGATAATAAAATAAAATCCTTCTAGTTTGATGGAGACAGTACTTGAAAATCATCTAACTGTGAAACTGATCACTCAGGCAATTAACCCCGCCCCCGCTACTAGTAGTTACCAGAGCCTCTGCAATTAAAAAGGTCCCGGTTGGTGGAAGAATTGTCTGCCATCTCGGTTAAACTTGGGCAATTTTGTCTCGTTTTCTCCGTCCGAGAACTCTGCGTGCGTTCCAAATCATCTATATTTGGAACATTATTAGGAATGGCTTGCCCAGACGGAGCGAGCACCCTTGGGAGAAAGGTCGGCCCCGGGGCGATAGTAAAATGGCGCCCCACTTCTAAAACCTCGGGGCGGGGCAGTACTGAATGCCACCGACACGGTGCCAGTGGTTAACAAAACAGTGTTTGGCATGCTAATGGGTATATTTCTACACAGAAAGGTAGTATTCATGAAGGGGAATTTAAGCAGATGTATGCTAATTCTTCTTTTTTGATTTTTCAAGAATACGTCGTCGAAAATGAACTAAGTTGCGGAGACGGTTACCAGTAGGTTTATGCATCAAGAAATATATAATCGATTACAAATTAGAAAAATTCCACAGAGTGCCTTAGCATTTTCAAAACCCATCAAGTGTACTTGGGATATATTCAGACTCATAATAAACCCCTAACATGCTATCCAGGAAGCGTGAGGTGTCTACAAAAGAGACATGTCAAAGGCTGAGAATGTTCGTCTCAACCCTGTGTAAAGTGTGTCCATATTGCCAAATTTCGCCCAGCAAACATCAACCACCCCAAGTGGTCGAGCAGTAACTCGACTATTTCATCTTCCTTGGTCTAGTGGTCATGATTTCCGCTTGTCATTAACACCGATAAGCGCGGGAGACCGGGGTTCGATTCCCCGAGGGAGAGTTTCTTTTTGCTTCATGATTTTTTGATCGGGGATCCACTTGATAGATAAGATAGAGAGACATGTTCAGCTTCAGCTGGCAGAGCACGCATCGTCCAGGTCATAAATGTACAGAAGGGGCATGGATTGGTGCGGATTCAGACCCATACCAGATGGCTACAAGTGGAATGATTAATTGCCAGCACTCGAAGCCCTTTGCATATACACATAACCAGACTTTGATTTGCGTATTGACTTAAACGGAGAGAGTTGGAAAGTGATGGGTAATTCTAATAATATTGCGCCAGCTGGATTTAAAATGGAGTACATTGGTGGAACTCGTGCTATGAAAACAGACAATTTGGACAATGAAAATGATGTATCCTATGCAAAATGTCCATTCAAAACCTTGCTTGTAGAAGCTAGTTCCGTATCGAAGACAAGGGGGTCCCCATGGTGTGCGTGCTTCTAAATTCAAACGGCCTCCCTGCGCTTGAGATCTGACTGATAGTTAGTACTGATAAATTGGTCATCGTACTTGATAGAATACTGACCATTCAGGAGTTCCGTGACCACAACCATCTGCTTCTGCACCTGGCGGATCTCCGCAAGAAGCTCCGCAACATCGGCCTTGGTAGCGGGAGCGGGCCCGAGAGAGACTGGTGTGGTTTCTGTCTCTTCAACCTCTTTGTTTTGCCCCGTTGGATCTTCGGACACCTCATCAGCCTCTTCACTAGTCCTTGAACCGGTTGAGGAGGCATCCTGGGGGAGATCAATTATGGCGGTTGCGGGGGCATCGTGGGATTGATCGATTATGTGTGCGATGGCAATAGCGTCGCTCTCGGTTGAAGGGGCATCTTCAGGGTGATCGATTAAGTGCCCGATGGCCAGAGCATCGAGAAGTGTCTCCGCTGATTAAGAATGTGAGAATGTTAGCGCAACACAGAATGGTGGCAGTAGGAATGTACTTACCGGCCTCAAAACGTCCATGAAAGGCCCTGATCTCAAAACCGTGGCGACGAACTACCTCACGAAGATGTCCAACTTCTCGACTAAGCTGTGACACCCGGATAGCGAGGCCAGGAGCCTCTCGCTCGGTGGTGTCAGTGGGAGGGTTCATAGTTGCTCTGGAATATCTCAGTATCTCGAAAGACGATTGGGTTTTGTGGGTAAGTGGATGGACACACGTCGTCGGCCAATGAATAATGAAATTCGAGGTGATGAAAGAAAGATGAACCTAGATAGGGCGAGTTCAATGTGATAGATTACTGCTATGCGGTAGATCAAGATGAGTTTGTGTGGTATGTTCCGGAGAAGAAAGAGGAAGCAGCTTGGGAGGTAGTTATAGGTGAATGGGTGTCGGGATAGGATGCCTGGGCCGCAAGGCATTAAGGGAACAAAAGAGGCAACAGCCGTGTGATTAATTACACCTTATCTGATAACAGAAAAACAGAAGCTCGTAAATCAATAGAAAGGAATGGATTGTCAAATGCTCAGAAATGAGGGGATAGTATAGGAATGAGCCGAGGCGGAAAGAGAATCTAGATATACTAGATATAGACTGGCGGGTGGGAGCCGACAGGTTCAGCTTTCTACGTACTCATAATGAGCAGAGCAACCTCGCTTGGGACGAGCTCGCTCATGGCAATGGTAATGTTTTTTGGTATCCTTTATGCTGCTACTTACTCCCGTACTAATTTACCATAGGTTCTCTTTTGCATGTTCATTGGGGAAAATCAGCCAGCTGCAAGTTTGCTTGCTATAGCCATCCGCTCTCTGAACCAACTCGGTCACCGAACCAATTCCTCTTCGAATCAAGCCACAGGACTTGAATCCCTGCATATTCGGCGTTTATTCATAAAGGCTTATGTCTTTGATCGGGATATTTCAATGCGGCTACACGTGCCCCCATTAATAGTGGATGGCTGTATTGGATTGCCAGATGAGAATCCCATAGATGGTTATAGTATCTACTTTCTCCCAGGGGGAAGTCGGGTAAACTACTTCAGGGAGCAAGTACGACTGGCTCAAATTCAAGACTCGCTGTACTGGGAGTTAGGCTCACAAAATTCGGACAATATGTCTCAGTCACAGCTGAATGAGAAGACCGAAAAGCTAACCTCACTCCTACAAGACTGGATCGAAGGACTGCCTCAGCAGATAAGGCCGCAAGAACCTCTGCTCTGTCTTGACTATCATCAGTTGGTATGTGTTACTGCACTTCATTATACGTATTTTCAGCTCATTATTGCCATAAACTCACCACTGCTGAGGTTTTTGGGCACCGACTGCCAGGAGAGCACCTCGAGGGGCGTTCAATACTGTGTTACTGCTGCACGAGCTCTTGTGGCGCTTTTGGATTATCATGACAATGGCCACCCGTTCTCCAAGTATGATACTTTCTCCCCCGCCGAACTTGGATACTCACAACTTATTGTCAGTTATTTACTACACCATGTTTGCTGGGGGATTGACCTTCTTTGCATTAATATCCTCCAGTGTAAGGCACCTTCGGTCATATGTGACCTTGAATTGATACGACGCGTCGAGGATTTCTTCCAAAGACGCCAACCTCATTTCGAGGACTGTCATACCTATATTGCCATTAAAGGATTGCTCAATGTAATCTCAAGAACGGTACAACATCCCCAGATTCTTGATACAGAGTTGGATCGGAATTTCCAACTGAACAGCGCTAGACCGTTCTCAAGCACTTATGACCAGCATGATCCCAATGTTTGAATATACAACAGTTTTTGAAATTCATAATTACGGATATGCCGACAAACTTAGGAAGGCACTGAGAAATCAAAGAGCCCAACTTTAGGAGGCTGATAGTTAAGATGTTAACTACAATGTACCCTTGAGAACGAATAGGGTGAAATAAGCAAGAATTATTGAGTACCGGGCCATATTTGATCAGGCAGCAAAATCTAAGAGACGAATCGGGAAAAGTCAGGACTACGAGAGTTCAAACAGATTTGACAAGTGGACCAAGGTGAGTCAAGGGAACAAACGTATCCACCGAAACAAATGAGTTCTCACTAGCGCCACGGACATCAGTGAATTCCGTGCCCGCCAATCCAGGGCAACAACAACAATAATAATTGGTGCCCCTACACATGAAGCAGAGCATGGCATGCATTGTTGTAAGCAATTAAAGTGTCTAAGTAGTTCATTTGGTAAGGTGCGGGTCACGAGCATTACATAAAACCCTAATTGGAGTGTCTGATAGCTAGGCTGATCTATGCGCGAGCTCCCCACATGATAACTAGTAAGTGTCACGCTACTCGGGGACCGGGGTCGGCCATTAATCTCGCCCAATAGAAACCGTATAATGGATACCAAGACGGACAATCGATAATGACCAGTTAGCGAGGGATTTATTGGGGCAGTGGCAACTCTGTATTTAACCCATGGATCTTCTACGTTAACGATCCAGACACGGAAAGGCAACCACGGCACGACCAAATAACGCGACCTATATAAGGGAAGTAATATTCCATGACTGCCATTCAACACATGTTTCTATCAATAAGTACTTTATTCGAATCGCGAAATCACAACACACCCGACCCTCTTTTATGATCATGCCGTCTCTCCAGCAGGTAAAAGATGCGAATCAGCATCTGAAAAACGCCAAACCCGGATTGGTCGCAGTTTTTGGTAAGCTACCGAGCATTGGCTGAGCGACTGTGTGGCACTAACGGAAGGCTGGCCAGCGGGTGGGACTAGTGGAATCGGCGAAAGCACTTGCAAGGAATTTATTCGCAATACCATCTCCCCGAGAGCATATATAATCGGTCGGAACAAGCTCGAAGCATCAAGGATAATAAATGAGTTAAAGGAAATCAACTCCGAGGCCGAAATACACTTCCTCGAGTGCGACCTAACTTTGCTCCGCAATGTGGACCAAGTTTGCAACGAAATTACAGAGAAAGAGAATTTGATCAACCTGCTGTTCATGAGCGCGGGCTTCTTGAGTATGAAGAGACAAGGTTGGTTTGATTGCCATCCATCGGAGGCGTTTCCTACTGACAAACTGTCTTCAAAACAGAAACATCGGAGGGGTTGGACCGTATGATGACTATCCAGTATTATTCAAGGATGCGACTAGCCGTCAATCTGATTCCTGCCCTTGCCGCTGCGTCCGCTGCAGGCGAACCTGCTCGAGTGCATTCGGCTCTTAACGCTGGCAAGGAAGGGAAAATATTTTTGGATGATCTTCCGCTAGAGAATCACTTCAGTTTGAAGAATTCTGCTACTCAGACTACCACAATGACCACGCTAGCATTCGATCAACTTGCGCTAGCTCATCCAGATATTATCTTTATCCATACGTCTCCTGGTATTGTTCGTACCAACATCACCAAGGGATTTGGGCCTGTCATCAGTTCTATCAGTGGTGCTTTTCTCATTCTCTTAGCACCTTTCTTGACAACACCCGTGCAAGAGAGTGGACAGAGACATCTCTACGCTGCCTTGAGTAAGGATTATCCGCCCGTGGACTCAGATAGTTCAAAACGTCATGTACAACGACTGAACAGCAAGTCCGAATTTTGCGGGGAGAACTCTGAGTTACAAGAGAATACCGGAAGAGCAATGTGGGTCCGCAAATTTGGGAGCATACGTTGCAGGTTTTCAGAACATGTACTTAGTGTTTTCCTTCGGTCGCGATATTTGCGTTTGTTTGTAGGTAATATGGGTATTTGATCAAATTGTCTACAGAAAATCTGGATCATTAGCCAAATTGACTGCTTTGTACACAGTCATATTCACGTCCAACCATTGCACTATATCATCTGACAAGCTGAAAGAAGTTCATGTGTTTTGACGTTTCCCTCCGAGTCGCATACGCAGGCGTAGTGATCATTGACATGCGGGGCAAGATATTGCGTGCATCTTTCATCCTCCAGGAGTGGATAAGTAGCTCGCTTGAAAAAAAAACGACTTCCAGGACCCCCGGAGGCTATCATGAAATATATGTAGAATGAAAGATTAGCTGAGGCCCAAAGAACTAGATATGGCGGTATGAACTGACTTATCCAGTACGAAATGAGGAGTCTCAGAAAAATAGACTACAAAATTCAGACGAGCAGCCACAGCTATTTAATTCCCAAGCTGTAATAGAGGCCTATTTGCAAGAAACAAGTGCATTAAATACGCGATACTAAGTGTGGAGAAGAGATGAAAACAGTAGGTGAGGCCTCGCAGATAGGCTGCAAGTATCGCACTAGGCCCAAAAGGGAAGCAGGCCTGATCCAGAGTGTTACAGCTTCTTCCCTTTTGCAGGCGGCGTGTCTTCACAAAATTCCACCATTCCACAAAATGACGGAGGATTAGAGACAGGATTCCTGTCCAATTTTTCTCGTTCTCATCAGTCAATGACAGTTACCCTTGAGGAAAACTGCCACCTCTGTTTCTCTGAACATAGTCATCAAAATTGATATCCACATCTCTGCAGAAGATTCTTTCTCCCAATCTGTGTACTCTTCTGCTGCTGGCTGAGTGAATGCCACATTACAATTCGTAGTCTGCTTCCTGAGTATCTTCCTGGATCTCCACTTCTCCAAAAATCCTTCTCCATAAGTTAGCAACTTTTGAATCCCATCCAAAAATAATGATAAAAGTACTCACCATCCATGATGGCGTCACCTTTTGATCAATGATTACAGTTCCAACTGCAAAGCATCCACGTCGCGACGGAATTGAGGTATAATTCTTCAATATCCACATGCTGATCAGCCTGAGAAGGCTATATAATGTCGGCATCTGTCCATTTACTCCGAATGCTGTGGCGTCTTCGACTGCCAGATTCGCGACAACATCCATTCGAAGATTTTCTGCCCATAGCTCCTGCGTCGACAGAGCAGCCCATGGCGATGTCGCTTCAGAAACGGCCACAGAGAAGAGTATATGGTTTGTGTATGTCGGGAAAAATGGAACGGCGTGGGCTTCGACAACCAATAGCGGTCGGATCGATCGACGGGACGCATTGCATTGTGTACGCATGATATTGCCCTTGTCTCTATGACCTGCTGAATTGGCGGCTAACCAACGACGATACTGCGAAAGTAAGGCAAAGGATACACGCGAGAGGAAGATTGAGGTTCTAGGTTGATCGCGTGTGTTGTGGGAAGGGGAACCTGGTGCAGTGTCAGTGAATGACTAGGCAAGGTAGCTCGGGCTGGTGTGGGTTGCTGCTGCCTTTTCCGTAGCTTCTTCGTGTGGCACCCAGGAAATATAGTATACTACTAGTATATGATATCCACAGTGTTCACATCATGCTTAACACGATAAATAGTAAGCTTGCCAGTGGTACCATTCATTAGGAGGTTCATATACCGTCAGGAACATGGTCATAAGATGACATATTCATGTTGAGTATATTAATAAGTAAGCTTGCTTGGAAGGTGTATTGAATTCTGTATAAATTAATTAGTAAACAAAGTAGTACCTAGGTAGTAGTTCTATTGGTGGCTTTCTCTTTCTATTTATATATTGCTCTTCTTTTTTCAAGTTTGCTCTGTCATTGTTACCGTGACATTGTCATCAAGTTGTTTACATGTTGCCACTGGCGGTGTTTGGCCAGTGCTTCTAAACGAACGAAGGGGCAGGCTTGCCAGTAGGGTTGGCATCCGTAGAGAAAGCACTCCACGGGTAGGAACAGAACCCATTGGCTACGGTAAGAAGAAGCTACGTCAAGAAGAAACCAGTATCTAGCAACAAAGAACAATCTATACAATTTTGCTAAGAATCAACGAAATCGTTTACCCTCATTCGGTCCAGTGCAATCCAATCTAAGAGGACTCCACAACCTTATCCTTAACATACAAATCAACATACTGATCAACATCATAGTTCTCCAGTGCGGGACGATCCCATCCAACCTGGAGAAGCTCATCAATGCGCGCCTGGTCAAAGTGCGCCTGCAAGTGACGCTTATACTTAGCCAGAATTTCCGGCTTAGCCTCCTCGCGACGGAGACGGTGGCCCAGGGGCGCCTCAACGGCAACCTCATCGAGAACAGTGCCGTCGTTCAGAGTGACGGTCAGAGCGTTGGGAATGGTACGCTTGGACGGGTCGTGGTAGTCAACGGTGTACTGGGGGTCCTCGACACACTTGATCTTCTTGCGGAGGGACTCGACCAGGGGCGAGGTTGCGGCCTCGGAACCGTCGGCGTAGTCGGTGGCTGTGAGACGGTTGAAAGAGAGCATGGTGGCGACCATGTATTGGACGCAGTGGTCGCGGTCGGCGAAGTTGTCCATTGCCTTGAATTGCTTGTCGATGATGCGGATGCAGGCTTCGTGGGTGCGGTTGGTGATTTCCTTGATGTCTGCGGCGGTCTTGCCCAGGGCGGCGAGCTTCTTGTTGATGATCTCGGCGGCTTCGATGGCGGTTTGGGAGTGGAATTCGGCTAAGCAGCAGTAAGTATATGCATGAGGGTTATTGTTTCGGGCTAGGTGATAGCTTACCAGGGTAGGAAACCTTGAACAGAACGTTCTCCATCACGTAGCTGCCATAGTCACGCTGGAACTTGAACTTGTTGCCCTTGAACAGGACATCGTAGAAACCCCAGGTGGGTGCGGACAGGACAGTGGGAACACCACCCTCACCCTTCTGCACCTTCAGAACGAGGTTGACAGCACGCTGGCAGGCATCACCAGCGGCCCAGGACTTGCGGGACATGGTGTTGGGGGAGTGACGGTAGGTACGCAGACTCTGTCCATCAACCCAGGCCTGGGTGATGGCGTCGGCGGTCTGCTTCTCAGTGAGGCCGAGCATCTTGGAGACAACGGCGGCGGTAGCGACCTTGACAAGGACGACGTGGTCGAGGCCGACCTTGTTGTAGGAGTTCTCGAGGGCCAGAACACCCTGGATCTCGTGGGCCTTGATCATGGCCTCGAGGACATCGCGGACCTTGAGGATCTTGCCATTGCCCAGGTTACCACCGGCACGGTTGGTGCGGGAGATCCAGTCGGCGACGGCGAGGATACCACCCAAGTTGTCGGAGGGGTGACCCCACTCAGCGGCGAGCCAGCAGTCGTTGTAGTCCAACCAACGGATCATGGCACCGATGTTGAAGGCGCCATTGACGGGGTCCAGCTGGTAGGGGGTACCGGGGACGCGGGGTCCGTTGGGGACGACGGTGCCCTCAACAACGGGGCCGAGGAGCTTGGCGCACTCCTTGAATTTGAGAGCCTCGAGACCACAGCCCAGGGTGTCCAGGAAGACGAGACGAGCGGTGTCAAACTGGTGGTTGTTAGTATTTCAACTTTTCGAGGGAGTGGAGGGGTAGAATTGGACCCTGTGGGACTAATTACTTACAGCCAGGTCGGAATCCACTTTGTACTGGTGAATGTAGCTGGCCATATCCTGGATCTCAGGGTCATAAGCCCTGTCGGCCGGGGCAGCCGGGGCACCAGATTGACGGGCAGACATGGTGGAAAACTGAGAGGTTCGGAGGAGACGAGGGGCAGCGAACTTGGAGGCGGGAGATGGAGAGGTGAAGGTGGAAAGTCTGGAGACGGGGAGGCGGGCCCAAGTGCGGGGAGATGAGTGGGTCAACCGTCGCACGGCGGGAAGGGACATGTTGGAATTGAGCGATGAGAAGGAGGTAGAAGGTACTCCAGAGAGTAGGGGAGGAGGAGGGGGAGGGAGAGGTTAAGATAAAGAACCGAAGGATGGGGGAGAAGGGGTAAGTTGGGGAAGGGAGGAGATCCTAGGGCGGAGGCGGAGGTTGGGGAGTTGGCAATGGGAGTGGGAGTGTCAGTGCTGAGTTCCCCGTCAACCTGACTTCATTGCCGAGGCGGTCGGTTACCGTCGGTTAGCCTTAGCATTGGCTACAGTAAACAGTAGAATTAGTAGAATTAGTAAAATTCTGCTTTTAATTCTTTATTTTAGTATCTCTTCTATTCAATTGATCTTTATTTCATGTATTCTAGCTATTCTCCTAAACAATGCTTCATTTACACCCGTTCTATACTCCTATGGTCTATAGCTACACATGCAGTACCACCACCACGCCGACCGGCGACTTTTTTTCCTCTATCATGCACAGCATCCCCCCAATTGAGTTCATGTCTGCCGATAATCGGACTGGCCCTGGCGAGTAAACACAGTACCAGGACTGCAAAACACTGACCTAGTGCCTGTAAAGCTGCCGGTTATCGGAAGTGGCCGACTTCAACAACATCCAGTTTGCATTTAGTACGGAATTACGGAGCACTTGATTCTATTTCCCTATAGCACACTCCGTAGTCTACTATGTCCTGCCTCTAGCTTATGGATACTTGGATGCTTGCAGCACTTGCATGCCACCGTGTTCCTCGGCCCGATCCCGGCCTCCTCGGCCCCCGCGGTTCACGTGGGATCGCCAGAGTGCATATTTCAATATTTATGTGCGCAGTACACAGTGATTAAGGATTAGACTAAATTTGAGATCGGACGACGCTAGAAATAAACTTGAAATTCAACATTGCCGGATCAGATCGTCAACCTAATTCTCTATTTAAGATCTCTACCCAGTGCGGAGTAGTTAAGCGCTGGCAGCCGCCTCTTCTTGGATCAACTATTATAATCGGGCGGCCCTAAATTGGAAATGTAACATTAATTCAACCAATAATTATCTAGATTCCTTGAAAATATAATCCCTGCACAGTAGAAGCGTTAAATTGAAGATGGAGATGCAATTCCGGCATCCAGGAAAACAATGATTGACACCCGATATACAAGGCACCAAGCTACTCCCAATCGGGAACACAAATTGATAATGCACTGGCAGCCCTCTAGAAAAGGCTTAATTCGTTATAAAAACTAAATGCAGACCCAGATACTTCATCAAATAATCCATCAAATTAAATAAATTCCCCAGTTCCTTTTTTTTCTCTCTTTCTTTATAGATAACCATGCTATGCCCATCTCCCAAAATCAAAGTCGCGACGCGGGTATCAATGCTTAATGCTCAGAACTAAATAAAAAGAACGCCGCCTCTTCCACCAGCGCACCTCCCTCCACCATATTCACTCCTTAACGCTCACAGCCTTCTTCCCAACAACACCCTTCTTCTTCGCAGTCACCCTCTTCGCACCCGCCTTCTTCACACCAGCACCGCTCCTCACCCTCTTCGAACCCGCGAGCCAAAATCTCCGGCCCACCCTTCCTCTTCCCCGTCCGAGTAACAAGATCCTCAATCGGACAACCCAACTCCCAATCTTCAGAATTCACCCCCGTGACCGCCCGGCATGGGGACATAACTTCCCATGTTTGATAAGTAAATGGTGCAGGGAGTACTTCAAATGATCCGGGATCCGCGCATCCAAATGACTGAATGCAGTAACCTCCGTCGCAAGGTCTGCGGGAACCCAACCAAGCCACTTGGTGATTCGAAAGATGTGCGTATCTACCGCGAAGCAGGGTCGTTGGAGACAGAAGAGGAGAACGCAGGCGGCGGTTTTTACACCGATGCCCGGGTATTTGATTAGTTCTTCCATTGCTTCTGTAGTGGGGAGATTGTGGAGGTGGTTGAGGGTTAGGAAGTTTTGTTCGGCACAGGCGAGGTCGTATTCTCTGTCTTTGTCTTTTTCTTTGTCTGACTTGGACTTGGACTTCTGCATTTCGGTTTTGGCTTCGGGTTCAATCAAAGTGGCAATATCATTCGAATCCTCCTCATTTTTCCCTCCCTGTCTCTCCTCACCCCTCAACCCCTCAAATCGAACCCTATTCTCCTCATAAACCAAATCAAGAATCCCCTTCAAATTCTTACTCTTAACATCCGCCAACCCACCCCGCTGAATCGTTTCAAAGACCTCCCTCAGCGGCGCCAATCTCACAGCATCCCAATTAACACCCCCTTTCCCAACCCCATCTTCCAGGACTCCAAATCTCGACGCGAGAGCTTTGTAGGACATGGCGGAATTGCTTCCCTGCGTCGCGGCGCTGAGGAGAGTTCTGATCAGTGCGTCTAGGACGCAGGGGACTTCGCCGCAGCCGGCGAATTCGATTGAGGGTCGTGGAATTGTTTTTGGGGCTATTGGTTCGCCGTGGGCGTAGGAGAGGAGTTGGTTTAGTTCTTCGCATTGGGTTGGTGTTGGAGCGGGCCAGGAGGGGAAGGGGGTTTTTCCTGGGGTTATTTTGTATTTTGGTCGGTTTTTCTCGGGCTTGGGCTTTGGGGTTTGCGAAGCTGGGGTTTGTGGTGAAGTGCCAGTGGTAGGGGTGAGTTCTGGGGTGAGGTGTAGATTGTGAGATGGTTCATCCAAGCCCGTTGCGACAGAAGTAGGCTCATTGCCATCTGCCAGTGTATTTGGAGGTTGCGGTGAATTGGTGATTGGAGTAAGATTTCCCAGATTGTGAGGTAGTTCTTCAGTCGTGGTAGCAGGAACTGGATTTGGTTGAGGGGAGTCTTCTTCTTTTTTCTTCACATTCGCTTTGGTCTTCAAGTTCTTTTTTGTCGGCGTTTTCATCTGAGAAGCTTTTGAGGCGGGCTTCTTCGTCTTGCTTTTTGCGCCTCTGGTGGGTTGCTTGCGAGTAGTACTCGCTCGTGCCTTCATGGCTTTCTTTCCGTCCAGCTTTCTTTCCTTGGGGTCAGCTGTACTTTTGCGGGCTGGTTTGGGTGTCATGGTGAGGGTGAATTGGAGCCGCAGTGATCTTGCAGATCATGAGAATGGGGGTGAGAATGAGAATGAGAATGGACTATGGAAGTGAGTCAATGTCCAATCCGAAGCAGGGATATCAATTGGAATGACGTCAATGGCCGAATCGGTAGTGTGTTCGATATTGAGCGGTTAGATCGGAATTGTCGAGATGAAGAAGAGAGGATGTAGGGTGAGGAGGGAGAACCTGCAAGTTAGAAGAAAAGGAAGAAATATGAGCACTGGTTGGTAGTAGAAACTTGAAGTACCGGGGATGGGAGGCACCGTGACTCCCTGCCAGAGTACTAATTACTAACCGGGATGGTAGCAAATATATAACTAGTCCTCACCAACTGGGCACCTAGTCACCACAATCCTAATTAAAGATAGAATAGATCAGAAAAACCGCATCCCATACTGGCCTTAATAATACAATCAGTGATTGTCAGTATAGATGTTCACCATGCTATCAGTAGCAGAGAACACTACCTTAGTATGAGATATCCTAGTTGAGGGTACGTGGTAGGACCTAGAGTAGTTATATATGCAAATATTGACACTTCTTTCATCCAATGGTTCTGTAGTGTAATTGGTTATCACTGCGGATTCTGATTCCGCCGATCCCGGTTCGATTCCGGGCAGGACCTCTCTCTTTTTGTATTTACTTTTTTGACTGGATGATTGATGGTGTGGTGTTTTTGTCAATTGATGAATCTGTCTGACTTTAATTAATATTTTGGTTCATAATTTACGACAGTTCATTCATACCAGACTTTTGATTCCAGTGAATACTACCCCTACTCTAGGGTACTCTCTAGTGGCACCACCCTGGGCGGCCCCGACTCCGAACTGCTTATCGTTATCGCCCACACAGCTTCATTATTTCCCATGCCCCAGGGTGCTCCCCATGCTTCTCCCCTGAACACTTTGGCGCCAATTCCCCATTTCTACCGCCTAGCATGGATTGCCTCAGATCGCATCTCCCGCAATCCCTGCAATCCCTCCTGGACTCCTGCGACTCCTCCTATGCCGAACATGCCCCATTCGCCGCTGTCGCCTTGACCTCCCTACTCGCCGTCTACGTGGGGGTGCTCTACATTCGATGCCAGCGCGAGGCTGCTGTGCCCTTTAACGTGCCTCTGCCCAAGGAGGTGCGCGACTCATCCACTGGAATCAAGTGGGAGGATGTCAAGGGACGAGAGAAGCAGATCCTGGAGGACCAGGTTCGAGGAGTGAGTTGTCCGAGTCGAGGAGCTAAACCTGAAGCTTGAATTTGAGCTACCTGCACCGAGACTAACTTTGCTGTGTAGAAATGGGATGAAAACTTGATCATGAGCTACTGCCCCGCCGACGGTCGAGTCCTCGGCAATGGCATCAAACCCGCAACAATCGCCGACGTCGACGCCGCCGTGCACGCCGCGAAAGCCGCCCAAAAAGAATGGTCCCAAACAACCTTCAGCGAACGCAGAAAGGTCCTCCGCACTCTACTCAAATACGTCCTCGACCACCAAGACGACATCGTGACAGCCTGCTGTCTAGACTCAGGCAAGACCAAAGTCGACGCGTGTTTCGGCGAAATCCTCGTCACGGCCGAAAAGCTGAAATGGACACTCGACCACGGCGAAAAGGCCCTCCTCCCCTCTCGCCGCCCAACAAACTTCCTCATGATGTACAAAAAGAACTGCGTCATCTACGAACCCCTCGGCGTTGTCGCCGCAGCCGTCTCATGGAACTACCCATTCCACAACTTCATCGGACCCGTCATCAGCGCCCTCTTCACCGGAAACGCCATCATCGTCAAACCCTCCGAACAAACCGCCTGGTCCTCAGCATACTTCCTAGAAATCGCCCGCAGCGCCCTCCTAGCCTGCGGCCACTCACCGAACCTCGTCCAAACAACAATCTGTCTCCCCAAAGTCGCAGACCATCTAACCTCACACCCGGACATCGCCCATCTAACCTTCATCGGCTCCCGACCCGTCGCGCACAAAGTCTGCGCATCAGCTTCTAAATCCCTAACACCCGTCTGCGTCGAACTAGGCGGCAAAGACCCCGCCATAGTCCTAGAAGACCCCACAACCCTCCGCAATCTACCCGCCATATCCTCAATCCTAATGCGCGGCGTCTTCCAATCCGCCGGCCAAAACTGCGTAGGCGCAGAACGAATCATCGCCCTACCATCCTCCTACGAAAAACTCATCGCACTAGTTGAGCCGCGCATTAAGAATCTCCGTCTCGGCTCAATTACTCTAGACACGGACCCCAATACATCCTCATGCCCTGATCTCGGCGCTATGATTTCCCCGGCTTCGTTCGATACACTTGAATCTCTTATTGCGGAAGCAGTCGATCAAGGAGCTAGACTTCTCGCCGGTGGAAAACGATTCGATCATCAGACTCATGTTCGTGGTCATTACTTCATGCCTACTTTGTTGGTTGATGTTACTCGAGACATGCGAATTGCGCAAGAAGAACTTTTCGCCCCGATATTCCTAGTCATGCGCGCTGAGTCGGTTAGTGATGCTATCGCGCTAGCGAATTCAACCGTCTACGCCCTCGGCGCTAGTGTGTTCGGATACCAGAGTGACCAGGTGCAGGCTGTTGTGCGTGGTGTCGAGGCCGGTATGGTCTCTGTGAATGATTTTGGCGCTTATTATGCTGTTCAGTTACCCTTTGGTGGGGTTAAGGGGTCTGGGTATGGACGGTTTGCGGGCGAGGAGGGATTGAGAGGCCTTTGTAATTTGAAGGCTGTTTGTGTGGATCGTTTCCCGAGGCTCGTTGGGACGGCGATTCCGCCGAGGGTGGATTATCCTATTCAGAAGACGGTTGGTGTTGCGGGGGCGAGGGATGGGGGGAAGGCGTGGGAGATGTGTAAGGGGGTTGTTGAGACGGGGTATCAGATTACTGTTGTTGGTTGGGGGAGGGGTTTAGTTAGGTTGTTGGGGAATATGTGATGTAATCCTGTGTGAGGGAGGTTTGGAAGAGAACTTGAAGAAGAACCCTGGAAGTATCACTAATTTGTATAGTATAGGAAAGGCTTAATAGTATCTTGTGTACGATGTTCATTGTATAGCAGATCAAATCAAATATCTTATTCACAAATAGTCACAGTGGTATTTTGTTCAAAGGGGATACACTTCGTCGAGATATCACATTGCGTCGCGGGTGCATCAGTCGTCATCCATTGCCCAGGCCCACCTGTCTAATTGTATTTTATGCCATCCGGAAAGTAACTCCATATACTCCAAATGCAAAGTGGGGGAAATTGGGAAGAAAGCAAGGTCGAAATGAAATGGTGAGGTTGAGGGAGAAAAAGGGAGAAGGAGGATGGCAAGGTGGGATATTGTAGCTAGCTACCAGGCCGTTTGTGGCAGACAGGTAGCTAGAATGTAGAATGAGTAAGTGGTATACCACTAAGGGTGATCAGCGATATTGTGAATGCTAATATCCATCTGATCATCAACCTTAGGGTGCTCGGGTTCCGCGGACCGGGGTTCAGGCTCAGTTTCCGCAGGAATAACCTTGCCATTGGTATCCATCGTGACACCATGAGCAGCGATTTGGAAATCCTCCACACTGGCGAAACCATGCGCAACAGCCTCCTTAGCCTTATCCAGAGCCTTGAGCTTGCGACCCTCACCGCGCATCAACTCCAGGTGATCGAAGTAGCCCTGGTCCACGGGAGTAACATATTTACCGCAGAACACGCCGACTTCGAAGTTTTGCGGCTCGCTCTGTCCATTGTCGCGCGCTACTTCCGCACAAGAGTCCTTCAGGTCGTCCAAGGTTTGGAAAACAACCCGCTCCGCACCGATGTGCTTGGCGATACTGTCCGCGTTACGGTTATGCGCGACCAGCTCTTGCGGCGAGGCAAGGTCGATACCGTAAATGTGGGCGTGGGTGATTTCGGGCGCACAGCTGGCAAGATAGACCTTCTTTGCGCCGGCTTCGCGGGCCATGCTGACGATCTCGCGGCTGGTGGTTCCGCGCACGATACTGTCGTCGACGAGGAGGACGTTGCGGTCCTTGAACTCGGCCTTCATGGCGTTCAGCTTACGGCGGACGCCCTTCTGGCGAGTCTTTTGCTCGGGCATAATGAATGTGCGGAAGACGTAGCGGTTCTTCACGAAGCCGTGGCAGTAAGGCTTGTTGAGGTACTGCGCGACTTGGGTCGCGGATGTGGTGGAAGTCTCGGGGATGGGAATGACCACGTCGATATCCTTGACGATTTCAGGACCCAGGACGTCGAGGACGCGGGCGCCGAGACGGTCACCCATACGTTGACGGCTGCGGTATACGCTGATTCCGTCGATGACGGAGTCGGGGCGGGCGAAGTACACGAACTCGAAAATATCGGGCGCGTAGTCTTTCTTCGGTGCCACTTGGCGGAAGACCGGCTCGCCGCCCTTTTCGATAATGACTGCCTCACCGGGTTGGATGTCACGGTGGTTGGAGAATCCGAGTTGGTCAAGTGCGACGGACTCGGAGGCCATCATGTAGTCGGTGCCTGGGCCGTCCAGGGAAGGACGGGAACCGAGGACCAGGGGTCGGATACCGTAGGAATCACGGAAACCAAGGAGACCGAAGCCTAAAGATGTTGGTTAATGATTGCACAGAATAGACGAGAGAGAAAGGCTGGGAGACGGGATATTTACCGGCAAGCATGGCAGTGCAGGCCCATCCACCCTGACAGCGCTCGTACATGCGGCTCAAGCTAGCGAAGAGATCCTCCTGGTTGACACGAGCCTTCTTAGTCTCGCTCAGCTCATCAGCAAAGATGTTGAGCATCAGCTCACTGTCACTGTCGGTGTTGATATGACGGTGCGCCTCGAGGTCCAGATACTTCTTCAGTTCAGGGGCATTGATCAGGTTTCCATTGTGTGCGAAACAGATACCGTAAGGGCTGTTGACGTAGAAAGGCTGGGCCTCAGCGCCAGCACTGCTACCGGCAGTAGGGTAGCGAAGGTGCGCAATACCCATGGAACCAGGCAAGTTGGTGATTTTAGCCCCATCATGGAAGACCTTGGCGGCCATACCGTTGGCCTTGAGTTGGTAGATACGGCCCCCATGCGCGCAGGTTGCAATACCAGCAGCATCCTGACCACGATCTGCACGCAGTCTTAGTACGATGATCCGAGTATAACAGGGTATTCACGGCCTCGAATGACATGGCCACTCACGTTGCAGGAGGTAGAGGGCCTCGTGGAGGTCCACGGCGGCGGTGCCGGAGGGGTTCGCCAGGATCAGAGCGATGATACCACACATCTTGACTGTGAATTCGCGGTCCTATTTCCCCGGAAATGTCAGCGCAGTCTTCAGAGAGGCATGCAAGGGATTGAATTGATGGTGGGGGGTGGTATTCTCAGACTCGGATGTTTCTCCGCAAAAAGATTCAGAAGTCTAACATCTTATTTTTTCCGAAATCATCATTGAAGGGGGAAATGTAGATAAACAAAAGGGGCACTGGAACTTGAGATACTCACCAAGGACGCAATAGAGAGGCAATGCTCGAAAACCCCCAGGAACGGAAAAGAAAAAAAAGAAGAAATTCAAATTGTCCCGCACGCTTCCCCACCTCCCACTTTTTTGCTGACTAACTTTGCTGACTCAGTGCCCTATATCGGAGCAGACACAGACAGCAGACAGCGGAGTAGGCAGCAGAGTACCCTAAGTAGGGAGAGTAGAGGAGGGCATTGACTGATACAAATGTTTTTTCTTACGGAGAATTCTGTATTAAGCTTATTTGTCTAGCTGTGGCTAACTAGTGCATAATGGTAGCACCTGACCAGGGAAGGTTAGACCATACATGAATGGCCGATCTTACTACAAAGAATGATTGAAAGCTCTAGCAGAATAAGCAAATATCCTCCATACTCTCGCCGGGTCCGATTCGCTGTTTATTAGTTGGATACGTCGAGGAGTGAACCCTGAACTTCTGTAAGGCTATGCCAAGACAACTTGATCTGGCCCAATTCTGTGCATATTGGGAATAAGGCTGATCTCTCAATTGACTACCTCAGCTACTTTCAAAATAAATAGCTGAAGCTTAATAACTGGTATCAATCCAATCCTTCCATCCGCTTCCTAGAACAGTATTCTTCGTCACTGCCGCAGAGATACTACTCTCATACAACCTCGCCGATGTATCAGCCCCATCCCCCGTATTGTTAATCTCATAATAAAACGGCGTCGCACCATCCGCCATAGTAGTCCAACCCTTCGCATTAATCAAAGAGCCAAGCTCCGAATTTTGATAAATCACCCGTGCAAGTACCCGCCACGGCCTACCGAGATAGACATCACCATCGAGATCGGTACCAGATGCAGCTTGCACGTTGCAGTTGTCAATAGCGTACCATGCCGTATCATCCGAGGTTTCGCGTGAGTTGGCGGTGATATAACCAGCTCCATTAGATACAATATCACACTCGCCAAACCAGGCCGATGCATCGCCGAAGATGTAGTCGACGGCCCCTTCAATCATGCAGTTGGAGTAATACTGCGTTCCGGCTTTTGCGTACAGAGTGTCTTGGTATCCGGAGAATTGGCAACCATAGAAACCAAGTTTATCGGCGTTGCCAACCAATCTGTTTCCCCTGTGTTACTTCGAATACTCTCATTTAAAGGAGGTTATTTGAGTTGAGGTCATTACTTACGCGACAGCCTGGGAACCTTTCCCGTACCCGTTGACCACATTGATGTTATACATCTTGAATCCATCAGAGACCACATTAACAGTGGCGCTCAGATCAAGTGTTCCAGCCTCGGGAGACGAGATTGTGTGCGTAATCGTGACCGTATTGCTCTTGTATGTCCCGGTGTTGGATGTTTGGCCGTACAAGGTGAGCGTACCCGCATAGTTAATTTTAAGCTGCTCTGTGTAGGTACCACTGGCAATATAGATGCATGCGGACGTAGTAGCAGATCCAAGGGCAGTGAGAGCACCACCGATCGTACTATACGTGCCTCCAGTCCCGACCGTCAAGCAACCGGACGGCGCGCTGGTCCTACTCGCACGGCGAGACAGATTGGCCGGGGAGCCAAGAGCCCCAGTGCCGAGACATAGGGCTGAGAAAATCGTAAAAAAACGCATCGTGTTGTTCTGAATGCCAGCCAAGCTTTTGCGGTTGATCGACAAAAATATGAACCATGACGAGACACGGAGGTGTTTTTATTAGCCAGCCAGGATTATGCGCGACCTGCGTGTGTCCCACCGGCCATTCGCCGGAATTGCTTGAATCGAATCAAATAACTTACTTCGTTTCATTCCATCTCCTCTTCGGCCCTTCTATTTCGGCGTGGCGGGTTATCTCCTCTCCACCGACAATTTCCCGTGAATAGCTGTCGTTGAAACTGAAACGCGGACCCCCCCCCCCCTCCATTCACAAGGAGAATTAGTCCCGGGCGCACTGCAGTTTGTGGATATTTCCTGCAGCAGAAATATTAGCCTAAAAGGCTTGCTTGATTGTTAGTTGTATAGCTAGAGATCAAGAAAACGCGACGGAATTTTGGTCATCCGTCCCCCAGACATGGCGCAATTCGTCACGGCTTCCCCGGAAAATCCACGACATGTGGACATGTGAATCGATTTAGCTTCACTGATTGGATTGTGAAAGTGGGGTTGCTTGTTGGACCTGCTTGCTTAGCTTTGATGGAAGAAATATGCCAGGGCCAAATGAACTATTTTCCTCGAATGGCGGGCCAGGTGGTCCATGTTTCAGTTTCAGTTCATGTAGATAGGCCGTGCGTTGTGAGACTGGGACTCCAGAAAATCGAAACTCGGTTCGGTTCGGTGGGTGTTTACAAGCAAAGGGGACAAACAAATGTCTATAAATCGCAAGTTCGAGGCGTAGTGTGTACCATAATTTCCGTCAAACGCAGCGAAGTAACCCACAATGTCGATGTCAAAATTGCTCGCCCTACTCGCTGTCACTGCACCAACTTTTGCTCTACCAGACGCAACTCGCATACTAAATGCCCGCGCTTCAACATGTACCCCCAAAGCCGGAGGGTCTTCCTCTACCGACGACGTACCGGCAATCACATCTGCGATCGCATCGTGCGGTAGCGGTGGGACGATCGTGATTCCTTCCGGCACAACATACTACCTGAACAGCGTCCTCGACTTTGCCGGGTGCGCAGATTGCGACTTTCAAGTCGAGGGACTTCTCAAATTTAGTTCGGACACAGATTACTGGGAAGGACGCACGGCCATGATCAATGTCAAGGGTATTGACGGTATTAAGATCCGTTCGGTGACCGGGTCGGGGGTTATTGATGGTAATGGGCAAAATGCGTAAGCTTCACTTTGAGTCAAATGCATGAAGATTGGCCCTAGTTTTGATCTTCAGATGGATATTAACATTTACTTCACCTTTGCTCAGATACGACCGTTTCGCCGCAGACAGCAGCTACGCCCGCCCAACACTGCTCTACATCACGGGTGGATCAGACATCACAATTTCAGGTCTTCGACAGAAAAACCCCCCAAACGTCTTCAACTCCGTAAAAGGAGATAGTGACAATGTCATATTCTCGAACTTGAAAATGGACGCTACCTCCAAGAGCGACAACGCAGCCAAGAACACCGATGGCTTCGATATCGGAGCAAGTACAAATGTCGCCATTTCGAATGTCAATGTCTCCAATGATGACGACTGCGTCGCATTCAAACCAGGTGCCAATGGAGTCACAGTTACCGACATCACCTGCACCGGCAGTCACGGACTCTCCGTCGGATCTCTGGGCAAGAGCTCAAATGATGAGGTGAAGAACATCTATGTTTCTGGTGCGACTATGATCAATTCTACCAAGGCTGTTGGAATTAAGACATACCCCTCTGGTGGGAGCCATGGTCAGTCGACCGTGTCAAATGTGACATGGACAGATGTGACAGTTGACGGATGCGATTATGCAATTCAGATCCAGAGTTGTTATGGCGAGGATGCGGATTATTGCGATGAGAATCCCGGCAATGCGAAGTTAACGGATATTGTTTTTGACGGATTTAGTGGGACTACGAGTGGGAAGTACGATGATGTTACGGGTAATTTGAATTGTGGAGCTGATGGGACGTGTGGCGTGAAGGTTAGTTCTTATACTGTTACTGCGCCGGATGGGAAGAGTGAGGTGCTTTGCGCGAATACGCCCAGCGGGTTAGGGGTAACTTGCACTTCTGGAGCATCGGGATAGTTGGGTTGGGGGAGGGGGTTATTTCTAGTATATTATAAAATCACAGCATGTCTCATGATCCTAATATTCTATCTATCTATCGATTTACATTTTGTAGTTCGCTGCTAACGCCCATTGAAGCTTGCAGGTTGTTCAACTTCCGCTTCTAACTTTAGAGTCATGAAAGAACTCTCTGGGCATGGGGGTAATTCTCCATAAGGATCACAAACCTCAAAGCCCATGTTGGTATAAAATCCTCTGGCGTTTTCAAACGAGGCGTCTTTCCCGGTCTCTAAACTCAATCTGGTATATCCTCTTTCCTTCGCCACGTTGATGAGATGCTCCACGATAGCCCGTCCAACTCCTTTGCGAGAATGTATTTCGACTGTTCTCATCGATTTCACTTCGCCATGTGTTGGTGACAATTCCTTAAGCGCACCAATTCCCATTAACTCGGGGCCCTTCCAGGCTGAGTAAAAAGTGACATTTGATGCCTGCAGGCTCGAAACATCAAGAACGTCACAGGAATCGACCATGCGATTTATTTCGGCCACATGCAAGGAAATTAAGGCAAGGACGGCTGGAGTGGATTTAATGTCGTCGATCTTGATGAGCATCTTGAAAGAGAGATTCGGTTCTGGAGAAATCGCGTAGGGTAGCCTGAGGGTATAAGCCGCAACGCGGGGAGAGAAATCTTGGTGGTCAAATAGAGCACAGGATGCAAGAGGGACTGTTTTCGTGGCAGTCGAAATATTCAAAATGTTCCATATGTTTTCATGAGAGTGATTATGTGTCATAATACTTTTTACGGCTAGTGATAATGATAAGCTAGAGAACGGGACACCTTGCGCAGAACATTCTAGAAGTTCCAGATTATCTCGCTGAGTCTTTGCAGCATTAAGGCTACAAACACCGGGGAAGCTATCACTAGAGATAGAGCGGCCTCAAATTCGATATGGATAGCCCAATGAGATCTGAATGCAAGAAGTGGAGCTCATAAACACTTGGATTGACTGACTGGGGTGTGGCGGACATGCACCCCTGTAGGCGGAATATTCTATAACTCGATAAATGCCAATTCGGGAGTCGCCCGCTGCAGTCTTCATTTATCTACTGATAGGCACAAATACTTCAAGTAGCGGCCAGGGGCCGAAATTTCGTTACAACTGCATTGTCACGTAGATATGCACAGCAGCCCCCACGCACTGTGACGTGACTCCACCATCAACATCAATCCCCGCTTTATCACGAAATCCATTCGCTCATCTCGCCTGGACTTCTACACAAGCTCGTATACTTCGGCAAGCTTGCCATTGATACAAGGTTGCCAGGCTGAACATGAGCCAAGCCACGGAGAGCGCTTTCGGTTCGGGCAACCGATGATTGGTCCGTATTGCATCTCCTTGGCTCCGGCCTCAATTGGACCTCCCGCTAGCTCAAAATAGTGTGGGTGGTGACCTTTATTCGGGATAGAACGATTCAAACAAGGATTAGGAAGGGGAAAGTCCGATTTTGTTCGAGGAATCCTCTTCGGACCCTGTTACCTCGAGCAGTCTTCTGGTTGACACATCATATTCCGCCTTGGCGCAACAAGACTTCTTCTTCCCGCGATACTCGCTGTGAAGTCAGAACATCGTCAACCCCTGGTCTCCCCCGACGCCATAATGCTTGGCATTCTAAGCTCTGGAAGGGGTAGGTTCGTAAGTGCGGCATCCCGAGAGGGTCTGTGTCGAACTCGTGTCTGTCAGGGCGATCGACAATTTCTCCAGTTGTAACGTGCAGGAGACAGCTCTCAAGCTGCAAGCAGTGGTACATATGTCGTCATTTTGGAACGGGCTAAGAAGTGAGACAATTGAATCAAAAGCAGTCACTCGCCCGTGGTCAGCCACAAGATCATTTGGATCATCACAATCTTAAATATGGAGTACACGGAGAATAAAGTACCACAGACAGGGTATGCCGACTGGGCCCGCATTAAGAACAGCTCTCCGCAGTAAAATCCTTCGGCCCGTAACAGGGCTGAACGGTTGATGCGACGAGAACAGGGAGAAGAACAAGATTGTAGTAAATTCCCAGTGGCTGATGGCAGCTGATTGGCGGGAATGCAACCGACCGCCACACCAGAAGCCACAACATGCCGCATGCACAGCCACATCGAGGGTTGAAAAGAGTCACGTGGAAGCTACTTACCCCACTCGAATTCCCTTTTTGGGAAGCTATCATGACGTCAAGACATTGAACAGTACATTTGATATTGAAATTTACATGTCAACGAGATATTTTAAGAAGAACGATAAATAGAAATAAAATTAAACAGACAGAAGTACGGAAACCCCAGCCAACCAGCCCCTCGAACCACCACCACCTGCATTCTGGTCAATCAAAATCAGGGAAGGCGTCCCCGTATGACGGAATAGCTCGAGCCCACTTGGCGCAGATCAGCCAGGGTCAACGTCAGAAGTTAGAATCAAGGCAGTTCACTCCAATCCAGTTCACAGGTTCACTCACACAGCTCTCTTTTACCTTTTCACCCTCCCATACCATACTTCTGTCTCCCAACGACGTCAGTCAAACAGTCCGAGGATTGTGGCAACCGTCTATCATTTCCCTCTTTGAGATTCCCTCTACGTATACGCAGCTCCAAACAGGACAGGAACGAACGGGGTCTACTTGCTCTGTGGCTACCTCATTCTACGGTACATTTCATATATAAGCCCACTCCATCCAGCCAGCTACTGTCGACTTTCTCAACATGCGTCCGTTCAGCGATATATCAACACACTCCTCCGCTTCATCGAGCACTGAAACTATCCCTCCTTCACCCAAACCTCTCTTCCCCTCTCAGGGTTGATCAAATAACCTCCACCACTTTACTCGCAACCACCCCGACCTCCCAAAATGGGTGCCGTCGTCTCTTGTGTATGTCTACTCTCACCTTAACTCCCCTCATCTCCATCGTATCCAACTAACATTTTCCCTCACAGATCCAAGGCGTCTTCCGAGCCATCGGCTCATGCCTAATGGCCGTCGTTAACGCCATCGGCTCCGTCCTCCACGCCATCATCAGCGGCATCGTCACTGTCGTCGACGTGATTATCTCCTGCCTTACCTGTGGCTACTGCTCGCGTCGCAAACGGAGTAGGGTCTGACACCGGCCAACGGATAAAGAGAAGAGCTTAGGCTCTCGCAACTAGTCATCCATGTAAGGCAAGGCTAGGGCTGGCTTATGACGGAGCTGCTGTTGCTGTGATGGCTACGATTCACGATTGATGCGCGTTCTCTTTTTTTTATCGCGGTTTTGTTTTATGTTGTGTTCCATACCCAGGCGTTTCGTTAGGTTAGGCTAGGTACTGTACTATATTGTACTGTACTCGGTGGTCTTGATCATGATAATGACCATGATTCTGGACAAGGAAATGAAAATTATCTTCAATTGATCTTGCTTTCTGGATAAAGTAAATGCGAAGTGATGCTATGCTATGCTATGCTATGTGCTTTTCAGTTCGTAGCTGTACAATATACTCAGTACATTTCCACTCCCACCACCACTACCACTTCCTCCCAAAGGTCTGCTTCAAGTTCATTCACCCAACAACCCTCAACAAATCCTCCTTAACCTCAGCAGGAATATCATCCCACCTCTCATCAAGCACAACCCTCGCAAAAGGATCCCCTTCCCCTTTCCCCTTCCCACCACCAGCACCACCCCCCACTCTCGAAAACCTCAAAATCAAGCCAAAATGAACCTCCCTCAAAGGCCACCGAACATGAACCCGACAGTTCCTCGCCCGAAAATACATCCCCAACAAAACCCTAAACGGCTCAATCCGCCTCTGCCGAATAAGCCGACTCGTAACAGCACTACTGCGCTCCGCATCGTGCTCATCTTCATCGAGATAGAAGTCCGGTGCTAGTAATTGGAGGAATTCGAATTGGGAGCGCGTCCAGGGACTGCGGAGGAGCTTTGAGGGTATCGGCGCTGGATGCAGGGCGTTTGAGGGTGAGGGGAGGCGGTAGATATTTTGGTTGGTTGGTATGTAGATTTCGGATTTGGGGCGGATTTGGATGGCGCCGAGGTTTAGCCATATTGCTAGTTTTTGGGGTTGGGCTGGTGTGGTAGTGGTAGTGGTAGTGGTAGTGGTAATGGTAGTCGTTGAAGAAGACTCGGAAGATGGCGATGATGATGATAATGATAATTCGGATGGTGGTAATTGTAGCAATAGTGCCGGAATGACAATATCCCCTTTCCCTTTCCTCCCATCGAGAGCTTTATCACAAGAATCAAAGTTATCACCAACACCCGCATCAAATAACGAGTCCAAATTATCCAAAATTTCCCGATCTGCAGGAGCGAATCGGAGAATTTTCGATTTCTGCGCAATGGCATGGTGGACGTATTCGCGTTGGCACCTGCGGAAAAGAGGTAATGTGCACCATTTGCATGATAATAAAGCTGTTTGGAGACTCGCTCGCTCTTCCGTGCCCAAGGACCAGAAGTCCAGTGGTGGTGGTAGGAAATCTGTAGTGAAGAAGTTGTCTCGGGAGCCGGGGTTGTTGCTGCTGAATGCTAGTCGGATCAGCCAGGTGTAGAGGAGTTGGCTGGATAGGGCGGTTGAGAGGATTGGTGAGGAGCGTGGGAGGTTTATTTCCAGGCTGTGGAGGAAGATTAATTGGAGGACTTCGATTGGGAGGGATTCCAGTCGGGAGGTGGAGGGTGAGGGTGTGGACGCCATTTGTATTGGGATTTATGATTGCATTTGCATTTGTGATGGGCCAATCATTCATTTGCTTTCAAGGCTGAAGACTCCAGTGATGGACCGTTGGACTGGTGATGTCCCCGCAATTGCGGCTCAACGGGTTCCAGATGGGTGGGTGGTGAAGATGAAGAGGTTGAAGTTGTTGATTGCTCATTGCAATGGAAATGTTGAGTGATTGGGCACTGGCATGACATCGAAATTCAAAGAAACCAGTTCAAATTCAAGTTCCAATCAGAGGGGACTCGGATCGACTTGAAGAGGGGAAGTGGGTAACTCGGGGCCAACGAGCCTGACAGTTACATGTCTTGGTGGGGGTGCATGAGATGGCTAGCAGTAATAGGTATTAGTACTAGTAATAGTTATCTGGAGAGCTCCTTTGATTATATATGCCCAGGCACGGAGATACACGGATCTATTTGATAAGCTCGTGGAGGTTAATACACTTGCTGTCCAGCACTAAGCTGATGCATTAACCTGCATAACATCGAGTCAGCAGTTGACAGGTCGATTCTACGATGTATAGTACATAAAATATATTCCATACAGGGAGTACCTTAGAGTAGTAATCAAACCTTGGAATGGATAACTGATAAACACATGGGAACCCTGTAAGAGATACCCTTATATCTGAGGGGACCGAATCTAACTCGATATATATCACTGTCCAGCTATCTCCAGATCAATCTCCGACTACACAGCAATCTACGTAACCCCTACGAATAAACCTACAATACTCAAAAACTCAAATATAACAAACGAGAAACCATCGGAATGAATTGTTTCTATACACATCCCAACCACCCAACCACCTGGAAGGGCAGTGCCTAACCGTACCCTGGCCTGAAAGCCATATGCGTGAGATAAAACGGGGGAGAAAAGGCAAACGAGGACTAAAAGTCCATCGCTTAGACAGCAGACAGATCGCCGAAGCGCTCCTGTACATGAGGTTAGCACTGTCTCACGCAAAGCATAGCAATGGCCATAGCCATAGGCCAGGCCATGCTTCCAACACCAAAACCATCTCCGGGCATCACGTACCTTGTAGCCGGGGGGCATCCACTTGCCCTTGGAGACAAGGGAGGAAGTCTTCTCGTCGATCTCGGGTTGGGCGGCAGCAACCTCGTCCTAAAAGAAAAAAGGTAAATAATTAGCACTGCACGAGTGGAACGGGGAGAATGATGATAATGCTTCGCCGGCAAATGCAAAGCTGCAAAAGCACCTGCACTAGCGCTATCTGTAACTGAAGGGATACGCACGACAGTGAGGTCCTCGAAAGGACGAGCAGTCTCGATGTTCTCAAGAGTCTTCTGGAGGTTAATCAGCTCAGAGTCGATCTTGCCCTTAGTCTGCTCAGCGTTCTGAACAGCCTGGGACTCGAAAGCATCGATAGCCTTGAGCTGGCGGGAGACATCGTAAGAGGCGGGCTTGAAGTTCTTGAAGTGGTTCTCGATCTCGTCGACGATGGCCTGGTTCTTCAGCACCTTGCGGTAGTGGGAGAAGTCGACCGCCTGCGGCTGCTCGGAGAGGACCTGGACCTTGCGGCGGGCGTCGTCGTTGCGCTTCTTGAAGGATTGAAGCGAGGCGGCGGTTTGGCCGCGGAGGCCGAGGGAGGTGGACACCTTTGCCCAGTCGATCTTGAGAGCGGCGCTGCGCTATAGGTAGGTAGGGGGTGTTAGTGAGGCGTGGGATGGGGGGGTTTTGCTGGGGGGGTGCTGGGGGGTGTTTGGTGGGATTTTTTGACGGGCGTAAGGAGAGCAGCGGGAGCACGTACAGCGGCCATTGTGACGGTGGTAGTTGGAGGGGGAGGTGGAGGAGAGGGGAGGGTTCAAAGTGCAGGGAGTTGCCGGGCGAGTTTGAATCGGAAAGGTTTGGATGCGGGCACGTGACTATCCGGCATCCGAGCATCGGCTGAGCTGGGAACATCAAACAGCATCAAAGTACGGAGAGCAGCATTCCAGTATGTATGTACATGAAATTTAATTAATTACAATATTGCCACACTGCTACATACTACACTGCTACAACTACTGCTACGCGGAATCATTAGATGATCAATTCTTTTGGAGTATTGTGTACACTATGAGCTCGCCATCTCGGCTACACCCAAGCCTCTCAAGAGAACCTAGCTACCTAGCATTTAATTTCAAACAGGCCATTGAGTATTCAGCCGTGCATCCGATTATATGCTGAGAGCCATGATCGAGTTCACGATATCGTTATCGTTCTCCCGCAGAGCCTTGACAGCCTTCTTACGGGAAACACTAGCCTGAGCCATGACGAGATCAATGTCCTTGGCCTCAAGACCGGACTCGTCAACCTCCTCTCCATCATCCTCCTCCTCCTCCTTAGTCTCCAGCTTCTCACCGAGGTCGGTGATGGGCTCCTTGCCCTTGCCGTGGTCGTGATCGTGGTCGTGGTCGTGACCGGCGTGCTCACCGGCAGCCTCGGCGGCAGCGAGCTGCTGGGCAGCGGAAGCCTGGGCCTGGGCGTTCAGGTCCTCGATCTTAGCCTCACCGAAGATGCTGTTGGTGTGGTTAGTGGGTTTGCGTATAGGTGCCAATGGGTGTTGGTGGTGGGTACGTACATCCAGGTGTTGCTGGAGGGGGACTTGTAGACATCGGGGTTGCTGACGACGAAGAGGACCTGGAGAAAGGTTAGCTGCTGTTGGGTAATTTGGCGCATTGGAGCCCTGGCACTGCACTGCAGCTGCAGCTCCTCTGCGGTGCGGTATGGTACATACGTTCTTGGGGCGGCGGAGAGTGACACGGGTGATGCCGGGAACGTGCTTCAGGCCGAGCTTAGCAATGGCCTTGCGAGCCTTCTTCTCACCACGGGAGTGGATGGCGACGGAGGCGCCGGCGGGGATGTTTGCCTCCTCGCCAGCCTCGGACTCGGAGTCGCTGCCCTCCTCGACGGTGTTGGGGACGTCCTCATCGGGGAGCTCTTGAACGCGGGGGTCGGCCATTGTGAATATGTGAAGAATCTGTCGCAGAGTCTAGGGTTAGCTATATAGGGCCATGGCAGTGCGGCAGTGAACAGCAATAGAGCTGTGGTGGAATGTGGGTGGGTGGTGGTGGTGGTGATGATGCTGATGGTGGTGGGAGGTGCGGGCAAGTCGACCAGACCCCTCGCAGAGGTCCCCCCCCCACGCACCGCACAATCGGAAAATGACGAATTTGGAGGTCGGAAGGGCAATTCAGCGATAGATCGGGGGGAATTCAACGCACCTGAGATGCCGGATTCAAGCTGTGGTGGTAGCGGGTGGATTTTGGTGGTGAGGTTCAAAGGTGCACGTTAGCTGTGTGGCCCGACCGAAAATCGTTAGCGAGGCGGTTGCCCCCAGATCCCACACAGCATGCATACACCACAAGTGCTACTATACATGGGGACCAGGTAGTTAACTTAGTACTAGTATTGAATAATTGTTGGTCAATATTTAATTCATACATCTAAATCATTAAATATATACTATTTTCCACTTTTTGTGGTATTTTACTCTCATTTAGGTACTTAGTATCATTTACTGCTCGCACTACCAAGATGTAAATATTATAGCACTACTTTTGTCATTGGCAAGTCTATGCAACAGTCATACTTTCAAGTCATACTTTCAAGTTAGTCCATACTAGTATGCTAGTTGAGAGGTATCAAGGACTTTGAATCATTTTTGCTGTAGAATATGCATACAGCATTTTGCTGGAAAATGCCAGCTATGGAAACCCGTCCCAGGACACCTCCGTCATCCTATGCACCGAACCCTCGTAATCATCTATTGGGCAGCCCGGACCTTGGCGTGGGACTTCTGGACCTCGTAGCGGGACTAAACAGATCGTTAGTATAACAGTTGACTGGGAGACGAGACGAGAAACTGGTGACACCAGAAACTCGGCCCGTTGGGTGGAGGGTCGTGTCTCACCTGCTTGCGCAGACGCAGAACCTTGAAGCGCTCAAAGTCGGTCAGGTTCTTGCGGCGCTCAACCTTGTCGGTCTTCTGGGCGAAGGAGCTCTTGGCCCACTTGCCATCGATCTCGTTCTTGGCCCACAGCTTCTTGACGGGGCCAGTACCGGCAGCGCGGGGAAGTTGGGGGATGGTGAAGGGAGTGAGAGTGGCGTGGGCGAGGGGAAGGACGTGACGGGGCACGATCTTCTGGGCCTCAGCGGAGGGACCGTCAACCAGGACCTGCAGAGACGATTAGTACTTGTTCGGGGAGTGGCAGCGATGGTTGTCTTGGGTTGTGCTGTTCTGATGTGTTCTGCTTTGCTTTGCTCTGCTCTGATCCATCCAGTCCAGTCCATTTCCTGCGAGTCGAATCCTTATCTTGTCGATCTGTGTTGCGCACAAGACCCAAGATCATCTCTTATCGAAATCCTCCTCCGATCGACTTCTCGCGATTCCCGGACCCGGACCCAGAGCAGTCGCAGTCGCAGTTGCATTTTCAGAACAGCACAGTCCAATTCAGACTGTACGTACACGGCGGTGGTCGACAATCTCAACGATGGCAGCGAGCTTGCCAGCGAAGGGGCCGCGGCGGATCAGGACGAGGCGGCCAACCTCGACCAGCTTCCAGGAAGCGAGGGTAATCTCGATATCGGCCATGGCGGAATTCTGCAAGAAATACAAGTTCAGCGGGAGAGTTGTAAACGGGCGATAGTGAATGCTGTACTCACGGTCGACAACCGGGTTGGTGGATGAGTCGGAAGGTTGTTTGTCGAGAAGTCGAATGAGTCCAAGTTCGCTCAGCGAAATTCGGATGTGCCCACACAAATTCCGCACTTCTCGCTTAGCCCTCCACTCCGGGCGGCCCCTAGGGTTGGCTGAGTCATCAGGTCCAGTGATCTCGGATTATTCGGGGCCACGCGGGACTATCATTAGTCCGACCCTAGCTGCCATTTTTTTCCCTTAAAAGCCTGCGCCTGCCTTCTTCCTTTGTCGAACACTATCAAACTCTGTTGACTCTGTTGACTCTGTCGAGCTTAATGTTGCTCAGAACTCAACTCAGCACTCAGTCTGTCATTGCAACTGCAACTGCCATTGCTACTAACTAGCAAGCATACAGCACTCATCCTCTCGGTACGTTCTACTTTTTTTCCTCCCACTGCTACCCTGCTCTACCTGCTCTACCTTACATGATGCCGTAATTTGCGATTGACCCAGTGTCTGTGAAACCCTCGCCGGGGTTTCGATACAGCGCTGTCGTATGATATTCAATTTTCTTACATATTCTGATACTTGTTCAATCTTGCCTACTCATTACATTGCCATCTTCAGTTGGACCTTGCTAACTGAATCAGTTTACTAGATACTCACCACCACCGCCAGCCATTGACATGGATCCATTGACTTAGGTATGTGATTGATCTTCCATTCTTTGTCATTATTACACCATCACCACACCACCACCACCACCCCCGGCCCGATGATTAAAACACTTATCACGCCTAGATAGTAATTGATGCTTCGGCACGTGATATTACCTTAACTACCAAGATCTCTGAGGACCATCACACTTTTCATTTGCATTGCATTGCATTTGCATCTGCATTGACTTGCCTGCTTCACACATATGCTTGGTTGAACTGCTCTAACCATCATATAGGATTATCTCCAGTCATGCCGATCCCTAGTTTAGTCAATAATCATAATAGTACAATATCGTCAAGTTCAATTACTACCTCCAGTTGTAGAGTAGAGTACCTTAAAAGGTTTACTTAATATTTGATTGATTACAAAAGTCGTGCTATATCGTGAAGGCTGGCCTACCGTACTAGTAGCATCCAGTCCAGCGAATCTCCCTCGCATCTCCTCCCACTCTATACCGCTGTTTTCGTTTTCGTTTCCAGTGGCTCAGCTTCAAAACATACCCCACCCGCAACGCAACGCAATGCAATGCACCGAATCGCTGCATCATGAATCGCCAGCTCCCAATGCAGAGGGTCCCTCCCGACTGAGCACCCACATGAAGACAAACTGGATCACGTACGAGTACACAAACAGGAACTGCGTGCGGCGGTTGCGTTGTCCCCGAGCAACTGTCTGCATGGAACCCGCGCGCATAGAAGAGTCGGCGGAATCGGGCAGCAAGACATATTTCAGCGAGCGTAGCTAGAAAATGGAAGTTAGTAAAAGGAAAAGGAAAGATAGAGCGAAACTGCGAACAATGAGAAAGGAAGAGAAACGTACCAAAAAGAAAGCATTGGCGGCAAAAGTGTAGATAAACACCGTCCAACCAACCCAACCACCCGTCCCCGACCCGGCGTTAGAATCTCAGACGCAACCAGTGTAACAATGATACCAACGAACTTGTACCCAGAGTAAGCGACCAGATCCAGCAGCTGCGAGTCATTATTGATAGCAAGGATGTACATAGCCATCTTGAGACAGAGGATCTCGAAGAGAATCACCGCGATGGCGGTCGTAGTGATCGAGCCCAATAATTCTGGGTGGAAATCCCCGCGGAATCCGGCAAGTAGCACCGAAAGCAGGATATATGTGACCAGCGCCATGACGGGGATGTACATATCGGGGGGAGTTGAGATCATCCCGCGGAGGGAGGAACATGGAGCTGTATTGCTGCTGGGTGATTTGGCCATTTGGCCCTGCGGCTGCGGGCATGCGGGCTTGTTGGCGGGACCAGGGCTTGTGGCGCCAGGGGAAGAGGACTAGAGCTAGTTTGGATAGGACGTAGGAGTTTGAGACGTTGAAGTAGTGCTTCAGAGCGACTATGGAGACGTAGCGATTGAACTGGAGCAATTGTTAGACTTGAAGAGAGGGGAAAGAGGGATTAGGGAGTCGAGGTATGCGTTACATTCTGCTCCATGTATTCCTGTCCGGCCATCATCGCGCTCTTGCCAACCTGGAATCCCATCTGTGCTGTGGGATCGTTGATGAATCCGCCGAATCCGGGGTCGTAGGTTTGGCCTTGTTGGCCCTGTGCTTGGCCCTGTGCGGGCGAGGGTTGGTATGGACCTCCATAGCTGGCACCGGGGGCGTTCGGGGTCTGCTGGGAGGGGGGTGGTGGTGAGCGCATCATTGGCACGGTCGATACATGCTGTGGGATGGGATGGTGAAGAGGCGGCGACTGGGCGGGGGGCGGTGCGAAGGAGCCCCGATACATTTTCTGAGGAGGTGATGCAGGAGGGGAGGTAGGAGGGGCGAGGTAGGAGGTAGGACGTGAGAGGTGGAAGATGAGGTTGAGAAGGTGGTGGAGGAGAAGCAGGAGGTGTGGTGGAGTTGTAGAGAAAGTGTTTATACGTGGCTGATAAAGGTCCGCTCGGCCTCCGGGCAGCTCTCGCCGATCCGCCACCTCCACCTTCGACTTCAGCTCTCTTCTTCTCCTTCTACTCACGACAATATACCCCTAATTTTCATCATGTTGGAAGCCTTTGAAATTCTTACCACCTCTGGTGTGGTGCTGTGGTCCAAATCATATGCTCCCGTGGGGGCGCATGTCATTAACAGCCTGATCAACGACGTTTTTATCGAGGAGAAAGTCGTGCCACAGAACGCTGCAGGAGTGTCGCCTGTCTTCAAGAAGGAGAAATATACCCTCAAATGGCGTCGCAATAAGGAATTTAGCTTGATATTCGTGGTACGTCACAAGTCCATCCATTCTGCTCCCATCCTACTCCAGCCCGCACCACCCTCAGCCCATCGAGTCATCGCATCGCAACTCACCTCACCTCTAGGCTGTCTACCAATCACTCCTCCACCTTGGCTGGATCGACAAACTTCTGGAGAATATTTCCACCATCTTCATCGATATCTACAAGGACCAGTTGAAAGGCAACCGCACCAGAATCACCACCTACCGCTTCGACCCGTACTTCGAGCAGCAAGTGCGCGAGCTTGAAGATAATACCGGCAGCGTCGCGGAGGTTTACTCTGCCGAGATCGAGGGCAAGAAAGACCCGCTGGTCTCATCGGACAATGGAGGTCCTCCACCTCCGCTCCCCGGCTTCTTGAAGGGTATGTCTAGGTCCACCCCAGCCCTGCCCAGACAATTGCTAACACTTCCCAGTGCAGCATCAAGCTGCGCTAGCCGGGGCGACCTCTGACGAGGGCACGCCACCAGCATCTCCTGATACTTCTAGATCTACAACACCAAACCACATCATCACGGGAAAGAGTGGTCCCAGAACCTCGCGCCGAGCACGCAAAGCCGCCAACGCCAGCGCCAATGCCTCGTCCGGAGACGAGCACTCTCGCAGCCGCAAGCCCGCAAAGAGCACACCGGCGAAGAAGATGCGCAAGTGGGACGCTGACGGATACGCCGATGAGGATGATGGGGAAATCCTGGACTACTCTGCCCCCGCAGAGGATGGGGATGCGGCGGCGCCCGCCGTCGAGGCCGTCGCGCAGGAAGACTGGGGCCGCAGGACGGGCAAGGGCCAGTTTGTGCTGAAGGAGCTGGGCGAGGAAGTTCATAATATCCTGGATAATGCGGATGCCGAGAAGAGCAAGGATGATGCTGGGTCTGGCGTTGTGGGCTCTGGATTCAATGCCATTGGAGGCTTCTTCCGCAATATTGTTGGCGGCAAGACGTTGACCAAATCTGATCTTCAGAAGCCGCTGAAGGCAATGGAGGACCACCTGCTGAAGAAGAACGTTGCTCGTGAAGCTGCCGTTCGACTTTGCGAGGGCGTTGAGGCTGAGCTGGTCGGCAAAAAGACTGCTAACTTCCAAAGTGTCGATGCGGCCTTGCGTATCGCTATGGAAGCATCTCTGCGGAAGATCCTCACGCCTACCTCATCTCTGGACCTTCTCCGTGAGATCAACGCCGTCACTGCCCCCACCACTAAGCAGCACGCTCCTCGCCCCTACGTGATGTCCATCGTCGGAGTCAATGGTGTCGGCAAGTCCACCAACCTGAGCAAGATCTGCTTCTTCCTCCTGCAGAACAACTACCGCGTTCTCATCGCCGCCTGCGATACCTTCCGCTCCGGCGCGGTCGAACAACTCCGCGTTCACGCCCGCAATCTGAAAGAACTCAGTTCCCGTGAAAACGTCGGCGAAGTCGAGCTCTACGAAAAGGGATACGGCAAGGACGCCGCGAACGTCGCCAAGGACGCAGTCGACTATGGTGCCGCGAACAAGTTCGACGTCGTCCTCATCGACACTGCAGGTCGTCGCCACAATGATCAGCGACTGATGTCCTCACTGGAGAAGTTTGCCAAGTTTGCCAACCCGGATAAGATCTTCATGGTTGGTGAGGCGTTGGTTGGAACTGATAGTGTTATGCAAGCGCGGAACTTCAATTCGGCCTTTGGAACTGGTCGGAATCTTGATGGTTTCATTATTAGCAAGTGTGATACAGTCGGTGATATGGTTGGTACTCTGGTTAGTATGGTTCATGCTACGGGTATCCCGATTGTTTTCCTTGGCGTTGGACAGCATTATGGTGACTTGCGTGGACTTAGTGTTCCTTGGGCGGTTAGCTTGTTGATGAAGTGATGCGATCTGATAATGTCTAGGTGTTGGATAGCTAGTTTGAGCTTTTAGGATTTGATTTAGCTTGTTATATGATCATTCAGTGCATATTGACTCATATTAACACACTAAGCTTCGTTTTTACCATTGCTATACCACTTTGCCACTTCAGCATCCCAATACACCTCTTGTTCATCACTGCTATCATCGTCTTCCTCCTCGGGATCCTCCTGTTCGTTGATACCACCCTTTACCTCTTCGACATCGCCGAATCCCAGGACGAGAAGTTCTGCTTCGATCCTTCGTCTAAATTCCGAAAAATTTCGGGCTCCTTCAAGCATCACTAGTACAGTCTTTCCATCTGTAGTTCGAGCATTGATGTCGGCTCCTCGTTCTACCAAAAGCCGAAGCATGGCTAAGAAATCATCGCAAGATTTTACCACACGGCGAAAAAATAAAAAGTGCAGAGGTGTTTGTCCCTGATAGTCTCTAGACTCAACATTAGCGCCTTTGTCGAGCAGAAATGCTGCCACTTCTTGGTTCAAGTTTTGAGCAGCCAGATGTAGAGCTGTCGTTCCTTTGCTATCTTCCATCTCAATATTAGCTACATGATCCACGAGCAGATATAGAGCTTCAGCTTCAGCTTCGTTCCTTACAGCCAGGTGAAGTGCGGTTAGGCCGAATTGGTCCGTCCAACAGCTCTTTCACGACCATCAAGTGTCCGTATTGAGAGGCCAAATGTAGCCCCGTTGCTCCCATGGTGTTCTTCTTTCTTACAAGCTCTGGCTTTGCTTTGCTATGACGCTGAGCGATTTCGGAAAACCCGAACGTACAGGCGGTAAAGAAGGGCCTATCTGGTGAGCTGAGAGGTTGTATAATCTTATCTTTGAATGGGTCGCTCCAATCCAAGATTTGAGAAACGGGCTCAACCTGCGGCAGCCACTGTCTAAACCAGGGCTTGGCATTTCTATCTCGTATAAACAAGCCGTTCAATGCATCTTTGATTTTCTCGGTGCTTTGCTGCTGACCAGAATTTTCAATATGGGATGCCCAATATAGAATCACATAACACTGAAGTGAGCTGCGCTCCAAGGATAGGTCTTCAAGAGCTGGGATTCCATCAGAAATGATCTTCAAGCATACATCGGCTGCAATGGCATGTCTTTTCTGTAGATTGAATCCGGGTTTCTCTTCAAAGAAATCCTTCACTGAGGTATGAATGAATCTGAAGGTGTTGAGATCTTCGTCAAACATGACGAGGTTGCTGCAGCTATCCTGGATCATCGACTCTGTGAGACTGTCGCGTTGGCCGGTGACATAGTAAGAGACTGCTCCCATCAGATCATGTTTTGAAATCGGTGCATTTGCACATAGAAGCCATCGAAAGAGCGTGAAGGCTACTTTTCGTGCCATATAACATGCTTGTTCAATATTGCTGTATATCGTTTCATAGAGCTGTGAGAGTCCCTCGGGAAGTGTCCTGCACCGTTGCAAAATGTCGCTTTCGAATAGTATTTGGTTGTGATCGGTGAGCAAAGTGACTTGCAGCTTGATCCAGAGGAACCTAGAATTGTTAATTCCATTTAAAATACTCAATAATTTGTCCCAAGAATTATGATATTTCAAATAACTTATATTCCTTGTGCACCATTCACTAGTTCCTTGGCCAATTTGTCGGTCCAGTTTTCGGAGACCGGAATTTCACGCATTTTCATGCTTTCGATACACTCGGTTACTTTCACTTGCACATACCTTTCGATATCTTGCTGGTTTTGACCGGCATCAATCGACAAGAATTTAAGCGATTTGAGGCGGGCGGAAATATCCGAGGAAGGTCGACTTGACAGAAGAATCTTGACTCGGCCTTTGGCATCATGCAATAGAGTCCTTATCAAATTCAGGAAGTTGGTCCGTCGGGTTGTGTCGCATTCATCTATCGCGTCGATACAGATTGTCGTCGTTCCCTGGTCTGCCAGCTGTAAAAGCAAACTTTTAGTATCGACCTACGAGAGGTCGGCGCCACTGTCTGCCTCGTCTTGCGATTGAAGGTATTTCTGTTTCACGACTCCTCGGATAGGCATACCCGGTCCTGGTCGGGATTATTGCCTTAGGATGCATCGAACCAGGGCCTCAGGATCGCTAAGTCTTCAATCGTGTGTGTTCAGCGAGCAGTAAACATATGCCAGAGGACCGACATCCGCATGATATTGATTACTTCGCAAGCTGTCGATTATGACGGACCTATCGGAGCGATGATATGTCAGTATGCTTAAAGAACCTCAGCCACAACGAAAATTTCTTACATTAGTGTGCTCTTCCCAGTGCCCGCTTGAGAAATATTAGCATTTGACATACTAAGGGAATTCATGGGAGCCGCTTACGATATGCATGAAGCCACATAAGTGAAGAACTGTCTGATGTTCTCCATTCCACATACTCGGGTCGTTGAAAAATCTCGAGCCCACAGTCTGGCAAGCGGTCTGTTCGAAGTCTTTGATGGTGCCCACCGTGCGAAATTGGAGAAAGCCAGTTGAGTATATTCTTTTCCTCCTGGCCTATATCCCGCTGTCAGTACTCAAGCTCAAAATAGTCTCCACGGATGCCATACCTTCGGATCTTTTCTGTAGGTCGATCATCCCATCATTATCGATTTTATCGGATCTTGGAAACTCTTCAGATACCCTTTCAGAATATTCTGCGCGTTCGTGACTGCTTCTAGCTTTTTTAAAACTGTTCGGTTTTCCTCCTGGGAATCTATCTTATATCAGCTTTGCGATTGGAAAGGTCCGGAGTGGCCGTTTATACTTTCTGAATCAACCAAGCGAGCGAGGTCATCCACTATCACTTGTTGCTTCTGAATTTCGTCCATCAATACCTTGAAGTCATTGTACATCTGAAGCAAACTTTTGACTATTCGCTCTACATAAAGGTTAGCCAAAAATGTTAGACTGGTATTTGGTTTTCGTGGCAGAAATGCATAGTGGCGGTCCCTGTCTCATAATAAGATTTCGCCTTTGCCATGAACTAGAGCACTAGCATATAGCGCGACCATCTGGCTCTGCAGAATGGTTTTAATCCGTGAATCGCTTTTCAAGTACAGAATCTCAAACACTGTATATCGGGGAATGAAAACAGAAAACATTTCGATTCCTTCGTAGACGACTTGAAGGTATTCCGAATCCTTGACCGCGACCTATCACCACTGTTAATTGCGCTTCCAAGAAATGTGAGAGGGCAAACGCGAGTAAAGGAAGTCTCAACAGACCTGGAGAATCAATTTTATCGCTCTCCAAGGAACAGCCAGATGCGTCGAATCCAACGCAGCGACCGAATCACCAAGTTCCTTGAACTGGGAAACTTTCTGAACGATCTTATCGAAGATCTGACGAAGCTCGACTTCGGTTCCATCTCGCTTTGTGTATTTCCATCTTTTCTTCTCGCACTCTGCCTGTCTGTTTTTAGCACTTACGAGGACGTCGTCAAGAACGGTCAGCTTTTCTGTCGCGTGGGGCCATATTAATGACTTGTCCTCGTCGTCCAGCTCTTTGATCGCTTCCACCCAGAGATCTGTTTGGTGTCATAAATATGTTAGAAGCTTTATTTCGCGGATATACATGGATTTTATTCATGATTCAAGTTCAAGCTGTATCAAAGGACTCCCGGATCACTCCAGGGCTGCTTACCAGACTGCCCGTGCGGAGGTAGATAAGCACCCGGCCCAGTCATATTGGGGTGGACCTCGGGATATATATTCAGGTTAATTTTAGATTCCGATCAAGCAGAAACCAATTTATCGATTTGAATGAGGCTCAATGAAATTATATGCTAGATACAGAGGCGAATTATTGAGTTTAGGAGGATGATTGTCCGCAATTCGGTGTCCAGGCTGATGCTGCGGGCCACGCAAATTCACCTGGGCACCATTGGGTATTTATTGCACTTTACTACCATCACAATGGCGCTTTTAAAGGTAGTTTTGGAAACAGTAGAAAAGCCTGCAAACAATTCCATATAATTAGAGACACAGACGTTTGTCCAAACTTGAAGCAGACTGGGATGAAGAACCGCTAGGATCCAAAAATAGACACTTCACAACAAAAACAACAACTGCAACAACAGTACAGTTTTAAAAAGCAAAAAATTGACCGACGCAGGGGTCGAACCTGCAATCTCTTGATTCGTAGTCAAGCGCCTTGCCATTGGGCCAGCCGGCCTTGGATGAAATGAAGTCCTAAAATTGGCTTTATGGGTCTGAAGAGATTTTCGTATACATTCCCCACATACTACAGCCAATCACAACCCAGGACTATACCTGTTCCCTCAACTGCTATAACTAGCAGTGGATAGTAAGTGCCTTTCCCATTCTCCATTAGAAAATAAATTGTGTCAACTCCTCCTTCGTCTTCAACTTCTCCCCCTTTTCCTCAGCACCCGGATGTGCCCAATTCGTTGGTGTCGCAAACCCCAAAGTTGACTTGGGCAATTCATCTCGCATTGAGGCCGACAAGCCGAACGGAGTGTGGAAGTTTATATTACAAGGTCTCGGGACGAGATGATTTTATCCGCGAGATTCCAATTTGTTGACAATTGATATGACCAATCTGGGGGCTGAAATACTAGTAACACAGGAGCCATGCAGACACTAGCCAATGCAGCGGCAGCAACCGGAAAGTAAGTGTTCGGCTGCGAGTACAAGAAGTCTGGATTTGTCAATGCACATGTCCTTCTACTTGAGCAAAGGATGTGAGATCGGAGCGATATACACAGCAGTAGTAACCTTTACAGTTGTAAATGAATGGACTATGAAATAAATGAATTGAATATGTATGACGAGCATTGAGCTGCTAACCAGGTAAAATGTACGAAGTAAGATAGATATAATTGGAAAAGAAGGTCTCATAAACACCAAGACGCCCAAGCCAAATAAAATCACTCATAGCGCCGAATTATCATTGAGGTCGCGCGTCAGTGGGTGTGTAGGAAGCTTGGCAGATCGGGCAGCGATAATGCCGGTACTCAAACCACGAGGATAAACAGCTTAAATGAAACGCATGATGACACCGATTGAGGACGAGAATTCCACTATCGCGTCTGGGACCGGTCCCTGCAGCTGCAGCTCCACAGCACGAGCCGTCTGAGGGGTCCGGTGATGTATCACGCTCGGGGGGTTGGCGACGAGGTAGTTGGGCGGGTTTGGGGTAGGCAAGATTGGGAGTGGATGATAAGGAGCAGAGACATATGGGGCTGGAACAATATTAGCTTATTGTAGAGTTTCTTGAGGGTCTTGGAGACGCGGAGGCTGAGACGACTTGGTGAGGGAGCCTTGGGCTTGGGAGATGGTTCAGATGATAAGGACTTCGGCCAAGACTGCTAGTTGAAACAAGTCTGGTACGAAAACGAGGTAGGGTCTTGGGAATAGCATGGCATGGAAAGGCGTGGCAAGGCATGGCATTTGCATTGCATGGCGTGAGCATGATGTGAACAGGGAAGACAAAGCGACGCGCAAGATCAAAGAACGGGAGAGGTGCCGAAACTCCGAATGCCCAGGCGCCTAGAGTGAAGACGGGGAATGGGGCACTGGTGGAGAGCCTCATAGGGTAGTTCGGTCCCTGGCCCAGCCCTGGGCATCTGGGCGTTCCCCGCATCACATCATCCTTAGATCAGGCCAAGATGTCGGTATCGGGGCTTTGCGAGTGCCAATCCCAGTGCCAAACCGAATGCTAAGACCCATGACTTGGAATAGAATGATGATGCAAGGAAGAGAAAGAGAGAGGAAGAGGAAGGTGGAAAAGACGGGATTTAAACATACCAGGTATCTTCAGCATATTGTTCAATGTCACTATTCGTGTTCTGTTGTTCGAGCCATCTTTCCACGGAAACCTGTTCCATAGAAGAGCTCAAGACAAGAGCCTGGTTAACAGGACGAGCAGCAGCAGCAGCTTGTCTCCTCCTGCGATGCCACACCAGAAATCTATTGAGTTGTAACGTGTATTAGCCTTGTTCAACCTTCGAGACGATTCGCATGCATAAAGTGGGGCAGGGAGTATGCCAAGACCGGTCTGTGTGTCCGACCCAGTCAACTAGCGCAGGACTCACATTGGAAGGATGCTGATTATCGAAAACAGTGCAATGGCCCCAATCACGATCCCGATCACCTCGCCTTGGGCAAGAGCGGCATCTTCCAACATGAGTGGGGAGCATGGGACCCCGCAGGCCTGGGTCCACGCGAGGAAGATGTGGAATACGAGAACAGGGACGTTGAGGCGGATCGCCCAATAATCGTCCGCTTGCAACGTCAAAGTCGGGGAGATGGACGTCAAGTGTGCCCTGCCCGTATGGCGTGGATTGGGGGATCGCTCAGGCTAATGCTAGAAGGTGCAGATAACCAACAGCGATTGAACACGGACCATTCTTTTGACAGTCAGATGGCCTAATATCGAAGGCGAATGGGGGTATCCTTTGTTATGTCAGAGGGGACAGTCTGATGGCAAATATTTGCCACCTGGGGAGAGCGGAGGGTCGTTACAACAAAAGACAGGGGAAAATGGACCAGGACGGGCGGGCAGCTTTGAACCGCGCGGTGAACTCTCAGACCTCACATAATGCAGGATGCCAAGGAAGGCTGAGGATGAGCCAAGAATGAGACATGTCGGGAAAAGGCAGGAAACGCAGGATGAGCCGAGAAGAAAAGGAGAGACTCGTCCAGCGCGGAACGCCAAGGCACGCCGAGAATCCCGCTCTTGGCACTCCGCGACTCTCTCTGCCAATCACCGCTGAGTGGCGGTTCATAACCGAACCAACGCCGAGACCAGTCGTGTGCGTCATCGAGGCCTCGGCGGAATAAAATAGATACTGTGCCAAGTTGGGTCCGCCGGAGGCCGAATTCTGGTTGGATGTGGTGATTGGCTGAGGCGGGGGTTGGGAAGTTCCCCAGATTGGCGTAAGAGATATTCGGAGCCAATCTTGGGGAAGGGTTCGGACCCCGTTTGCATCGCCGGGCAAATTCGCCATTCGGTACGGCCGGTGCACCCGAAGCCTGGAACAATCCTGGATTGGGACAGTTCTTGGCGTGAGCCAAGACAAAAGTATTTATATCAGCCAAGATCCCCCTCGGGGGGAAAAGAAAGGAAGATAGAACTTTGGAACTTTTGAACAGAAGTGTACTTTAGTCCAGACCGAGGATCAAATCTTACTTTCATAAGAGTAGATTCTCCTTGACATACACACCTACCCCCCACGTGTACACGTGTATGGACTCGCATTCTCTTGAGGATACTTTCTACATGACACCCCCTTGAAGAAAGCCCTATAGACGTATACGACTGCACACTGCACTCTACAAACACCCTTTGTATCGCCCACAACCCCCACATCTGAAAACAACCTCATCCTTCTTCACAAGGACACTCCTAGACACTCGACACCGCGTGATGTCTAAGGAGAGCCCCCAAACACAAGGCTCCAAGTCATCCAGCGATGTTTCCACGCAGTACCCTTTCTAAGCCGGCTCACAGTCTCACCTATGAAGAGGTGATTCAGGAGCTCGGCACTAACTCAGACGATGGCCTCACCACGAGCGATGTCAAGCAACGCCTGGAGAAATATGGCGGCAACGTTCTGGAGGGAGACGAGGGTGTCTCTTTTGCCAAGATCGTCATCAGACAGATCGCAAATGCCATGATGCTTGTAAGTTCAAATTTCAATGGAAGACGGCGAAATATGAAGACCCAATGTACTAACAACACCAACAGGTTCTCATCATCGCTATGGCCGTTAGTTTCGGTATCAAATCATGGATTGAAGGTGGTTTTATCGCCGCAGTAATCGCGCTGAACATCGTCGTTGGAGTTTACCAAGACTTTGCCGCTGAAAAGACAATGGATTCTCTTCGCTCTTTGTCTTCGCCCACAGGCGTTGTGACTCGAGATGGTAAAACTCAAACTGTACCCGCCCAGGAAATTGTTCCCGGTGATATGGCCGAGCTGAAAGTTGGCGACACCGTGCCTGCTGATCTTAGGTACGTTCAAAACCCCGGTGAAGACGCAGAGAAATATGGCTCATAGTTAACCTTTCTTAGACTTGTCGAAGCTATGAACTTCGAAACAGATGAAGCTCTGCTCACTGGCGAATCTCTCCCCGTCCAGAAAGAAGTCGACGCCACCTACGATGTCGACACCGGCCCCGGCGACCGTTTGAATATTGTCTACAGCTCCTCCACAGTAACCCGCGGCCGCGCCAGAGGTGTCGTGATCGGCACTGGTATGAAGACTGAGATTGGTGCCATCGCTGCTGCCCTTCGCGGAGGCGATTCCAAACGCCGCCCTGTCAAGCGTGGGCCCGAAGGCGAAACCAAGAAGCGCTGGTACATTCAAGCCTGGACATTGACCACTACCGACGCGATAGGTCGTTTTCTGGGAATCAATGTCGGAACTCCCCTCCAGCGGAAACTCTCGAAGCTCGCGCTTCTCCTCTTTGCTATCGCAGTCGTCTTCGCAATTGTTGTCGCAGCATCGAACGATTGGCGCGGTGATAACGAAGTAATCATCTACGCTGTTGCTACTGGCCTGGCTATGATTCCTGCTTGTTTGGTTGTTGTTCTGACGATCACAATGGCAATGGGAACGAGACAGATGGTGCAGCGACATGTCATTGTTCGAAAGCTGGATTCTCTCGAGGCCCTTGGTGCTGTCACCAACATTTGCTCGGATAAAACCGGAACCTTGACACAAGGTCGCATGGTTGCAAAGCGTGCTTGGCTTCCATCTGTGGGCACCTATTCTGTTGGAGCATCAACGGACCCCTTAGACCCCAAGGAAGGAGAGCTAAGCCTGACAGATGCGGCACCTATTGAACTGAGCGCTGAATCCCGTGCCGGCGACCCTGCTACACCCGAGGATCTATTGAAAGGCAGTGGTCTTTTGAAGTCATTCCTGGACGTTGCAGCACTCGCCAACCTAGCACATTTGCACAAGTCCGCCAGTGAAGGATGGCAAGCCCGTGGCGAACCGACTGATATTGCCATCCAGGTTTTTGCTTGGCGTTTCGACTGGGGAAATGATCACTTGATGAAGGGCGAGAAACCCATTTGGCGTCAAAAAGCTGAATACCCGTTTGACTCCAGTGTGAAGAAGATGTCGGTTGTTTTTGCCAAACGCGACGAGGAAACAGGAAACACCCAGGAAATGGTTTTTAGCAAGGGTGCCGTTGAGCGCGTTCTTGAATCTTGCACGACTATTCACTGGAAATCCGACTTCCCCGTCCCTCTTACCGATGAGATCCGCGACCAGATCCTGCAAAATATGGAGGCATTGGCTAAGGAAGGTTTGCGTGTTCTTGCGCTGGCTGGTCGTGAGCATACTGGAAACAAGGAAAGCAACGAACCCCCTCCCCGCGAAGAAATCGAGAAGGATCTTGTTTTCTACGGACTCATTGGATTGTATGACCCACCTCGCCCTGAAACCGCAGGTGCCATTGCTCAATGTTATAAGGCTGGCATTTCTGTTCACATGGTTACTGGCGATCACCCGGGTACTGCGCGCGCAATTGCTGCGCAGGTTGGAATTATCCCGTCCAATATGGATATGGTCGCGAAGGACGTCGCCGATGCGATGGTGATGACTGCTTATGACTTTGACAAACTATCGGAAGATGAAATCGACGCACTGCCAACACTCCCACTGGTTATTGCTCGCTGTGCCCCTAATACCAAGGTCCGAATGATTGATGCTTTACACCGCCGCGGAAGATATGTCGCTATGACTGGTGATGGTGTGAACGATTCGCCCTCTCTGAAGCGGGCTGACGTTGGTATTGCTATGGGACAGAATGGTTCCGATGTGGCCAAGGACGCTTCAGAGCTTGTTCTAACTGACGACAACTTTGCCTCAATCATCAACGGTATTGAAGAAGGCCGCAGAATTTTTGACAACATTCAGAAATTCGTTTTGCACCTGCTGGCTGAGAACGTTGCTTTGGCAATTACTCTGCTCATTGGTCTTGCTTTTAAGGATGACTCCAATCAATCCGTCTTCCCTATCTCTCCCGTTGAGATTATTTGGATCATTATGATTACTTCTGGTCTTCCTGATATGGGCTTGGGAATGGAGTCCGCGGCCCCAGAAGTTATGGACCGACCACCCCAGAGTGTAAGTTGAAAGAAAATCCCCCGAATTTTCCAAATGCAAATGCTGACTTGACGCAGAAACAAGGTATATTTACCTGGGAAATTATTGTCGATACACTCGTCTACGGTGTGTGGATGGCAGCTCTCTGTCTTTCCGCCTTCGCTCTCGTCATGTTCCGCTGGGGTGATGGCGACCTTGCGATGGGATGTAACACTCAATACAACGACGCTTCGACAGACTACACCTGTGACACCGTCTTCCGCGCCCGAGCAACAACATTCACCTGTATGACCTGGTTTGCTCTCTTTCTCGCATGGGAGATGATGAATCTTCGCCGCAGCTTCTTCCGCATGAAGCCCGAATCCAAGCGCTACTTTACCCAGTGGATGTATGATATCTGGAGCAACCGATTCCTCTTCTGGGGTATTATGGCTGGCTTTGTGCTTGCTTTCCCGATTTTATATATCCCCGTCATCAACCACAGCGTCTTCAAACACACTGCTATCTCATGGGAGTGGGGAATTGTCTTCGTTGAGACAGTGCTTTTCTTCCTTGGTATCGAAACGTGGAAGTGGTTTAAGCGAGTCTACTTCCGTCGCCAGGCTCGCATGCAGAAGGAAAAAGGAGACAAGGGTGGAGATCAGTACTATCTTGGAGACTTCAATCGCTATGTCTCTATGAGCCGCTCGGAGACTCAAGCCTCTGGTGGCATGAAGACTGAAGAGTCGATGGTTTAAGGACGAGACGAGAATTTCATACTAATTGGTGCATATGGAGGGCTATTTGCACACTTTGATTCCCTAGCATACGATTTATGAATACATAGATTTGCTTTTATTATACTGTCCATAAATGAACTTAAATAACGCCATGTATCGTTAAGAATCAATAGAATTCATAAGAATATTGAAAATGTTTCAGAAAATAATGTGCTTCATTTTATGGCTAAATGAGCTGCCAGTAATACTGTTGCTAAAGATATTCCACGAGTTGAAGATGGATCCTATCCAAAACATTTAAACATTGATATCTGAAAAGAGACCGGTCTATCAAGCCTGTGTAGGAGTTTCCTGAAAACTGATGCATTGTGAGCAAATACAGGTGGGTACAGCAAAATGAATGGTCAGCCAGATATCACTCAAAAGGCTCGAACTAGGCCACAACTTAATACTAGAGCCTGCCATAGGATTCCAAAGCCTTTCCTCCTCCGCGGCTTCTTCCTCTCTGCTATCTGCAGCTTCATCGGCTCCAAACATTGGAGCCAGCCTGAGCCTTCCAACCGCTATTCCAATCCATTTCAATACATTCACTATCTCCCAACCCGCACAGCACGCTGCTTTCATTAGTACATTCACGCCGAATACTGTGCTTTTAATAATCTGGCACCTCTCATCAAAACAAAAGGACACGCCAGGCCCGCCAAGGTGGTCAGTTCTGAACATCTCAACTTCCGAATAAAAGTTGCCAAGGAGTACACGAAGCTCGTCGGAAAAGTCGGGGTTGCAATCGAACGCATCACCCAATCCCGAAATAGTTTGAACGAGTATTTCCCGGTCTTCGACGAAAGTGTTGGGGTCGCGTTTCGGTATGTTGTAGATACTATCCATGATGTCCTGGAGAACGTATAGCTGAGACGTGAGCTTGAGACCGATATTTTTGTACCTGTGATCTGCGGGTCTCAGGTATGCTGGTTAAAATTTCAATATAAAGATGGGGGCAGGGAGGAAAAAAGCCGGAGTTTAAATAAACGAAATGTGAGATTTCAAAGGCCACAAAAATAGAAGGTTTGCATGCGAAACAAATATCAGCACAGCAAAACCATTGATTTATTATATTAAGTACTACGTATAAAAAAACCAACAATGTACTTGTTGGCTGCCACATATGAAAGGCGACCACAGTGAAAGCAAATAACAAAACCGAACATGAGACATGTCGGGGAATCTGCTTTGTCTCGTTGCCAGAATTATTGGCTGCTATATATAGCTACAGACAAACTCCTATAACATTCTAAACCATAAAATTGTATTAACTACTAGTATTTAAATATCTACACCCCTCGAAAAAAGCAAGTGACGAATCGGCCCATGCCAGTTCTAAAGGTATTCTGCCCTTGAATCTATTTATCATGAAGCAGCGTGAAATTTCCATCATAAGTGATATGACTGCCAAATATTCGGCTTTATCATGACTAGGGCATCGTGGCCTCATTGTCTTTAGGTTGCTCTTCTTGTTGGTGAGTTTCAGGATAATCGACGTCGCTCCAATGCTCAAAGAAGCAAGCCCCCTTCTTGAGCGAACCGACAGTTTCCCAAACCAAGCAGACCACATACATTGCCATTATGATTGAAAGAATCTCTGTAGCGTTGAGATGGTGGGCAAGTGGAAGTAGAATGGTGATGAGGCCGGTGATCGGGCGCATTATGATGCGAACGTGCTAAAATTGAATCAGAAACCAAGGAAGCCGTAGCTTTGTTACAGCCAAAACTTACCTTTGTCATCAGTAATGTACCTGGTTCATCTTGGCAGGCATGGATCAGAGCAAAGAAATATAGGCACATCATTCCGACACCAAGACCTTCGCAAAGCAACCACCGCTGCGCGTCCTCAAAGTCTTCTTCAGCTACCGAAGCCGCTGCGACGTGCCCACCTGCCAAAAGAGCAGCAATGAGTGGCAGATGAATCAGAGCGAAGGAGAACCCAGTGTAAATATTGTGTCGTAGCGGATGTGTGCTCTCCATAGACCCATCTGCATGTGTGTACAGCCAATTCAAGCAGAAAGCAATGATCAAAGTCCAGATAGCACGTAGGAGGCCCTCATTAAATCCAACGGCAGCATTTGAGCCCTTGACAATGAGATAAAGAAATTCACCCAGAACAATAATGTAGAACGCCGCGAAGCGGTCAATCTCATGTGCAATATCCACAGCAGTTGAATACTTCACGCGAAGCAACTTCTTCGCCACGGGACTATAGCAGAAAACCCAAATGAACTCCTCCAGCGATACCGCGACCGCAGCAGCCGCAATCTTGCCGCGAATCGATACATCCTCGAAATAGAGAGGAATATAGATACACAGGCATATAGACGAAAGAACGACCCACAGTCGTTGTTGCCGACGATGATGATAGCTTGCGAAAGAGAAGACAAGATGCGCCAGGTTGCTCGTTACACGGGCGACCATGTAGGAACCGACTGCTGCGCGCATGGCGCCGATATCTTCGTCAACCAGAGGAGCATTATTTCCGTAAACGACCAGCACGGCCATCAGCCAGAGTATCAGAAGGCGTTGAAGGAGGTCATCATTGTAAAACGAGTTCATCAATTCGCGAATGTCGCTCCATATGTGCCATGATGGAGCTAAGACCAACTGTAGACATATCGCGGTTAGTTTCTGCATGATTGGGATGCGGCTTTTCGTGTAGGGGGGTAGCTCACAATGTATTTGACAAGTTTTGCGCCCGAAATGTCTTCCGCGAGGAAATCCGCGAAGTTAGATAAGATTGCGACGTATAGCAAATCGAGGAATAGTTCAAAGCGACCTGTACACGCGAGGTGCGAGTAATTAATTTTCAGCATTCGCAGATCGCGCGTCCACGAGTGCGACTGCACTCTCTGAAGGTGTGCTGACCAGCTTGTCTTTCCTCGTCATGACGCTTGACCAAGCGACCGTGCTCAAACCATTGAAGCGCACGAGGTTGTCGGAGCAAAAAGCGCGGATTTTGCGCCTTCAGGTCATGCTCGTCGATTCCTAGAGCTTCCGACATCGTGTAAACCGCGATTGATCGCAACCTGCGTGTTGTCTGGCAAGGGGAAATTGCTGACGTGCTGACGCGAGGGGTGTTCGCAAAGAATGCTCTATCTTTGAGCTTGGCCGATCTAGGCCGATCTTGGTGCCCCACGTCTCTTGGCTTCTTGGCTTCCTTTCTTCTCCTCCGCGCCGGATTCGGTCGCGAGTGGCCGAATGTAACGATTTGTTTGGCCCAGAAATTTTCCAAAAGTGAACTCTTGATGACAACTAGTTCATAGCTGAGATCGATCGCTGGACGGGATTCGGTTTGAATCCGTGAAAGCTCAACAAATGGCAGAGTTAGCAACCGAAAATAGGGGCATCGTGATCTGACTGCCTGGGGTCGAGAGGCGAAGAATAGTGTAGGGGGTACCCCAGATTCCAGGACACACAAACTGAGAAATTCGGGCGGGGATGGGACTGATAAGGCTGGCTACATGGAAAATACAACCGGAATGCCCTCCTATAAAGGATGCAAGCACACAATATCTTCAAAATGCTTGGTGAAGCTCGGCATGCCAACAAGTGGGCCTGCCCAGATGCCAAGTACCAGATCTCCCAAACTCAACCAACTTCCAAACTTTTCTTTGACGACTCAATTGTGAACTTGGACTCGTTAATTTCGAATCGAGTCAGAAATTATTGCTTCTCGAAGAGCTTATCATATAGGCATTTTCTTGTACTATCAAAGCCGCTCTGTCCCACCCCGAAAAAGAGCCTTGGAGATGCTCGCACTTGACATCCATGGATGTAATGAAGAAACCAACTTGAATATATATATTTGGTCGTATTGTCACTAGTACTAGTACTTCTTTGCTTACCTACTAGATTTGTTCTTACTGACAGATGCCTTAGGTGGACGTGACATTATGGCAAAACCAGCTCGTAAGAACCTTGGAGGACGGATACTAGATTGTTCTCCTGCAACTATCCGGGGTACCTTGCAAGAATCACTCCACATTTGATCGTAAAGTAGATCAATTCAAGACCCTGCCGAAGCGGGGTAGTTCCAACGATATGCTATGCTGCAAGCTCAGATAATCGCTGTCTTGTCTACTACTAGTAACTCTTGAAAGTGACCACACGGGTGGAAATTAGCAAACCCCCTACGAGAAAGCTCGGTCTTTCTAGCACGTAGTAGCATCCTCCACGCATCGATATTACGACAATGGAGTGATTATTGCAAGACTAACCTGTGATCATCATGAGAATCCTAGCCTAAACCGAGGTGCCGTTCACAGTAAAAACGTGCACATGTCTTATGTTTTATTATTGGTTGACACAGGGCTACAGCTGGAATCCACACGAGGAATCACCACCCAGTCATTTTTGTACCTCACTCTCTAGGGAGCTCAATTCCTTTGTGCACATAAATTTATGCAGGAAAATCGAGGTCAGAAGGGTATCATTTACTTCGTACTCCGTACTCGTATTGACTTTTTGGGAATACCCAGGGCTTAAACAGGGGCGAGGGAGCTTACAGAGGGGGAAGGAGAGTCGAGTCAAACGAACCTATCCCAGGGGCCCGGGAGGACCATGCGTTCATGCGATCACGCGTTCACGAGGGTTTGCCCTTTGTGTGCTCCGGACTGCCCGGTCTAGCGCAGAGACGGAATATTGTGGGTCGTCAGTGGCGTAAAAATGCCGAGCTGGATCTCGTACCTGCAGTTCGAGAGAAGATCTGCGGCTCAGGGCTGAATACAGACGAAATTGTTTTCTGTAATTCCCGGTAGAATGGAACCGAAGATGGAGACATCCGGACAAGGCTATTGCAATTCCACAAGGGAAGCCTCCAAAGCAAATTATATAAGTTCTTATAAGAAATAATGTACTACAAAAAGGAGAAAAAAAAACATAAATTAAACCGGGGTTGAGCGGCTCTAAGGGTATCCTTGACGATGTTCAGGGGGTCTGACCACCTATCTACGGAGGTTGTGAAAAGTTTTCCGAACATTTACGATCTCGGGCTCCACTCTGCCTCTCAGATCTAGGACTAGTGAGAGCCAAACGCTTGTCTCCATCAAGCCCTTTTTTCTCCTGGCCAAGCCAATCTTGCCCCCGCTTTGATCGCGAAATTCCGCGAGCATCCACATCATTACACATCGCTCCAATCTACCGGTACGCAGTACATGGGCCGGAAATTTTCGATCAAGGAGGTCCTTACCCCTTTCTGTTTATTCCATTATAGATTAAAAATGTATCTGTACAGTAAATCAACATCAATCAACTGTTGATCACAACAGCCGCCAGTCAACGGCCCCAAGTACTCCAAATGATCCATATCTGGACCCCAGTAGCAGAATTCATATTTTTGGCATCCAAGGCTTAGTTCAGCTCGTTGGCGGCAACCTCGAGGAGGTTGTCCTGGCCCAGCGCATTCTGAGTGTAACGGGCGTTGTACTTCAGGATGTGCTTAACGGCGTTGTAGCTCTGGACGTTCAGAGGCAAAGGCTCGGTGCTGAGGAACCAAGCAACGCTCTCAGAGCAAGGAGGGGTGGTGAGAGAGCCGGAGTACTGGTAGATACCGTGGGAGTTCAGGTGGCCAGTCAGGGCAGAGAAGTCCAGGTTGTTGGTCATGGTGTAAGTGCCGGGGCTGGCAATGTCATCAATGTGAGCGAAGACATTGTCGAAAAGAGGAGTTGAGTAACCGAACTGGGAAAGCTCGAAGACGAAGCCAACAACGGCAATATCGCTAGCTGTTTATTGTTAGAATAATGCTCCAGTCCATTGATATTTAGATCTCGGAGTGGACTTACCAGAGCTCTCGAAGACGAAGTGAACCTCCATGGGGTAGTACTCCTCATTGATGCGGTGCTCGCTGGGAGTGTGGAAGTGGAACTGAGCCAGCTTGTAGGTGTTGTCCTTGGTAGTGAGGGTACCGTTGGTCAGGACAACCTCGAGGCCGGAGCCCAGGTTCTCGAACTTGGCTGCGTTGGCATGGGGGACGTGGAAGTGAATGTCGCTAGCCTTGGCGTAGTCAATGTCCTCAGTGTCGATGACAATGGGAGACTGGTTCTTGCCCTTAGAGCAGGCGGAGTTGGCTGAGTCCAGTCCGTACCAGTTCAGGGGACCACCGGTGTTGGTGTAGTTGAAAGAGTTGGCCGCAACCTTTCCATCAGCGGAACGAGGGAGGAGCGAGGTGCCACGGAGGCAAGAAGCGGACGCCGCAGCGACGAAGGTGAGGATAGAAGCAGAAACCTTCATTTTGAATGGAATTAAGATGAAAAATATGGATAATCAGATTCGATCTCAATTGCCGGCACTTGGAGGCTTTTATATTTTGCGCTGGAACTCGGCGTTACCGAGATTTATCCATTTGCGCAATAACATAATACAATGGCTGTAATAATAATCGTGCATGCTCCGCAAAATGGATCTCAAGCAGGCCCGCTCTCTGATGGGGAATCTGGTGGCGCCGATTTGGGAGATGAGAAAAAGCCTCTATTGTCCCTCTTTTAGTTGAGATCGACTGGAATTGGACCTGTTTTGTCCTTATTTACGACACAGAGAGCTGAGTGTGGAGTCATTTCGTTTCTATTGGTGTGTCTAGTTCTGGAAAGGCTCCATTATAGTGTGCTAAAGCCCCATCTGCGATCCCGTGTCGCCCACCTCTCGGAGCACCACAGAAGATTCCCACTTGCGTGGTTCGTCCGGAATCTATGAGAAATTCTAAAGTTTGGGTTCCATACTCGTAATGATCAATACCTGTTAAGGCTGACGCTACTGAAATCCATCTCGGAGAAGATCGGTTTTGTAAGAAGTAGGGGTTTGTGGATATGAGAAACCCTGACCGGCGGGTCAAAGGGTATCGGCAAGCCCGGGAGTAAACAACCCATAAGAGATATACGCTCGTGGATCGAGCAGTTAGGGCAAATGGCATTCCAAATGGTACGAATATTGAGTTTATAACATGGGGTCTGCGCAATCTCACGTTGATAATAGGCCCCGCAAGACTGAAATAGCCCCATATTACATGTAAACTAGAGCTCGTAACAAGCTTGAATCACCCCTCTGGAAGGGAAAAGGGAGGACTCAAAGCAGCTAAGACAAACGGGCCAAGAGTCAATTTGCAGCATAATGTTGAAGGTAAATAAATGGGTTGGGCTCCATAACTCTTGTGCACCGGGGCAATGGAATCGCCGTGTGGGCCATGCGCAGTGATTAAAGAAAAAAGTACAGGGGACCTGAGAATCCAAGCCAGTACGGAACAATATGGCTAGGTAGCTTAGCGTATTACACGAGAAATGTCTTTGAAGATTGAGAGTTGTAGACTGACAAGGAAATTAGTTTGACAGTATTTCCTAGAGTAGCCAAGTGATATCTCTTTTGAAAAAAATGGACCGTTTCCAAGAATTGTATAGTGCGGCCCCTCATTGATGGGGGGGGGGGGTACGATATCTTCTCGTTCAGGTTCCCGTGGATTTCCGAAATGAGCAGTTTGCAGACAGCTCAAGACACCATTCCGGAAATAAAGCCAGCAGAGCGTTACAGATCTCCTCGACGCGGAATTTTGTTGCTTCTTTCTTTTTCGACTATGTTCATTTCTTTGAAGTTTGTCTAAACCCCTTTGCATCAAAGTTGAGAGTGTCTTCACGGTCAATTTATGCGAACAATGTGCACCATATATGTGCCCGGTCTTTCCATCATTATTGACCTCGGAAGCAAACATGAGTGCAAGGAATCACTGCCCAAATTAGTTCATAGGCTTGGCATGAAAACGGCCCTAGCTCGATTGAACGTTGACGGTTTATTATCGCGTGGTCAACCCCTCTTGTCGAGGCCGATCCAGAAGGTTAATTATAGCAATAGCCAAGACGGGTTGAGGAGGGGTCCCTCCATCTTGATTGAATACTAAATTAAATTCTTCATTGTGTAGTCGGGTATAGATTAACCAAGGCACTATGAAAGAGTAAAAGGGGATTCCTGTCCATTAAGAGTCTTGGCAAAAAGGCGAAACGAGGCACTTGGCACGCATCATGCCATATAAAATGTAACCCAGCCGAGGGGTATTCTGCCAAGGCTCAGATAATCGAAGCAAGTTTTCAAAACTTGGCCTAGATCTTATATTTTTCTTTCCGGGGATTCTCCATACAACGCAAATTGGGTCACAATAGTAAGTCCCCGCGGGAATGGGCGCCCCGGACCCAGGACCGAAGTTCGCCATATTATTCACGGGGTAAGTGGAGAGAGAGGCAAAACATGCACACGGCATCGACGGCGATAAAAGGAAAGATCTAGTCCGGGCTATCTTGGCATTGCATCGAGAGTCCTGAGCTAGTGTCCACCAGAGAAATTCCTCGTGACTATCGCACACAGTTTGCTGAAAGACTGAGTTGCGAGAAGAGTACAATTAATTCGACGCAAATTTAGATTTCGCCAAATATTGTTATAAGTCTTTCCCCTTTCATGCCGGCTAGTTAGTTATATGTGGCTAGTTAGTTATATGTTGAACTTTGTGGGCAGTGCACGAGGCGGCGAAATTAGCGTTTGCCGAGAACTCACTAAATGCTATATCCGACCGTTGAGAGCTGAGGCTTACCGGAGACAACCCTTTCTACGGTCGTTGGAAATAGGAAGCCAGATTGAGACCCGGTAGGATCGCTAGGCCCAACATGTGAATTGACAAGCCACCCATTACGTTTTGCGCCTTTTTTTTGACCGGTATGAGTTTGCCATTGCCGCATTCCTCATCGCCGGTGACTGGAAATTTCGCCAATATTTCTGAACAGACTTATCAAAATAATCCAATGTCATCTCATTCATTATCGTCACATTTTACTGTAATCAGAAACTTGACTGACGATCTTCCGATTGATGTCGTGGATTTCTATCCTACTTACTCTTATCTTCTCATGCAGCCACCCAGGAGATGTTAGGTAACGGGTCATAAACACCACGATGATACGAGATGGAATAGAAATTTGCCCAGGTACGAGTCGCACATGATCGTGATGTGGGATTGCGTCTAACTTTAGCTCTCGGCAGGTCTAAGATCACTCCCATCCATATTGGCAACATATTCAGAAACGAAGAAACATCATCGTGATATTTCAAAATCTCTGGCAGGTTTTCGCTGGTGAGAGTGTTGCGAACACAGTGTTGATCAGAAAAAGAACGCCCGTAAATGAAACAATTGATCGAAGGGAAGAGGAAAGTAAAAATAAGTGTGTTGATACAAGGATTCAAAATCGAGTTCTCAGCAAAGCCCGCCCGCCAAAAAGTCCGGTGGAAGACAGCAGTGAAACCTCTTGCAAAGATAATTATTGTGCCCTAGGGCCTCTCTCTCATCAAGTGCATTTCTGAAATTCAGGGTGGCTTCCAGCTATGAACCTGAACTGACTTCGTCTTTGTCTGATAGCTCATTTCTAGGAAAGGGTCACATTATTGTGCGATCCTTTGAGAGAATGGGGATATCTATGCATATCTCGCCCCCGGATCAGGGCGGAAGGATGAGAAGCAATCCATTTGCTAAAATAAAATCGAACCACGAGGACGCCATTTTAGACGGGTACAGCAGATGGCGAAATCCCACCAAGCCTTGCCCGCCGAATTCCCATACCAACGAGAGTTGCCAGGCTGGATGCGATCACCGCCACAAGCAATGCGGCTCGAATGCCTTTCATGTAAGCAGTTAATATTCCTGGCAACTGTTCGGGGCCGAATGCATTGCGTAATCCAGTAGCGCCTGTTCTTAAAACCCCCGACGAGTCGATTCCGGGGAGTATTGAAATACTTCTCAGCAGGACATTATCAAGAGCGGACTGCCCCGCAGAGACGAAGACAGAGCCACCGAGCGTTTGGACAGCTATAAGAGATGAGAATTAATAAGAAAATTCCGGAAGCAAGGCAAAAACATGAATGAACTTACTTAGTACCATAGCAGTCACCGAAGGGAGATCGGAGGGTGCAGCGGTTGCTTGCGCAGTAACAATGGGGACTTGGAAGCACCAGCCAACCCCGACACCGGCGAGGATCTGGTATCCAACCCACACTCCCGCCGAAGAATCGATGTCCAATGTGTACAGTAGCCCGGACCCGATAGCTGTGAGCCCGGCCCCAAGCAAGAGGAAGGGCAGAGGTCGATCAAATTTGCTCAATGCGACCCCTGACAAAACCGTTGCAACACTCTGCGCGAGGATCAAGGGCAGGTTTCTGATACCACTTTCCGCTGCAGATACTCCTGAAACAACCTGGAAGTAAATCGGAAGGTAATAGACCAGGAGGAAGAATGTTCCTGCTAGAAGGTCGATGTAGATCATCGCAACAATCACATTCCGTTCAAACAGACGGCCGACCATAGAGGCTCGATCTTTTTGCCACCATTGAATGAAGATATAGGCGCCAAGCAAGGCTGCGAAGCCAACCAAGGTGCCGATAACAGTGGAACTCCCCCCAGGGGCGCGATATTCCGCCCCACTGAAGAGCCAGAGCATAACATACCATAGCTCCGATGAGAAGAAAGGCACCAGGAAGGTCCATTTGTAGAATCTTCTCCCTCAATGGTTGGTTTGAAAGTGACGATGCAGGAGGTGGCGTGTAGAACAGAGAGATGATCACCGCCGAGACACCTCCGATCGGCAGGTTGATATAGAAGCACCACCTCCACGTAGCATGACTAGTAAAAGCTCCGCCAATAAGCGGCCCTACAGCCGCTGCAATTCCATATGAGGCGCCGAGAATTCCGATATACGCAGGTCGTTGTTTTGGAGGAGCAGAAAATGCAATGATGGTGAAGGCGCCCGAAGAAATGCCAGCACCTCCAACACCCGTGATAGCTCGGCCAATAATCAGCGCAAGGCTATTGGGTGCAACTCCTAACAGCGGATTTTTGTGAGTCGATAGAATACGGATATGGAGCAGGTGGTATAGTGTTGACTTACCGCAAATTAAGCTTCCAATCTCGAAAAGCACAATTGCGATCAGGAAAGATAGCTTTAACGGAAAGTATTTGTATACTTTGCCCCACGCAGCCTGAAACCCGCCTAAAGTGATAAAAAAGGCTGAACCATACCAACCTACCAGATCAATTCCACCGAATTCATCCGTAATCCTTGGAATTGCTGTCGCAACAATGGTCTAGTGATGCGCCGATGGTCAGAATTATCGATTTTCAAGGTCGCTTTGACAGAAGATGCCGGGAAATTGCCCACCATATCTAGAGATACCTGTGAAGTGATACTAGTATTAGCCATTGACCCAGTAAGACGACCAAACGGGGGTTTAGCTGACAAGGAACATGCTCAAAGCCAGTGCCACGACAATCATGAGGAGCGCGAGTCCTCTCTTGTTCGGTTCCGGCGCGGCCACTTCGTCGTAAACAGTTTGGAAAACATGATCCGCGTTTCTTTCGGCATCCTCCTTGCCACTAGATGTGGCTGCATGGTGATAATTCTTGTAAATGGGAGATGTCCCAGAAATGGGAGTTGATATTGGGGCACCGTCGGGTCCAATATGCTGTTGGGGCAGCCTAGTAGACATCGCCACCTATGGAAACTTGAAAGTTCAAAAATGAAGAAAGCAAAGTCAGACCTGGGTGCAATAAAAATATCCATGACTGTGAGGGATTGGTGCTTTAAAAGTTCAAGATTGGTTCTCTGTTGACGTTGATATTCCGCCGAGTCGGCGGAAGAGAAACAGCTGCTGAGTCATCTCTTTGCAAACTTCCGCCGCGTCGGCGGAGAAAGGCGCCGGTCCTACCTTTGACAACAAGATCGAATCGCAGGAGGTGCAACCTGTACCCCAGTCGAGATAAACCACTCAGAAGGTATGTAGTATGCTAAATGTTGTATTCCTAACTTTCTAGACCCCTTGCTAAGCTTTTTCTTCATCAAGGGAGGAGAACTGAAGCAACCATTCGCGGACACCACGCCTTAGCCTGCGTGTTGATGCCAGCCTGCATTGACGTGTTCCGAGTACATTACTAGCGTGGACTTACTACTTCCCATACACCATAAACGAGAAAATTTCCTGTCATTACCCTTTTCCTTCGGTGCGGAAAATGCAATCCCCGAGACGCCGTGACGAGTTAGACTCGCTGGAGGACCAGGAGCCACCTCGAAAGAAAGTTCGAAAGGGAACCCGCAGCTGCTGGGAGTGTAAGTAATTGACCGAGCAACTAAAATCGGCGATTGAAAAAACATACTAACTTTCGATTCAGGCAAACATCGAAAGGTTCGCTGCCATTTTGCGCTCGATGGGGATACCACCTGCAGGGAATGCATATATCGTGGCACCCCTTGTCGAAGCCAGAGTCTGCCCGAACCAGAAAAAGAGTCCGATCGTTCAAATTTGAATGAACGCATGGCTCGTATGGAAAGGCTTCTAGAAAAGGTTGTCAACAAACTAGAGGTTTTTGAGGATGATGCCACTCACCCGGAGTTTGCTACGCCGCTGGGAAGCCCCGAACCGGGAACGCCGGTGCACGACAACGCGCCAGCCCTATCACTTTTCCAAAATGAATTGGTGAGCTCTGAGTTTCGGAAAGAGGTTCCTGCTTAGAATATGAATGGCTGAATTCGAATTTAGTTAGGCGGCCGACAGGATCACACCGTGAGGCTTCAAGCTACTTATTTCGGGAATACAACTGAGCGGAACAAAAACAACTTGCGACAGAATCTACTGGCACTGATGCCACCGAACCACGTGACGTTTGAACGTTTGAAAGATGCGAGCATTTCTTGGTGGTTGCTCCGCAGCCAATGCTTTCAGGACGAAGAGAGGTCGCTACTCCCCATCCCACTATCGGAGCTGCCTACTAGCCACCCGGCCATGATCGCAAAGTGCCTACTCCAGGTTGCTTTGTGTCTTCAACAGCTTCCAGCGCGCTATGACCTGGAATCCCTCCAGCTCCCTTGCTCTCCAAGACAGCTTATTGCGCAGTATATGTCGGTGACTGGAAACTCGAAAGACTTTGACGACGCTATGCTGAGCAGTCTTGACGGACTTGAGTGTTTGATCCTACAAGCAATTATTCATAACAATGATGGGAGGCTCCGGAGTGCTTGGCTGTCATATAGACGAGCTATCAACATCGCTCAGATAATCGGTCTGCACTCTCGAATCCAAACTGCCGGGTGTCTTTCAGGGCTGGACTCTAGGGCTAAAGTGATATGGAGCCACATAATCCACGGTGATCGCTATCTTTCGTTAATGTTGGGAATGCACCATGGAATCGGAGACGCCGCACTGGCGCCAGAATACCGAAGCATCCAGACAACCAATTCGGTTACAATGGATGCTCTTTGTCGGATCGCCGGCTCATTAATTGAGCGAAACCAGAAATTCCGAGACATCGACCCGGTTATGGTACGCATGACACAGAGTATAGATATCGACCTTCGTAAAATTGACCCTGAGTTGACCAAATCTCCAATTTTGAATCCTCTCAGTGGCAAGGCAATCCACGCACCAGAGGTTTATGCAAAGCTTATGACAAGTCTCTGGTTTCATCAACTGACCGCTTGGCTGCATCTGCCTTTTCTATGCAAATCGAGTATCCCAGGTCAATATGAGTACAATAGGACGTCATGCCTGAAAGCCTCTCGGGAGATGATTACTTGTTACACAGGGATTCGAGATCTGACATTAGACAGCTTCTGCTGCAGGTCTCTTGATTTTCAAGCATTTACGGCTGCAGTGACATTGGTGGTTGATATGTTGAGTTTGAATGACCCCCAGGATTACAGAGGGCAGGATTTCGCACGCTTGAATCTTGTCATGTTTAGCCTGCGGGAACACAAGGGTCGCGAGCATGGAGACAAAGTTGCTAGCCGTGGACTCGTTGCACTAGAGACATTGGTGGCTATACTCGTGGAAAACCAGCCAGTATACTTCAAGTTCCTGAAGACACCCACTCTTCAAGGGGCAGAACAAGGACGCATTAAGATTGAAATTCCTTACTTCGGCACGTTTTCACTCCATCGAAATACCGACAAAGATAGTGAAAGGCTTTTGAATCAGACCACCGCTGGGCACCCTGTATGCGAGAACACTTTACCCGCGGGTCAATATAACACGGCAAGCAATAACGATGGAGCCGGTCAGACCGCAGAGGAAGCCGGTACAGGAATCAACATGAATGATGATCCTTGGACATTCGACATTGACCTGACGGCTCTACCTCCGTTTCTATCTAACTTTGGAGATGACTGGGACTTGGGATTGTAGTGTATTTGAATTGCTGTCAGCTGTTTTGCTCCACAGTCGCATGAAGTTTTAGTCCTTGTGAATTACGATGAAAACAGACGACCGGGCGGTCTTTCGCACGGCGAGTGTGACTCATAATATGATTTCCGAGGTTTTTCCTCCCGGTGTATGAGGTCGTTAAAGAGACCTCGCGAGTCTCAAAAGTTACCAGCCTAGTGCCTATCTCTGCATCTGCCCGAATCAAAAAAGATCATTTTCAGCAGCCATATAGTCCGCCCACCTCCGAGAATTGCAATCTGTTCCGACCCCTGTAGCTTTCTCATCACCGTACGTATTTGCTTTGGGCGTATTCGGCCGGATGCGCGCTAGAAATATTAGATTCAGGGCATTGATCGGCAAAAGAGAGGGTCCAATGGAGTGAAACTTATTCGAGTAGTGTGAGACACCACCGACTGCAGATAGCCTTCAAGTTGTGCTCTTTATTACGTCTTCAAGTTACTGAGATACGATAGTTTGCTTTCTGCATGTGTTATTTACTGCTTTTCTGCGTGTTGGTTGACGTTTGCTGCTTTGTGCGCTGCTTTGGGCCTGGGCTTGCAGGCAATACTTTTGTTAGTAGAGTTTTTTGTATTATTAGTTAGTAATATAAACTATTAAATTACTTACTTTTAACCTATCTTTAACTTTCTTTTACCACTAGTACCTACTGGCTATATTATATAACTCTTACTAACAGTATCTGTTTCTAACAGTAATTCGCGACTTGGTTCAAGAAACAGCTTTTTTTTTAAACAATAGTTTTATAATACTAGTCATTGGACAGTAAATTTTACCCTACTAACCTCTGCTAGACTGGCTTGAGGAAACTCGACTACAGAAACGCCCAATCCCAGGATATACAATATTTTCTTGAGATTCCAAGCTACGAACGGAGCTAGAAGCTACTAGCACGGGCATCTGAAAATCTATGGACCGAAAGAAAAAGAAATTACTAGCTTGTCAAGCTTAACGCCGACGTTGATTATCTCAGTAACGCGAGCTCTCATCTAGTGAGGGTGGGTATGAGTAAACCCCGTAGTGGGACTAGTAAATTATTCACCACTCCCAGGCTCCTTCCAAGGTTATTCACAACTGCTCTAGAACGTCAGCCTCTTTTACTCAATTGAAGCGGCACTTCTCTTCCTCCCAAGGCATCTCCAGGACAAGTTTACCTGCACAATACTACGAGTAAAAACTCTCATTAAGTCCCAAACATGTGGCCCCTCGTAGTCCGGGATCCGCGGAGCTTCGATATCTGCGCGAAGACCCCCCTGCCGAAAGTGACGGAGATACTCCAGTCAGGCTGCGCCATCTGCGGCGAAGAAGAAGAAGGTTCTCTACTTTGCTCTTCGTGTCACGTTGTCTCGTACTGCGGCCCTGACCGCGAACACCAACATCGAGCAGCTCACCGAGAAATATGTGAGGCCATCAGATGGGAACGGAAAACCCTCGAACGTGCAGAAGCTCCCCCTAAGAGCTGTTAACGGTCCCAACTCCCTGGACCCCCCTGATAATCATATCTCCACTCATGGGCCCTATGGAAAGTGAGCTTCTGGCTGCGATTCACCATTGTTCCTCGCCGTATCTTCTGCAGCGAGTTCCCACAGTCAATTCAGTTTACGCCCAAATAGACTACTACGAGACCATGGGTCGTGTGATATCTCCCTTCAACCCAGAGATACAATTTGCCTGCCTGCCCCTGATTGCTCGGCTCGGTGATGACCAAGTCCTCTACGACACAGTGATTTGTCTATGTCGACACGGAGAGATTGACGGATGTGTCCTCAATGCTGATGTTTGCGGTCCGATTAATTTCCTCGTGCAGGCCCTTAACTTTAGCTTTCGGGGCCAAGTGACGATTGACATGGTACTTGCAATGGTTTTCTTGAAGATCAAGCTACTGCTTGATCTGATTCGTCTCAAAGAAGCCACATTGGCGCTCACCCCCAAGCTCCCACGGGAAATAGTGGATGAAATCCTGGAGTACATTCCAAGAAGTGGTGCGGTTCTTGCAAATCCAACCCTCATGCGAAGCATGGATCTCTCTTTGGATATCGCCAAGCTGGAGAACCAGGTTGACTTTTTGTTCAAAGATGTTCACCGTCAGAACCCATACTTCTGGCCAAAATTGGTCTCCCATAATGCGGATGACCCTGTTATTGACAAGCCTAGAGTGAACGAGTTGACGAATATTCCGTTATTGAACGCCCGGAGCCTTTTCTCACACCATGCGTATCACTGGTTTCAAACGCCTGGCGCCGTCGACATGATCAGAGAGAAATATTTCGCGGCCGGGTGTCATACTCATACCAGCCGGTAGCCTTCCCGATGCTCATCAAGATTTATGGGGTAACATCTATGTTTCTTTCCGTCAGCATGTACATTTAGCTTCCCCCACGCTCCCCTCCCCTCTCCACAACTAATGACATGTCATTACTTTCACACCTTCGTGTCTCTCCAACGCATAGTTCCAACTATGGAACACAGTGATTACAAACAGAGATACCCTTATCACAGAATTTACTACACACGAACGGCCAATTAGTACTGTAAGCCCCCAGAACCTTCGAGAAATCCGTGAATGAATTTGTTTATAGATGCTGTGACTCTTCAAATCCAGACTGATAGTAAGCTTCGAGAAAATGGAAATTGGGCTCGGTACCATATAACGGTGATGTGAATGATGCATACACCATCCGAGTGGGCGGAGGAATCGGCAATCCATAGCTTATGCCCGGGTTTTTCATTTCCTGCGACTCAGCATGTTTTATGATAATACCTTACCTCACATGTTCATCTCACTAAACCATGCAAGCCAAAAAAAAGAACGGAAGAGCAAAGGCTCTCATTATGATCGCTATTGTCTTGCAGGTTATTCTGAGCGTTGGGTCGCTAAGTCAGATAATTACCGAGGTAGCACGCGGGGGTTCTCTTCTACTTTATGATTGTCCTCTGACTCGGACTCTCTTGGATAAGGCCTTGGATGATGTTTTCAGGTTCTTTGGGTACTCGGGCTCCCTTACTCTGGTCCCTGAGTTTTATCTTCGAGTAGAATATTGGCCCGAAAAATGTAGTTTCCTTGCGTCTCCGTTCATGTTGTGGTGTTGTTCTCTGTTCCTTCTTAAAGACTTTCTTTACGGTGTGTGCATTTGGTACATTAAAAGATCAGAAGGGACAGTCAAAATCCCTCAGGTGCGAGAAAAGCCAGCAAGGACTTGCTCGGCCATGTGATTTTCGGCCTTTCTAGGGAATTTGGAGGGGCGGGATTGCGATTCTTAAAATCTTTTTACATACGCAAGCTCCCAAATCGTTTGCTGTGCTCGATTTCAGTCTTCTGGTCCATTTTGAATGGGAAATTGGACTGATTACTTGGATTTCACCGAATGCATAGGCATTTAAGACCCCGAGGCTTGTCGTCGACAGCTTCGTGCTTGCGGGATGTCCGGGATACCAGGACTTTTGCAATACGTTCTCCATCATGAAGGTCATTTTCTTTGTAAATCAAGCAAACAGATATAAGTCACAAATTATAAAGAGACACCTCGCTTTACAGATGACATGCTGATCCAAAAAGCGGTGTAAGATGTAAGTAAGATGTAAGTATCATGTTTGTGCCTGCTGACACGCGCCACAAGCGGTTTGAGACTAGCGCTTGGACCAAACACAACCCCCGCTTCCATCTCACCTGCACAACCTCAGCTTCAACTTCAACCACACACACACTGCTACTTCAAATATTGAAGGGTCCGTATATAAGCTATCCTCCTCACCTTCACTATGATTTCTCCCATCGGTGCCCTGCGCCGACCACTCCAAGCTGCCGTGAAGGACATCCCGTCGCGGGCCCAGCTCCAAACCCCACATGCCAGCTTCGGCTTCGGCCCTCTCCGCACACCAAGACGCACGAGTCATCCTCTGAAGGCCGCCATCTTCTCCTCGGCTTTCTCAACACGCGCTACATACTCAAACCACACACAAGAGCAACGCAAATCAGCCAGAAACTATTGGAGATCAAAGTCCATGGGAACACCTCTGGCGATGAGCTTTGAGTCTCTCGGCATCCGCAAGAACACACAGCTTTTCATCATGCTCATCCTGGCAGTCGGAGCTGTATTGGAGGCTTTGCTTTGGGGCGAGAAGGCCTGGTTATGGTGGAAGGGCGAGGAAGGAGATCGTCTTGACTAGAAATGGCCTGAGCTCGCGGTCGTGGCCTGGTACTTCATGCGACAAGGACTTTGTATGGCGTTGGGTTCGGAGTTCATTGCATTATACCTCAGATTCTCTATTTCTTATGTGATTTTCCAAAGTTTTCTAGAAATTGTGACTTCTCATTCATTCCATATTTGATCTCGGTGATTCCATCAGCTATCTGGGCAGAGGTTGCCTTCAAGTTTCGCTCTACAAACATACACACACACACATACAGAGTCGTGAAGATAATTTTATTGATGTAAATACTGTCGTGCCAGTGAATATCTGACATGAATCCATGCGGAGTGGTTACCTAGAGTGGCCTCAGGCACCAGTCTGATTGTTGTGGATCCACCCAACATTTAAGGTACTTTCTCGATAACCTTAGATAGTACCTTCCTTTCTCCACCTAAGGTTAGCTCTCCTTGATTCCCAAGGTCTGTTCCCTTCATGCTTCAACTTTGCCCTCTAGTAGGTTGCGAGCCACCTTACGAAAATTAGTTCAGGACGTCGATCACGTCGCATAGATCCAAACGAGCCATTGCCTCCTGTCCATGACCAAACCAACCACCCTCCCGATGGCGTTTCTGATGAGGAGCATTGTCAAAATCAGCGTTCCTTATCTATGACAAGAGGCAGATGCGGCCACTGTTCGAAGTATCACAGAACTGACAATTGTCCTTGCCTACGTCCTGATCTCCGACCCGAGTCTTGGTTCCCACCGCGAAGTATCTGGGTCTTCAAGAGGGGCGAATATCCAGATAAACCATACACGGGCAAAGTTTCGAGAAAACGGTCGGGCAGAAAGACAAACAAAAAAGCAGGGAAAGGGTCAACTACTGCGCCTACTGCTAAGTCCGATGATTTCTTTACTCTACCATCAGGTTCGAAAGAGCCTTCGCCGATGAGTGATTTCGTCAAGCTGTAGATGGGCTGACTGCCTGTGACCGACCTCTGGCCTCAACCTCGGTCATAGTTATGATGATTACAACGATTACGACTATCGAGGAGAACCGAAGAGAAAGAAATGGCGTGGAAGTTGGTGATACCGGAGCGTTCTGGTGCTTTCGGTTTCGCGTTTTCTGTAGTCTACCTGGCCGGATATCTCACCTGTCCCGCAGAGTGGTTTAAGATAGTGGCGCTTGTTTATTTATGGAATAAAATACCTTTCACTGGTCTATAATGTCATATCATTGCAAGGGTATGTAGTTCTCTATGGCCTCAGGCACCAATGTTTGTAGTTAGTGACCCGCACCTTAAGTCTCAGGGTAGTTTCGTCTATCACCACCTTTCAACCACCTTCATGTCATCTCTGTCTCTCTCCCTCCCTCATCGGCATTAAATTACTTCATGTTAGCACTCGGAAATCTCTAGTGGACCCGACCTACTCGTGAAGTTCATTCACTCGTTCCTCTCTAACATATACGTCAGGCATCGCATCCGAACCCAATATACGTGGCCCCCATCAGTTTGTCTCTTACTGTTCGGAGAGATCGTATTCCATTGAAAACCACATCCTCGTCGAAACCCACGATTCCACTACACCCTGCTTTCTTCTCGGAACTACACTACATCCAATATGGCGGCGAACCCTGCCGCCAACTCTGGTGCCGATGATACTCGCCGAGTCATTAAGCAGCCAGGAAAGCCACTGCCTATCAAGGACCAACTGAATCACCCCCCGGACAGCGTTTCAGATGAAGGCCATGCTCGAAACCAGCATGCTTTGGGCACAAGAAAAGGCCGATGCTCACACGGTCCAAAGAAATGGCACAAAACTCACACCTGTTCTTACTTACGTCCTGATCTTCGAGACAACGAATGATTGGAGCCGCCAGATGTCTGGGTGTACAAAAGGGGTGAGAATTCGGGTAAACCGCCCCAGCTCAGGGAGAAACGGGGGCGTGGAAAAAAGCCGGCTTGTTCTTATCCTCCTCCCGCACCTGCGGATCCATCTACTCAATCCTCAGCCGGTGAGGCCGCTTCGAAGGTGTCTACGTCGACGGATGAGGATTCAATCGAGATCATTGTATAGATGTGTTGGCTGGCAGCGACAATTTTCCGGGCTGCATCACGGTCATGACGAACACGACGACTGGGACGAGTTAGGCTTACAAGTACGACTACGACGACGATCACGAATACCAATGACAACGAGGAAAAATGAAATTGTGTGGAACTTGGGCTTTCTGTGTATCACCTTGACACTGGCCGGTCTCGCTTTCCGTGGCCCGAATGGCTGAGATATGTTTACTATCGCGCTACTGTTTCAGCATAGCTTTGCCTTTTCATACGATTTGATGCACCTTGATCCGCCATATTGCTATGGCATTGTTTCCTGCTTTCGATTCCTTGAATGGTAGCATCCACGTCTCCTTAATGGTCATTGGCATATATCGTATGCTATAAACAAGTAGATTTCAAGTTGCCATCTCAGCGTAGGAAGTGAATTCAAGAACTATCTATAGTTGTTCACCCGGCTGATTAAAATCACAATTCTAGATCGATTAGGAATTTAAACTGGGATTCTCGTCTCCAACATCGAAATCAGTGCTTTCTCTTTCTTATTAAAGTAGAATTACATTGCCACATTGACACTTCTGGACCTTTATTGTCTTTGGTGCATCGTTTCTCCATTGGTCTGTCCGGGGCCGTGTTGGTCCAAGCCCACAACACATGGCGAGGTGGATCTACAAAGACAGGAAGGTCACTTTTGAAAAGGCAGATACGGTGCCCAGGTGATGTGGATATTGGTATGGCGAAAATTCTAGGTGGTTCTCCGCCCTTCGTTTAATATCTACGATTTCAATTTCGAGAGGTAAAAATTCAAAATAAAAATAAGGAAAATTCAATTGTCGTTTTCTCTAGGTCATTAAGAAGTATCTTTGCATGGCCAACCCCAAAAACAAGTATGTCTCTCGGTGACGCTTGATCAAGGCCGTGTCTGTCGCAAGGAGATGGCACGGGACGGCTGGTTGGGGGGTTCGGATCGCGGTCGGCCTATCGTTCGAAATGGGGGTATTGATGGATCGAAATATCACGCTTTTTATGGAAGGGCGTTATGCTATTAGGCTTGGTGCCATTCGAGAAGTACTGCAGCTGGGTACAGCAGATTATGCGGCGACGACGCCGGGGAAGCAATCAGCGAGACCCTTCTTGTGCTTGTTCTCGGCGTGCTCGAGGAGACTATGAGGAAAGAACCACTTGTTAGCCATGGCGCTTTCAAGGATGGGTAGATTCACGAATCAACGTACGCGGGGGCCTTGGTGGTCTGCAGGAAAGTCTGCCTGCAGACCTGGCAGATGATGCTCATGGCCTTCTCGTTCTGTAAAACCTATCAGCGACCGGACCGACTTCCTCGAGTAGGAAAATTGAACAGGGAGATTGGGATTTTGCAGCACTATTCACGTACGCTCTTAGTCTGCGACTTGGCAGCAGTCTTGCCTGCGGTCGCGTTGCGCTCGCGCTTTTGCTGGGCTCTGGCTCCCTGTGTAGATAGAAGTCGTTAGTTCGCCTGTGCGTTAGCCAGGGCAGCGAAACGGGGGCACAAGGAAAAATTGCGCTCCCTGTATCACTGCCTTGAGAATTCCTCTTACGTTTCCCATGATTGCGATGTGAGTGGTGGGGGATAAAAGATTAAAGATTAAAGATCGAAGATCAAAGGGAGAAAATTTGCTGAAGTCGGGCGATTCGATGTGGGGCCGGGGAAAATCGCTTATCGCCCCTCCATCAACGACAATTGGGAACGGTCCTCAGGGATTGCTTTTGATTCGCTGGAATTTTCTCTTTAATTGCCACTGTATATTTACTAAAAATATGTATACTCAACAGATATTGTGACTGATAATTTATCCGGAAATTAAGCTCCTTATCCTCACTCGGCATACTAGTAGGGTGTGGTTGAATAGGGTAACAATGGAGAATATTTCTCCATTTTTTTTTTCAAAAATTTGTTTATCATTCAGCTAGAGTACACGCGGATCAGAAAATAGGCCGACAATGTATTGCAAAAACCGGCCTCCCCTAGCGAGTTGGAGTTCCTCGTAGAGTCCGACATTGTCGGCAAGAACATTCCCCAACTGAAAAATGAAGGCACTGCCACATACTTCGTACAAATGGAGAGAAAGACCCAGCAGTTACTGCAATAGTAGAGTCCATCCAGGCGATGAGTGCAGAGGCCATTCCTTCCGACGCCATCACGGTTCTGTCTTCTCTGTTCTCATGAAGCAAAACGAGCCGCCCAATTTGAATACCTATCATACCAATCACTTCTGCAAGGTCAGACACAGTTTCGGTTTTCGCGATAAGCAACGAGCTAACATCCTCTATTGTAAACTTGATGACTTGGCACCGATGTTTGAAACAACGACTTGCCGGAGGCTCGTCACCGAAGGCCTTGAGCAAATCCAGTTGTGGGGTAAATCTGTCAAGTATCTCACAAACATCATTTGCAAGTTCGGGGTCTTCTTGGAGAGCATCGCTCCAATCAAAAAGACACCTAGAGAAGTCGTCTCGGGCTTTTATATAGTGATAATTCAGTATGAGATCCGACATTATGAGGACGGTGACGGTAACTCGGAAGATACTTTCGATATTGGAACTTGAGTGTCGGGTCCGAGAAGGATAGCTTCAAACTTGATGTAGTGTACTCTAATAGACACGACTGTAAGTCTGCCTAGGATATGTAGTACTAGTAATAAGTGCAAATTCCGAAAAACAAAAATGAGAGGTGTATTTTTAGTCCACAAACAATAAACAAACAATAAACAATGGGCTCATTCCAATAACTCCAAAACACGAAGCTTGTGCCGGAGTTGTCAAAGGGGAGTGGGTTAACAAACCCGACAAAGGAAACTGGTCACATTTGTGGAGCTAGCAAGGATACGAACATCCACGAGGGGAAAGATTGAACAAAAGCATTTCCGAAAGATATGGAGAAATGTGCATTCACCGGAGTGGCTGAAATCGGTTGTTGGGCATTTATTCCGAGCACATGTGTCAGTTTTGAATGGCTTGTATACTCCCGATGTCCCTTAAAGCATGCGATAACACATTACCAACCTTGGAACACTCTGCTACCAGTAAGCTGCAGTTTTCCCGGGCTAGATTTCAAAATTTGAAGTTATTCTACAAGTGAATGGTCAAAGCATATATACTTCGCAAATTGCGGGCTCATTATATTCAAAGTTCATTTTCATCCGGCTCGCCTTGAGCTTATGAAATTACCCTCCAGATACCCCTTCTTTAGCCTTCCAAGGCTCTTAACATGTTATAGCCTGCCCATAGGCTCTTTGTATTGAAACCCATTCTTTCGGAAATGGTTTTGTTCAATTTTTAAACTCAAAAATGTCTCGAGTGACCCTAACCGAGAGTATAAATTTAATAGAATCATAAATTTAATAGAATCATTTCGTAGCTATTAAGGAAGACTCGGGAGACTCGACCTTTTCTCTTTGTTCTATCAATCTCTTTGAATATGAGAAATCAGAAGCCGATTGTTTATTGTATGATGAGGTGGTCTTTGTTTGTCTTGCTTTGTGTGCTTTGAATATACTCGGTATTGTATCTCGTATGCTTTGTTGTCGATTATACTGGCTTTCATCGAATGATTATAAAATTGACACCTGATCTTCTGATCGAGTCTCTCATTCCAGAAATTCGGGATATACCGACACTTCTACCAATCTGAAACATGTCCGACTCACAGCATGTTTCATTCCGTGAGTTCCAGGAGGAGGGAGCTTTATGTCAGGCATGGATTACTAACCCCAATATCCCTTGTCCAATTGGCATGAGTCAGCTTACTTCTCTGAGTGATTTAGATGAAGATTCCTGGGATATAAATACCCATCCAAACGGCTTGCCTCACTCATACAATTCTGTTCAGATGCAAGATCTTAATGTACCGAACCAGCAATATCATCTCACAACCGCTGAAATGTATTCCGATAATGGAGACACAGAACTTTCGTTCAAAGGACAGGCAGGACAAGGCGTGCTTTTCATCGAGGATGTAATGAGAAGCAAGAGATCCACTGGCCCTTGGATATCCGAAATCAGTAAGGTAGTCTACGAAGACCACTTCGCTCTCGATACCCTGCGACACGTCTTTGTGACTAACATTAGCAACTCAGAAACGAAGGCATTTGTGGATGCTCGTCTTAACCTTGGCAAAGAGGAAAAGGTTTGGGAGAGTGATGCTCCGCAGTTCCAGGAAATACTAGGCACTCGAATTGGTAAGATTGTGGCATATCTTCTCCTGGGTGCCTTTCCGCGAGGTACGCGAAAGATTTCTCGCATTGCCATGTGGACGACGGGACATCAGGTCAAGTGCATCCATTCCCGGTTCGATATTGAGGAGATCGACGCTTAGCTTTTTAGATACAAAGACGCCACTAACCCTTAGTTGAACTAATTGCAATTGAATATTTTTCGAAGATAGATGGATTTCTCCACATTGAATCTTAGACTAGTTTTGTAGTAAAATATTTTCACGATGAGACCGCTTTTGGTAACTGTTTCGACACCGTACACCTACCAGATGAGGAAAGCGTACTATCAGCATCGCCGTGTCATGATGGCGCAGAGGCGCTCTGCAGTCTGTTCTGAACGGGTTTTCTCATCCAATCATATCGATGCTAATTCCCCTGGGAATTCTATAGAGCATTATGATTCGACAGGAGATAGCCTCGGCCCCACATGACTTTTTTAGCCAAGTCTATCATGCAGCTTTAGTTACATTTCCATCCCGTCTTCGGATTTTGCAATTGGCAGAATAATATGGAGTGATGGAGCAACGGACCCAAGACCATGAAGCCGAGGCTTATAATTCATAAGCTCTGACAGTCCATTTATGTGAGAGCAGTAACGATGCATGCGATGCTGACACTAAAATATCAACGTAGGACCCACATAAAATAACTGACAGCCGGGGCTCACACGGACATTCCTTCAGCGAACCAAAAGCGACGTTCAGGGCCGCGGAGATAAAATAGGTAATTGTATGGAGACCATGAAGAAAGCTAAATACTTAGTTGCATGCACTGCCTAGCCCATGCAACAGCCTGCATTCGCCATTATGAAGATTCTTGGACAGGGCTCGACCCCACTTGTATTTATTTCCCACTGTCGCGTCTTTCTTCTTTGTCCTTCCGCTTAAACAACTCGAAATCTCCAAGGCGCGCATTGCGAGATTGGCTGGATTTGCATCGTATACGGCGTGATGGTGTCCACGCAACAACTGGCTGTTCTGGCCCTGTTTGCCTCTCTGTTCTTTGTGTTCAAGAAGCTTTCGGGGAGCAAAAAGGCTGGAAAGCTACCACCTGGTCCAAAGGGAAAACCAATTATTGGAAACTTACTTGACCTGCCTCCTGCGGGCCAGCAGGAATGCGTTCATTGGTTTAAACACAAAGAGGCTTATGGTTTGTCCCCCTGACTGTGAGGAAGCTTGTTTCAATTTTTGACACGCTTTCATAGGCCCTCTTAGCTCTGTCACGGTTCTTGGGAAGACTATCATTATAATCAATGACAGAAAGTTGGCAATTCAAATCCTAGAGAAGAACTCGGCGAAGCATTCTTCTCGGCCTCGGCTTGTCTTTGCCGACGAGCTGTAAGTGAAACCTTTTTTCTTATTCACAACGGGGCTGTTTGATCGAATCCTGTCCAGTACTCTCGGGGGAAAAATCCCTTTCCACCGCAGTGCCAAATGATCGACATATGCTAACGGATGATCTAGGTCTGGGTGGGGAAATGCACCATCAAGCCAAGACAACACCGCCCTTTTGAGGTCTTACCGACGAGCCATGGCCAAGATTATTGGAACACGCACTTCTGCATCTAAATTCGACGGGTTGCTGGAAGAAGAGACACGGCGCTTTCTTTGGCGGGTTCTTCAAACCCCCGAAAAATTCGTGGATCACATTCGAACGTATGTTTTGAACCAATATTAGGAATAAGTTTAGGATTTTATCGCTAATATGCACACGACAGTGAGGCCGGTGCTTTCATTCTCAAGATTACATATGGCTATAACATTGAGCCTCATTTAAAAGACCCTCTTGTGAGCCTCGCCGACTTAGCACTTCAACAATTTTCAAATGCTATCGTCCCAGGGGCGTGGCTCGTTGATATGATCCCTGCGCGTCAGTCAAACTCCCCGGATGATTTCCTTTCAATACTAAAATATGAATTTAATTAACGAAATTCGCAGTAAAATACATCCCGGCATGGTTTCCCGGCGCAAATTTCAAGAAGATCGGTGCCTATTATCTCGAAACTCTGACCAAGCTGGTTGAAAACCCAGTCATATTCACGAAGTATCAAATGAAGGAGAAGAAGGAGCGAAAATCGTTCACCTCAACTCTTCTGGAGCAAGGCGAAGACGAAGGCGTCATCAAGTGGTCTGCTGTGGCATTGTATGCTGGAGGAGCCGATACGGTATGAAAGAAACGATTGAGGTGTTCAAAGGGGATGATTCTCTGACATGAAATTATCACATAGACTGTTGCCTCTCTGGAAGGTTTCTTTTTGGCCATGGCGCTGTTCCCTGACGTTCAACGCAAAGCACAAGAAGAAATTGACAGAGTTTTTGGCAAGGCTTATTTTCCTACAATGGCCGACCGAGAGAAGCTGCCTTATATCGACGCAGTCGCGAAGGAAGCTCTCCGGTGGCATACAGTTGCCAACCTCGGTGTTCCCCATAGAACCGACGAAGATGATGTTGTGGATGGCTTTCTCATTCCGCGAGATGCTATGCTTCTTCCTAACATTTGGTGCGCGACATCGATAAAGACTTAATATCTGAAATTTTACTAATTCATCTCGCAGGTCTTTCAACAACGATCCCAAGGTCTATCCTGAGCCTCGCGTTTTCCGCCCTGAGCGATATATCCCCTCTGAAGGATGCGATGTGGCTCTTGATCCAGCTGAAGTGAGTTTCGGGTTTGGCAGGAGAGTTTGCCCCGGTCGACAAATCGCCGATGCTTCACTCTTCCTTACCATTGCAAACACACTGGCCGTTTTTGATGTGAGGAAACCGGTTGGAGAAGACGGCAAGGAGATCGACCCACCTCAGGATTTCACTCCAGGAATCATCAGCCACCCAATTCCTTACAAGTGCAGAATTACCCCTCGCACCAAGGAACATGAGAGGCTCATTGTCGATTTTGAAAAGTACCATCCATTCGAGAACAGTGATGCGGATGACTTGGATAAAGCCCTGAAATCGAGTTAGACAAGTTGAACGTCATGAGAATATTGGCAGTTGGTAGATATTTGAAGATGTCAGTGCCAATGAGCTACGTGCAGATAATACAGGTATTTCCTTTGACAAATTATAGCCGGTTTAAATTCGAAGATGAAAACTCCAGCGCATAAAAGAAAGCCCAAATACATTTATTTGTGTGCCATTGGTGCATTATCCACTGTATTTGGATTGCTTGTTTATCAAGAATAAGATTACTATTAGAAACCGTGCGAACAGCTGCTCCTCAGTTGTATCAATGAATGTAGACTCCATAAGGATCAAATGTTGGGTGACAGATAGATCCAATCCTGTACTGAGGAGTCCCGTTATGTTGATGTGAACACGGGGATTGGCAATGCCCTGTGCCTTGTTTTGTGATTTACTGTAGGGCTTCTGGAACTCAAGCAGTATTGAGGTTGAGAATCAATAGTATGCCGACACAAGCTCGAATGCATAAATTTTCACCACCGTGTTCCTAAACGCGAATAGTTAAAGCAACTTCAACATTTACGAAAGCTTGCAGAAGAAAGCGAAGGTATTATCAAGATGTGGAAGGTATGGTGATCTTGGTGCCCGATACCGCGGGTGTCTAGGCCAATGTGCACGCGACAACACCTCAATACTGGGTTAGACCCACATGAAGAAGCTTGATTTATAGAATTATAAAAGACTAGTGACTTTATTCTCTTAACGAAGAGCATCCTAGGAGCGACAACAAGAAAAGGCTTGTGTGATTTGCCGGTTACATACTAATAGACCCACACGAGTTAGTAGTGTGGTACACCGGAGTTGAAAGGATGGAGGAAAGAGGTTCAATGAACTTCTATATATAGGTTAAAAATGCCATCCGATTGCCTAGGAGGATTGGAGTATTTGAATTCTTTGTATAACATAGGTAGAATCTTCTGGATGATAATAGATGGCTAATGAAGTAGCAAAGCCAAACAGCGGTATTTTTTTCCATAATGATTTTTGTCACCATCTACAGGTATGATTACCAATAACAGAAGCCCGGAATCGTGAAATTTGGGGTATATTCAACTAAATAGATGGGTAGGGAGTGAGAAAGACTGCAAGGGAGGAAGACAATTTGGATTCCGGATGTATCTAAGACTTCGAGGGAATCACGATTTAGAGTTCACTCTGGACTAGGCCGGTGTGTTGGACCAACAAAGGTTGTTAAATTGGAATGGAGGGCTGCTAAATGGACCGCCCTTTTTGATAAATGGACGATGGGCCCATCTGAATCCAGATTAGTATGTAATCTCTATACAAATTTGGATACACTCAATCTATGTCTACAGTACTCGTTGCACTGTAAAAGTTTTTAACTCCCTATTGTCTACTATTAGTTACTGTCTTCTAATAGCATACTAGTACCTACCCAGGATAGAATATATTAGCTACTCTATTCCATCTTAGGTAGGTAATAGTCTACTATAGAAAGACGAAGACTAGAGAGATCAACAAGGGACTAGAAACTTCTGCAGCGCTATAGAGGTAGATTAGGTATATCTAAACTGTATGGAAATTACATACTAATCTGGTATCAGAAGGGCCCATGGTCCATTTAGCAAAACGGGCGGTCCATTTAGCAGTCCTCATTCTAAGAAGTGTTTTACCCTGCTTGGTGAAAGTCAATGCGTGGAATCAGACGACACGGTCCAGAACGCGTTTCCACATTGAGCGGCTCAGGTCTGCGGTTGCAAACTCCTCGATTTCCCCCTCTTGAAGTCGACCAGACCAAAGGTCCATCTCCGAGGCACGGGCAAACTGGAGGCGTAGCAATCAGCAATATTTCGACAAATATTAACGTAATAACGCAATTAAATACCTTGGTGCGATATAAAACCTTCCATACAATGATAGGTACAATAAATATGGGTATACCGATGTATGCAGCCACAAAGGTCGATGCGGACCAGTTTCCCTTGAGAAAGACATGAAAACCGGTAATAAAGGTGATGGTGCTGGCGCCGATAAATCCATACCATGCCGTGAACGGCTGAAAGGGGGACTTCCAGGGAAGAGATTCACGGTTGACACCCTGAGCCTTCAGTCCGGCATGGAAACGAATATAACAAAAGCAAAGCGTCGCCCACGCTATGAGTCCAGCAACCGTTCCCAGACTCTGCAGCCAAGCGAACGCCTGGGCCGCGCCACCTTTTCCTGAGACCTATTGGTTTCAAATTAAAAAATTGCCCATGGGTTCAAGAAATAGTCGGTTTATACTTACTCAGGTATGCCAGAAGCCCAAAAAGCCAAGCTGTAACCACGGCCACATAAGGGACGCCCTTCTTGGTAACCTTTCCGAATATCTGTGGTAGCTGTCGGTCGGTTGTCATGGCTAAAATCATTCGTGACCCAACCCAGCAATACGAGTTCCCTGCAGACCAGGCAGAAACCAGAATACAGGCGTTTACTATCGAGGGCAAAGCTGAAATCCCTGCTGTTTGAATAGCAATAACAAAAGGTGAACTGTGCGCATTACCGGCCCCAGAAACAAGATCCGGATTCCGTGGGTCAACTGTTATACTAATCAGGAGCGCTCCCAGAATATAAAAGAATCCGATCCGGTAAGTGATATATCGTGCTGCTTTCGGGATAGCATAATGTGGGTTCATTGCCTCGCCGGCTGTAATCACAACAGTTTCAATTCCGATGAAACTAAAAGACGCGTTGACAAAGGCGGATAGAAACCCAAGGAAGTGTCCTTTAGGGCCCATAATGTCATTATAGTTGGTCCATGCGCCAGGATTGTTCCAGTAGCGGAAGCCAATTCGATCACGAGCTGTGATGACAATAGAGACGAATATAAGACCAATGAAACAGATAACCTTGACTACGCCACCTATAACTTCAGAATCACCGTAGAAGCGGACGCTCATAAGGTTAATAAATAGAATAAGAGTGAGGCTGACAGTAATAACCACGGCCGGGGTTATGTCACTCCAATAAGATACTATCAAAGCAGCGGCAGACTAGAATAATGAGCGTCAGAAATTCCAAGTGCAAGGTGAAACATGCGTACCGTTTCCGAAGCAATAGCGATCATGAAGCAATATCCGTAGGATATAGCCAGCGAGAAGCCCACTGCCGGGTCAATGAATCGGGTAGCCCAGTGTGGAAAAGACCCGGCTGTAGGGAATAAGGTGGCCAATTCGGCAATGCTTTGCATCACACACCATAAGACTGAGCCGACAATTATGTAGGCGAGAAATAGTCCCGCGGGGCCAGCTTTAGCATACGCAGAGCCAGTACCAATAAAAAGACCGGTACCTATACCACCGCAGAAACCGATCATAGTCACTTGATAGTTATGGAGACGGCGATGAGTAGCACCCCGGCCGCCGATATTAAGTTGCAATTCATGTTTAACATCAGTAGAAGCCTCGCCGACTGGAGTGAAATCAGTCCGTCTGTCGGTCTGAATCGTCTCGTCGGCTATGTTCATGTTTGAATCTTTCATCTCGCCGCATTGACCGACTACGCGACTTCGTTGTTAATATAATAGTAGTTGTATGATCCCGCGTTTACGAAAGTCTGCGAGGGGTGGGGTTTGCGTAACACGAAAATGTTGTTATCTGATAGGTAAAGGGGGATTCGCGAAATCACATTTGAGAATATACTCAAAATCCTGAACATGTGAGCGGAGAAAGATAAAGTGTTTCTGATCACCATTATCTGGTATCTGCGGGGTACAACTTGCGCTTTGTTCGGGGTAAAATTGAACAAGTCTAATCATTGGCCGCCGGCAATGGGAACGGCTTGATCGTTACCATTGACCCTGCGGGGAATAGTCCGTTCTCAATATTTTGACCAATCATATCTAAGGCAACTATCACCGGTGCCATGCCGAAGACGCTTGTCTTGCCTACCCCCTTTTCACAAACGCCACCATTCCCAGGAATGTTTTCATCCGACCCGCGAGGAAAGGCTGGTGTTCACGCATGGTACTAGTCTGCTGCAGCTATCAGGAAGTCGATGCGGATAAGGAAAATCAGAATACATTGACTATATTCGCTTTGGATTGGTTTCTCAAGTCCTCTCGGCGCAATAGTACACCCCTTGAGCCCTTCAATTATATGTTCCGTTGTTCGAACGTCGTTCCTTTAATTGATGTCTATGTGATGAGTGAAAATGGAGGGGGGGCAATATAGCGTGCCTCTATCAAGGCCTCGGGTCGATTATCCTCAAGCATTTGAGGGAGGTAGACCCCTCATAGAAATTGAGATGAAGTCACCCTCATCATCTTCATCTGTAATGTTCCACTGCAGGGAGAATACATCCTCTTGTTCGGTCTTCTTGGCGTAGAAAAGGGATGTATATTCTCCACCGTCATTCTCAACCAGGAGAAAGTGTCCGTACCAAATGAAGTTGGATGTGATTTGGTTTGATGTGGCATTTTGGGTAAAGCCAACTTGGTGATCGCTCGAGTCCGGGCCGGGAACAAATAATTGCTGATTTTGAAAAGGGGGCTGGCTCGTACCATTCGCCTCCGTCGAATTGGAAGCTGGATTAGCTACCATAAGGCCAGAGTCACCAGGCGTAACTGAATCAATGGTCAATTTGCATTCAAGACACGACGTGTAATGGAAGGTTCATACAGGAAACCTGACCAACGTTCGTTGCGTTCTGGGGAGTCTTGTTTCCAACCACAGCATTGCCTAAATTTCCACAATTGGTGAGCGAAGGCCTATTGTTATCCTTTGGGGATCCTACCGTCGGCGTAGTACATCGGAAATCCTCCGATGTTGTCACCAAAGGCATATAGGTTATACGATTCCGACGGGGGAGGATCGCGATGCAATATGCTTTGCTGACACTGCAAAGCCCAAGAAGAGCAATTGCAACCCAAAGAAGACCCGCATCACGGAATGAATGAGAATCCAGTGAATGAAAATAAAAGCGATGGACAAGGAGAAATTCAGCCTCGAGGTCGGGGGCACGGCGCTTGAAGGGAAATAGTTCAAGTCCGGAACTTAGCTTCGGGCCTGGCCATAGTCTTGGTCACTGACCCCTGATCCGGCGACAATTCCTCTCCGGGTGATTCCACGATCAGGATGTTGCGAAATCCTGCGGCCTGCGATATGGAACCCTCCGCAGGGTCCACCTTTCTGAATCGGTTAAATGGTTGATCTTCACGGTGCATCGTCAGCTTGCAGGGTCAAATGGGGAAATGTCTATAAGCAAATTTGCTTTCTAATCGGGGACTAACTATCCGTAGTATACCATCGTTGATCTGTTGTAGGGGTGGGTCTTGACTGGGGGTGGCTTGCGCGGAGCTGACGTTGTTTACTCGGGCTATCCCTAAAGAAGCTTAAGATTTGTATGGTTTGGTGGGCCCAGCCAGCCGTCCCACCCGGAATCGGGGCTGATATTTAACCTTGATTTCAAGGCTATCGGGGCAGGGCTGAAATAGAAACTTGATGATTTTCCAAATTTCAACCTTCCTTCGCAATTTTATCAGTGATAGCCTGATAATTTCGCATTGCCTCACAGATCGTGCGAACCCAATCTAGTAGGTGTTATGTATAGTTATAGGTTACTCGGAATGAGCAAAATCTGGTGGAAAAGCTCGAAGGTCTAAGCTGGTACCTAGTATTCAGCACCGCCGAAATATAGCTTGGTTAGCGGCACGATCGGCAGGCCTTAGGCCCATGGATTGCATCGGCTTCGCGTTCACGAGTGGCTTGGCCCATCATGGCCTGCTCCGTTCTATTTGCAGCGAACAATTTATCTCGCAGTGGGTCACTCAACTAGAAATATTCGGAGTGTGGCCTAGTTATTTTCTCCTGAAAGGTCATGTCTCTCAATCTAATATAGATCATCATATGTAGAAAGATGTGCACATTGTTATACTATTTGAGCGCGTGTAAAGGTGGTTCATATTGAGACACCCGGCATATCCAAGTCCTTTAGTTGAATTCGACGCACACATTCGTTTTAACTATCTTCGAGGGTAGCATACGTTTTGTCGATTCCTGTCACTCTTTCATTCTTATTCATTCTCTCTGGTCCAAGATTTTTATTCTTATTTTTATTTATTTATTGGTCCTTTTTGATCCTCGACTTTTGATCGACGCCATGAAACCGGGCTTGGTAATTTCATTTATTTCTTTTCTTCTCGCCTGTGTCTTTGGTGGAACAATTCCCGACCACACCTCGCATGCCAGGTCGCTGTCTTCACTGCTGCCTTCTGTCGGAGCTTCTGGGGGGGAGCGCCTGCAGGGGAAACACAGCTAGCACACGCGACCAGTGGTGTGATTACAACATCCACACGGATTATACGACGGTCGTTCCAACGACAAATGTGACTCGCGAGTATTGGTTCAATTTGGAACGCGTTACCGTAGCACCAGATGGACGTTCAAGGAAAGCAATTGCGATAAATGGCTCTATTCCAGGTCCTACCATTGAAGCAAATTGGGGCGATGAGGTCGTCATACATCTCACCAACAGTCTCCCAAATGACCTGCAAAATGGAACTAGCATTCACTTCCATGGAATCCGGCAATTTTGGACAAACCAGAACGACGGTGTTGTGTCAATCACCCAATGCCCGACCGCACCAAACAACACGATCACCTACAGATGGCGTGCTATGCAATACGGCACGACCTGGTACCATTCCCACATAGGCTTACAAGCCTGGGAGGGACTATTCGGCGGCATTGTGATTCATGGTCCGGCCAGTGCGAACTACGACGAGGACAAGGGTGTTATAATTATGAACGATTGGGATGTCAACACTGTGGATGAGCTGTTCACCACTGCCCAAAAAGATGGTCCTCCCACACTTGACAACGCTTTGATTAACGGAACCAACGTATTTGGATCGGATGGTGCAGCCAACCAAACTGGTACTCGCTTTAATACATCTTTCACCGAGGGAACATCTTACCGGCTTCGCCTTGTGAACGCTGCGTGCGACACCCACTTCAAGTTCTCTATCGACAATCACATCCTGACGGTCATCGCAAACGACCTTGTCCCAATCACGCCCTACAAGACAACTATTCTGAACATTGCGATGGGTAAGAAAGGCCATTGACCCTTCGAAATGAATCCTACTAACGCATACCCAGGACAACGATACGACGTCATCGTCAAGGCCGACAAGGCATCGACCGCGAAGAATTTCTGGATGCGCGCTATTCCTCAAACCGCCTGCTCCGAAAATAAATCACCCAAGAACATCAAGGGAATCATATACTATGGCGATAAGCCTGCGAATCCAACCACGATTGGTCAGAGTTATACCGACAGCTGTTCCGACGAGGACATGTCGGATCTGTCTCCGATTGTCTCCGAAAGTGTTTCTTCGAGTCCCTATTATAACAGCTCTGAACCAGTCTCCCTTGGCAAGAACGGGGGTAGCCTTTACCGATGGAAACTCAATTCAACCTCCATGCACGTTGACTGGACAGACCCGACTCTGCTCGAGGTTTACCGGGGTCACCACTCATGGGCCAACACCAGCGGGGTGATAGAACTTCCCCACAAGAATGTGTGGACCTATGTTGTCATTGAAACCACTCTGTCTGTGCCTCACCCAATCCATCTACACGGGCATGACTTCGTCATTGTGGCTCAAGGCACTGGAACATACGATGGCGAGATTACTACGCTCGCCAAGCCACCCAAGCGTGATACCGCCATGTTGCCAGAAAATGGTTACTTGGTTATTGCCTTCAAAACCGATAACCCAGGAGCGTGGCTCATGCATTGCCATATCGGCTGGCACACCGAGGAAGGTTTTGCGATCCAGTTTATCGAGCGCTATAATGAGATCAAACCTCTGATTGAGTATAAGAAGCTGTATCAAAACTGCGAGACCTGGGGTACATACGAGAATAAGTACATCGTCGCCCAAGACGACTCGGGTATTTAATCCTTTCTGTTCTTACCCATAGGCAACTTGAGCTTCAAGTTCTATTCAAGGAGACCTGGGCCTTCCAAGATTCGCTATGTCATTTTCAAAAGAGTGAGTTGGCAATCTTCGGACTGCCCGTGGGTGCCCCTACTCAGTTATACTAGAATATACTAGACGATGACAAAATACGTTCACTCAACTTGAATTTCCTCCTCTTCAAAACCATTCTCCAAATTTTCTCAGCTTTGCCGAAGTTGTGGAGAACGTTTCGGAGAACAAATGGGGTAACGCGGGGGGTTGTGGGTGAGTTTCAATGACATAAAAATTGAAGATTGCTCGGGAAAGATGTGACAATTTATTCCCGACGCTTTGGCGATTGGTCCCTGATCCACTGCCAGTGCCCAGGTGCCCGTCATACGATTCAGATCATGGTGGTGGCTGAAGCTTGTACCTTTGCCCTGACTAAAGAAATTTTCTGTCAGTGGCGACCATGCGCTTCGAGCCGCGACGGGCCACGGTTGATACCAATTTCCTTATTGCTTCGACCAGCCATCCCGAGCCGGTCTTGGCATTGCCACCGGCAGAATTTTGCCGAAGCTCCTTTTTGTATTCGCGGATTTTTATCTCATTCATAGCTCGGGATACAAAATATATATCATAAAGCTTCGCGCGATCGTAGTTAAAGGGAAGATTTCGGCGCTTGGCATTACTCTTGTTGAGATCGGAAACTCACCATTTCCGGCTACCGTCGGGGTAGCCACGAGGGTCCCGAATTCCTATTATCTAATGGGTGGCCGAGCCGAAGCTTCCATTGGCTTAGACCTGCAGTAAAGTGGAGGTAAAGATCCACCGTCGCGCCCGGAAGTGGGCCGAAAGGACGCTTAATTCTGGCTGATCGCAAGCAACCCCCAAGCTTTGCATTTGTATGACCAAATTGGACCCTGCGCAGAGGGTTTGCGCTCCATGAAAGAATGTGCTCATAGGAATTCTAATTACTACCGATAAGCCCGATAACTCCCGCCTTATTCAAGTCCCGAGCCCCGGAATTTGTGCCCCAAACCTTCCATAAAAAGCAGTTAGTCGCGGGGGTCTCGGCTGTCGCATACGACGTTGAGCTCCACACCCACGGCCACCCAAGGATTTTTGCACACATACATATCTCTTCTTTCGTGTTCTTCTTCTCTCTCTCTCTCTGTCTTCTCCTTGGTTTGTCTCTATACACATTTACGGCAGACCCTTGTACATTTTCGACATGATTATTGAGGGAGTTCCCACACGTCCGGAACCCGTTGATTCGGAGGCCGGATCAGGATGGAAGGAAAAGGAGTTCGAAAAGGACATGCCCCAGTACCAGGATGCATTTGGTGACGAGACAAACGCGGAGGTGAAATACAAGACCATGGAGTGGTGGTAAGTTTCCAATACGAGGAACCTTTTTGATAGACATGATATCTAATCCCTGGGGCTATAGGCAAGCTGGAATGTGTAAGTGCATCATCGCGCAATGATCGCGTATCGATCGCGTATCTCGGAAGGAACATATCTCTGACTGAACTAGTTATGATCGCTGAGTCCGTTTCACTCGGTGTTCTGTCTCTCCCTGCGACTCTCGCCTCGCTCGGTCTTGCGCCGTGAGTATCACGATACTGGTTTCTTCCAACCCTCGCTAATATCCCCAGTGCTCTCGTTCTCATCATCGGTCTTGGTCTTCTTGCCACATATACCGGATATGTCATCGGACAGTTCCATCAACGCTATCCCCATATCCAGAACCTTGCCGATGCTGGTGAGGTTCTATTTGGCGCGTTCGGTCGCGAGCTTTTCGGTATTGGTCAGCTTCTGTTCTCGATCTTCATCATGGGTAGCCACATCTTGACCTTCAGTGTTATGATGAACACTATTACTGAGCACGGCACCTGCACCATGGTCTTCACCACCGTTGGCTTTGTGATCTGTATGGTCTGCTCGCTGCCCCGTACCATGAAGAATATGACATACATTTCTTGCGCTTGTACGTTACTAAGCTTCCTGCTGATTTGAATGAAACATTATACTAACGCGCCCCCTTCAGCTTTCGTCAGTATTTTCACTGCTGTCATCATCACCATGATCGGCGTCGGTATCCAGGGTCAGATTGCCCCCATCAAGGCCACCATCGAGACCGATCTGTTCCACGCCTTCACTGCCGTCACAAACATTGTCTTCGCCTACTGCGCTCACGTCGCTTTCTTCGGTCTTCTCGCTGAGATGCGCGAGCCCCGTGACTTCCCAAAGGCGCTGTACATGTTGCAGACCTTTGAGATCATCTTTTATACCGTTGCGGCTATCGTCATCTACTACTATGCCGGTCAGAGCGTTACCTCCCCGGCTTTGGGATCCGCTGGTCCGGTCTTGAAGAAGGTTGCTTATGGAATCGCCATCCCGACCATTATTGGAGCCGGTGTCGTCAACGGCCACGTTGGATTGAAATACATCTACGTTCGTCTTTTCCGCGGCACCGATCGCATGCACCGTCGCGATCTGACCTCTTATGGTACCTGGGTGCTTATCGGTCTGAGCTGCTGGATCATTGCTTGGATCATTGCCGATGCCATCCCTGTCTTCAGCGATTTGCTGAGCTTGATCAGCTCTCTGTTTGCTAGTTGGTTCAGCTGTAAGTCAATTCTTGTGTATTCTTTTATATCTGTTGCTGGTTGCTAACCAAATTTTTAGACGGACTCGCCGGTGTGTACTGGCTTCACATCAACCGAGGACAGTGGTTCTCTTCGCCACGCAAGATCGGCCTCACTATTCTGAACACTTGCATCGTTCTTATCGGTGCTTGTATGGTAAGTCATTGCTCTGGAATGAAGGTTGATACAAGTTCTCAACTAATATATTACAACAGTGCGGTCTCGGCCTTTACGTCTCCGGTAAGGCGATTCACGACGATGCCTCCAACAACGCATTCTCCTGCGCCAACAACGCGGAGGTTTAAGATTATCCTTGATAGACATGATAGATCTGTACGATGCATTTGCATTTTATGACTGTATTATAACATCCATCTGTATATATGGATCGGTTTATATTAGACATTAGCCTGTTCAATTTTGCAAAATAGACTGTTTGAGCATTTCCTTCCAAGGTTTCAAGGTTTCAGTCCCGATTACGCTTCTTCGAATTATGCATATGACTATAGTAAGCTCAAACGAGATTTTTATCCGAGCCTCCGTATGGGTTGTTCGCTGTGTTTTTTCTGTGGGTCTGTTCAGGACCAGGTACGCTCCGGCATTCCGCTTGATCCACCGAGAGCTGGGAAGGATGAGCCGCATCCGGCAGTCAGTGCAGATAAAGTGCCCACAATAAGCTTGAAATTATACTTTGAAATCATTAGCCTTGAAGCACCGTTGAAACTTTTACTGATCAGGGTCCGTAATAGCTACCAGCGTACATATTGGCCCGCCTGATGGTACAAAAAGTATGATCCAAGTTCATGATAAGTTCGTCTATTTGGAATGCCAATAACCTCTTCCGAGGAGACATGGTGACTTCGAGCTTATGACCAGACACTCTATCACCTACTGCAAACATTAAAGTGATAAATATAGTTGAAAATTGCAGCCAGATACCGACGAGATCCAATTCAATATATCTCAAGTCCTTGCACGGCAGTTCTCAACGCTTCAATGATCTCAGCCTTCAAACTTCCTCGTCCACGGGAGGATACGCGCCCTCATATGACAAAGCAGCATTCTTTTGTACCCAGACCTGCTCCTCGTCACTTTTAAAAGGAGGCGGAATCAAGCTATTAATCTTCCAAAGCCGACGCTCCGTCTCTTCAACATGATATTCAAAATCATAGCCCTTATCCAAGAGATGGGGCTTCATGATTTTATCCAGGCGCGATGTAGTACGAAGATAGGCTTTATCAGCGTCGGGAATACGAAGAGCGATATGCTTGATGACGACGCGGATGAATGGTTTGGTCGAGGCCGGCTTCCCGCCCACAAAGACATTCTCATCCTTGAGCTCGTGGAACTGTGTCACGACGTAGAAAGCTGGTAATCCGAGACCAGTGTACATTCTTGTTATATCTTCTGCAAAGAGTTGTTTCGATTCGACATTTTGGAATGTGTTCGCAGGGTGGTAGATTTGCCAAAGGGGCATGATGAGGGCCGGTTAGGTGTCTGGTAAGACTCGTGGGAAAATTGGGATAAAATGAGCTTTATGGGCAAGAACTTGAATGATTTAGAAGACGGGATTCATATAGACCACGTTTACAATTTATATAATTCTGGTCGGTAGAGTGATTCAAATACTATCAGTAATCCGACTGTGGAGGCCGGAGAAGAATAGTCAACAATTTAAAAGCGGCCTTGGTGAATAAGCTTTGTGTATCGTTGAACCGGAGATCGAAATACAAGCATACGTCACTTATACGTTGCACCGATGGTATTTTCTTTGGAAATACTTATCATCTTAGCGATAAAATGCGACTCCGTAGGTAAATCGCTGATGAGTAAACATTTCTCGACACGGCAATTCTATGATTATTCAACATTCCGCTTCCAGCTAGGTTGTTATGATATTTCCAAAACTGTATTCACAATACAGAAGGGAATATATTTATTTACTGCAACTGATCGTTGAACGTTATTCGTATTGTGCACGGGCGCAAGATCGGTCATCGGTTCCGGGTTGCCCACGACGAGATGAGTTATCAGTTATCGCCCAGGCAGAGGGTGCTAGATTGGCTTCGAGCAAATTTCGATTTGGAGAGCATAATGATGGACTCTAGCATTTATTTTGGCTATTTTAATTGGTATGAAATAAGGCTTTAATCTAACAAATCCAAAGTCCACTCAGTATCCAAGCCAAACAAAAGGACAAACGTGCAGAACATGTTCATAAATCATCTCAAATAATCCACAAAAGAAGGATTGCGGTACCGTTTCGAAAGATCCTAGAAAAGTGGCATCTTGGCCACATTCTCATAATCAATATTGTCGTCAACAGACTCAATCCGCTCCGTACACGTTCCAAAAATCTTATCCCAAAGCCGAGTCTGCTTCCCATAATTATGCGACTTCCTCCATCCCTTCCGATGATGCAAATCATGATCCTCAATAACAATTTCCGCATCAATCATCTGAAGAAGCCAGCTCAACGTAGTCGGAACAGTAAGATGCATCCTAAGGCCCGAGTGTCCAAAAACCTCCGCAAAAGCAACATACTGATGGCAAATCCACCACTCATAAAACCCCATCGGCAAACCCATAAGTCTCAGACTCGCATATGTCATAAAAGGGACGCCGACCATGTCGAAGAATTCCTGCTCGTGGTCTGCGTACGCGGCGAGTAGAGGGTTCGGGTGCTTTGTGAGATGGTGCGTTCTGTGGAATTTCCAGAAAAATCCAACGTCATGCATTAGTCGGTGGTACCAGTAGAACCAGAAGTCGAGAATAATTCCATATAGGCCGATTTCGAGAGGAAGCCAGGTCCATGATAGTGAGCTGGGCAGTGCGTCACGGTTATAGCAGAGGTATGTTGCCATTACGAGGCGGGATCCAGTTGTTTTGTAGAGTGATGCTACGACCTTTGCGATGCCGACGTCCGGCACGCCGTCGCGCTCGTGCTTGTCACCGTCTAGGAATCCGTATTTGTGGCCTAGGCGTCGTAGGACGTGGACTTGATAGATCACTGTTGCGTTGAAGGCGAAGAAGTATAGATTGAATGTTGCGAATGGGCCGAGTGTGCGGCCTGTTGCCATCATGTAGGTTTGGTGGAAAATTAATGGCAACGCTGAGTAGAAGAGGACCCAGCGCTGGAGGGACCACTGAGGCATGTATGGGATCTTTTCATCTTTGGTGTGTACGGGCACTTCTTTGTTTAGATCTTGGGGGTGGGCGTTTAGGAGCTCCAGGGCCCAGTGGTTGTGATTCCATTCTTTGCGGTCGGCGGTGCGCCAGGTAGATTTCATGGAATCCTTATTTAGAGGTTTCTCCATGGTGTCGTAGTCTAGTCTGCAGATGGACTAGAGGTACTTTTCAAGTTTCGCACTGTTCTTGGTTCGGTCGAGCTACGACGAGTCGTGGTGGATGAGTGGTTGTGTTTATATCTATACCATCTCCTCACAGCACATGCGAAAGCGCAAAACTACGACGCCCTCTATGAGTGGATCAAACTTCCCCAACAGAAATCCTCACCAAATGAAGGTCAAAGATCGGGAGGGTCCCATGGGAAACTGGGGCAGATCTACCGGTAGTTCGTCCATGTGAAGGTTCTCCCCGCATAGTCTGCCGAGGATTTCGGGCATGAAGGAGGAGGATTTGTTATGCAGTGTTTTCTATGGGGTACATAGCATTGTCTCCAATTCCAGGCGCTCCCATGACCTAGGGAATGCAGATCAATCGATCAAGGTTATTCTAGATGATGTACATTATGCTGGGTTTGAGGCGTCGTGCAGAAGATTAGCCTCGGCTGGCACTAACGTGAAAGTCAACGAATGGAAGATCTGCGATCGCCTGCCAGGAACAGATGGCTCGCTTAAATCGAGGCAATACAATTGGTGTGTGAGGTCGGAATTGACCCGCAATTGGTGAACAGGGCATCGATAGCCCAAACCCGAATTGGAAACCTCTGCGACCGTGTGAAAGTGGGAGAGAAAAGGACTGGGGAAGTGGGTAATGCAAAGATGGCTATATGGCTATATGCTTGCTCTTATATCATTTAGTGTTCCTAAGTTTAACACAACCCTGTGAATCTCTGATAGTCCTCCGTGGCTACAAATTTGTTGCTCCTCGCGCTCATGCTTGTGCTGGTGCATTAGATCTCGCGGACACTTCCTTAATTCGCCGATCTCGGGCAAAGTGTATTAGCGAGTAGGGGAAAAATCGGAATTCCCTGACAATCCTCCGGGGGTATTCCCAGGGAAACGACTAAACTGGGGAAGCCTTTCCGGGGATCGTCTTTCCCGAGGGCTTCAGTCTGGTCTGGTCTAGAGTGGATCGGCTTTGTGGTCTTCCTTGAGTCTAGATCTCATAGTATGAATCCATGAATGAAGTCCTGGTTACTGGGGCTGACAAGCTGCTACCTAGTACTACTACTAACTGCTACCTATGTGTGGTATAGTAATGATCTTGAAGTATCTACAATGACTGATATTGAACTATCTACTACTAATCTACTCAGCATTTCAAACATACTAATCTCTAGTGGCTGTGGCTACTGAAACAAAACAAAACATATTCAAATAATTCATTTTGCAGGCTTTGTTACGCCCAACTTATAAATTCATTGCAGTCCTAAGAGCTAGCTGCGGCCGGCGCAACAGTCTCCGCCTCGTCAAGAGGAGTAGGCGTCACGGAGGGCGCCTGCTTAGGCTCAGGCTTCTCGAAGCTCTTCATGGGATAGTAACCCCACTTGTCAAACATAGCACGGTCTTCGCCCCATCCATTACACTCAGTTGTCAGCATCTTTTCACCGGTAAAGACAGCGTTCGCACCAGCCTGGAAACAAGCGACCTGCTGCTCCTCAGTAAGTGCAATGCGACCGGCCGCCAATCGGACAATCGTTCCTGGCATCACAACACGCGCGGTCGCAACAGTCCGCAAGATGCGATCGAAAGGAATCATTTTCCGGTCACCAAGGGGAGTTCCGGGAATAGGTACCAGGGCGTTAACGGGGAAAGACTCGGGGTGCTTGGGCAGCGAAGACATAGTGTACAGCAGGCCGACGCGGTCAGTGTCCGACTCGCCCAGGCCCAAAATACCACCGGAGCAGACATTAATTCCAGCATCACGGACGTGGTCGAGGGTACGCAGACGCTCATCGTACGATCGGGTTGTGATCACGTTGGGGTAGAATTCACGCGAGGTATCGAGGTTGTGGTTGTATGCTGTCAGACCGGCATCCTTGAGCTCCTTTGCCTGGTGCTCGTCGATCATGCCTAGGGTCACGCAGACTTCCATGTTCATTTCGCGGATACCGGAGACCATGGCCTTGACGTTCTTCAGACTGGTCTTGCGGCCACGCATGTCACGCCAGGCGGCACCCATGCAGAAACGTGTGCTGCCGTTAGACTTGGCGATGCGGGCCTTCTCGAGAACGTCGTCAACGGGGCTCATCTTGGTTGCTTTCAATCCAGTGTCGTGGCGGGATGACTGGGCGCAGTAAGAGCAATCCTCGCTGCAACCTCCGGTCTTGATGTTCATTAAAGTGCACATCTGGATGGCGGATGGGTCATGGAAGCGACGGTGGACAGCTGCCTGGGGAGGTATTAGTGATTGTTCATCATCCCATTCTCATCTAATTGACTATCAATTTGATGGTTCCCATCAAGGATGACTCACCGAGGCGTATGTGAGTTGGTTCAAAGGGGTGTTATACACCTGGGCGACCTCCTCCCGGGTCCAACTCGTGCGCGGGGCACTAGCTGTGACTGCCTCGGCCAAGGCATTGGGGATTCTATTGGGGATGGCGGTGCTTGCAGGACCTTGAACAGTCCCGTACGACCGTACGAGGGACCGGGGGAGAGACCGGGCGATGGGGAGAGACATTTTGTGGGGGGAAGAAGGGGAAGAGGGGAGAGAAAGAGGAAAGAAGAAAAGAAGAAGAGGAGAAAGCGCTGGGGAAATAAGACGACAAGAAGAGACGACGAATAACACTCTGTGGGGAAAGCAGCAGCGATTATTGGTTCCGCTGGGCTGGGGACAACTTTAACTGCAGCGCCCTGAAAGTTAAGTAAATCACTTAAGTAACTCTTCGTTAAGAACTTAATTTTCTCCCAAGTTACCCGGTTCTCTCCCTCGTCTCGGCTGTCTGGGCTCTAGCTGGATTTCAGAACGGCCGATTTAGGAGCTTCTCGCTAGCTGTTGAGTAGGTTGACCATCACAATACTCTGTTGGGATCTTCACCCTTCCCCCTACTCCGTACGCCGTAATCTCCTTCCCAAAACTTTCCCTCGGAGATCACAAAGTTGGTCCGCCGATTGTAACCGAGCATTGGTCTATGCTTCCTATTTTATCTGATGCGATACTCCAATGCGATCAGCAATTGGTGTTGTAATTCGTCGAGTCACACCGTAAACGCTTGCGGCACTGGCGGTTCTGTTGAACCCCCTCCTCGTTGCGTCACCGTTTTCTTAGGGTTCCACTTCTCCCGTGATCAACCAATGATCACCCCCATATTTGAAGTGGAGGGGCGAGAACCAGAATGGTGAGGGTGAGCGTGTCCATGCCTGTGCTCATGGCCCGTGCTGATCACTGCCTTACAGCCCAGGAAGTGAATTCCGAGAGTTCACCGAGGGCCAATGCGGAATGTTTCGGCGGGAGAAAGTAAACCCAATGCCAGTGCCACTGATATACCAAAAGACTGGTGCCTAGTCGCATACAATTTACTACCATTTTAGGAAATTTCAGTTGCAAAAGAGAGAACCGTCATTATTCGTAATGCTAAACATAAACTTGAACACGCATTCATAGAATCATCATTAGTAGGCGGTGATCGGCCAGCGATCCGATTGTCCGCCCGGTTGCCCACCCGGGCCGCCGGTCACAAATTATATAAATCACAATACTAGCACCACCAACACATCGCTTCTCAACAAAATCTGGAGCAAACCAAACAGAATATAACAGCATGAAATCATAAAAACATGCGCTCGGGTCGGTTCATTCGAAAAGAAGATGTTCCTGGCTAGGAATTGCAAATCCGCAAAAGATCCCCTCCCAAAGCGGACGTAGCCATCGATAGAGCAAAAAGCATGTAGTTTCACGAGCATCAGTGCCCGGACCCCGAAGCAGAACTGAAGTAGAAGAAGCCAGACAGATTCAGGAGATACGTCATCGGCAGATCGGAAGGATGTGTGGGCACCGGAAAGGCAGGCCGGGGTGAGAGAGGTACGGTCGCCAAGAGACTCAGGGACGGGACGCAAAACATTGGATGTGCGTTCTTCGCTGATCTGCACTTGGCTTTCTTCAGCTTGCGTAGGTAGATCGGGGATGGGGGTAGAATCGGGCGTAGTGTCGAGGTCGGTGTGTGTTGACCGGGTAGCTACAATGGAGGTTGCGGTGTCGCTCTCAATAGCTAAAACAGGGGCTGGAACTTCTTGCAGATCTTCATCCTCCGACGCGTTGTCCAGTTCATCATCCTCGCGCTGATGTAAGATTTCAATCAGAGTTTCTGAATGAATTTGGGCTCGTCGGAAGTCCTGTACAAATCCCAGCCATTCAGATTTCAAGCTTTCCCGACGATTGCGACTATTTACACCATGTCGCGATTGAACAAGTAGATTGGACAGATTGATAAGATGCTGGTCGATCGTTTGCCCACCCCGCTCAAGTTGACCCGTAGTTTGAACAAGGATATAGCGTGCTTCAGCCAGCGTTTGCTTGCCAAGCGGGTGATTGCATGGCCTGGTTCCTCCAAGGATTTTGGTAAGCCCAAAGCACTTAACGCCTTCGCCGAGCGAAAGGTGGAGAATTTCTCCAAGAGAAAGATCGGTCGACATAGACATAGTGAGGGCGAATATAGTGATAAAAATAGAACAGTAGATAATGTACGAGTACTCCGTATTCAGCAGCTAATCTGATCTGACTGTAACCAGCGCGGATGCTGTGGCAACGACTGAAGACCGAATGAATTGCCAGAATAAACTGGATCTCTCATTTCCAGGACAACCGTCGCCACATTTATGTGCGACTGTATCGCTCAGGACGAGACTCAGCCTCGCGATGTGCCTTATTTAGAGCGCCCATATTTAGGGGAACCCCCAGTCCAGCTTTAGACCTACTCAAGTTTAGATCAGCCACACCACATCTTAAGCGCCCGGTCTAAGAGTGTGGTGCAGCATTAGCCACAGGCAGCAAGAAAACAGAAGGAAGAGACGGTGTAAAATGGGGGCCATTTGGGTGAAAGTGTGGTGGGCTGAGCTGGCGAAGGAATCGAACCCTTGTCTAGGGTGTGGCTGATGAGAGATGCCTGATCTTTGAGAGACCGGTGTTCTGTGCACGGTTGATTTAGTCCAGATGAGCGAGCGGCCCGAACCCTCTGTGGATTTGAAGTTGGAGCCTGGCGGTCGGTGCTCCAGGGTGACCGTATTTTGCTTTCAATCTTATCAATCCAGAAATGGAGATCTGCTGTCTCACGATTATGAATCTACGCTTTGTTTGAATTGGCACACCGAATTTGAACAAGACATGTTGGGTAGATGGAAATGCCTGCTCTAATTTCAGATCCTTGGGGGCTATGTCAAATGCGTACTTTTGAGCGACCAGGGTATCACCCTACCTCGTGATAGACGAGCATCGCATGCATTGAACGCCCCGCATTTGTTTCGTACATGACGTCAAATGAGTCCAAGGACTGAGACGATGTTATTCCCAGGCAAGACGTGGATCTGATTCAGAGAGAAGCCCAAGGGATGTTCTAGTCTAGGTCTGAGTGTGTCCGACTTTCGAAAGCAAATACAGTTTCTAGCAAAGAGTTTGAAGACTAAGAAATATAGAGCCCCAAAGAATTCTTTGTTAATACTTCATTGCTGCTCAGTATAAAATCAGAATCAAATCAGGAAGTACCGCGTACTGTTTATTATTTTCGTGAAGGACCTTCCGCGTCCTCCAGCATCTCTTGCTCTAAACTCGCGTGCACAAAAGCTGCTGTCCCGTGAACGCTGTTGTAAAGAAGAGGTTGCGAGACATAATACTGATTATTCGGTTAGCAGATCGATGATGTGGAGGGATGGTAACAACTCACCTCATAAGAAGCCGAAGAGTTCAAGCTACAAACAGAGACAGTCCCATTATAACCCAGCGTGCCATTCTCATTCTTGACCACAAACGCGTCAACAAGATGGTTATAGCATTTCCCCGCCGCCTTCCTTGCTTCAGAAGCAAACTTTTCAGGCAGATAGCCTAGTCGAGCCGCTTTGAATAAAGCGGCCGTAAACATTGCCGACCCGCTAGATTCGATGTAATTCCCCTGCTTGTTGGGAAGTGTCATAACTTGCCACCAACATCCCGTCTCCGGATCGGCGGCTGAGATCACAGATTCGGCCAGTTGTTCCAATCTCCGCCGAAGATAGTCAACTAGACGTTGGGGGAATGGCGACGAAAGTTCCAAGCCATCCACGAGTGACATTATATACCATCCCAAAGAGCGATCCCAGACAATTGGACTCGCTCCGGTGACTGGGTTCGCCCACGATGCAGTTTTAGACGCGTCATAGCCATGAACAAGGAGACCAGATTCGTTTTGGTAGCAGTGAGTCCAAAGCAGATCAAGTTGGTGAATGACATCGTCGGTAACAGATTCATTCTTAGGGTCGAAGTGAGCGGTGTAGGTTAAGAGGAACGGGACCAGAGAATACATTCCATCGAGATAGCTCCAGTTGGGGTACTCGAAGTACCAGTACCCCCCCGAGCGCATTTTTGTTCTGGAGGTTAATAGAATCTCGCAACGAGTGAAGAGCCTCTGAAGCGGTGGAAGTGTGATATTCCTCAAACTGATGCAGGAGCCCTTTGCCAGTGGACAGCCGGTCCAAGGGGTAACTGGTATCTTTTGTAGCATTTAGAAGATATGGCTTGATGCTATCTGTGCTAGTTTGCATGTATTTTTCCCAGTTGCTCTCTGCACAGACTGATCCAGGCGTATGATAGTAGTCGATTAGACGGATAATGGCTGACTGGAAGAAGCCCACTTGGAGATAAGTGGATGCCGATGGGCTTGACCCCTGTTCAACAACAGCTTGACCGCGCGAAATGACGCTGTCTGCCATCCAGGCGGAATATGGACGATTACAAGCCGAGACATCTCTGGCATAGAATAATATCAAGGCGAGTGGGAAGAATAAAAAATACATCTTGTTGTTATCAAGGAGCAGACAGGAAAAAGCCGACCGTGCGGACGTGTTCGCGCCTTGTCGATCATTTCCTTATGCTGTTGCGGGTTCCAAATGAAAATAACTGTGCCAAACAAACCTTGGAATTAGTATTATGATCGAGAATTAAACTGCGACAGCCAAGGAAAATTTTGTAACCATCACGCTGTCATCGGTACCCGGAACCACAACAAAGGTCTCAGCACTGTTATGTAGTCCGTATGTGAGTAGAACAGGATGCTGGATTGAATAGGATATCACCCCCAAGCTAGTTGATTTAGCCAATTATATAGCCCACAACATTCACACGGATGCGATCAATTCCCGAATAGCCAAAGGTATGGAGAGGTTGCACATGATGCTCACGTTCCATATTTACTGGGTAAAACTTTCAGCAGGGCTTTTCAGACTACAATTTTTGAGTTGGCCAAGCTATAAACGGGTAAGGATGCGGCACATAATTTATATATAGATCAAGTGGCGTATTAAAACCATGTACTACGATCATCATGCTATTCAACTTGGAAACATCTAAATATATAATACCGCCCTTTATTGATCCGACCAACCCGGAGATGCTTGGCTTCGCTTCCCAGTGGAGAAATACCCCGCTGCTAATTACTAGGTCAGTTGTCCTCGACTCGGGATGGCGCAGGATTTAGATGCACACCTGCAGGTAGTAAGCACTAATATTCACCTGGGGGGGCAAGACGCTGTGCATGGAGACGATATATGCTGTGCAGCAATTGGATACAGGCTATTTTCATGCCTGTATTGAGTCGTTCTACGAATGCCTGTTGTGCTTAGGCACCTACCAACTTGAATCACACTATTTCTGTACCAACAGAAAAATGACCAGGCGCCGAAGAGGATTTGCGTGATGAGAGCCTCAACACGATGGGTCATAGCAAGGAATGAATCTGGGCTGGCATGCCTTTTTACTGTACGAGCGGTATATTGAATTAGACCTGCAGGAGACTGACTTGTGTCACGCGATATGAGCGGGGGATCTTTCACCAACCTCCCTCCCATCTCCAACGCGACCGAGTGAAATCATTCTCCAGTCCGCAAAATCTTTAGGGCTTGCTCCACATGGATGCCGAAATCATCATAATCGGTGCAGGTATCTTCGGCCTCAGCACGGCTTATCACTTAGCCCAGCGCACCTCTGACCCTTCTGCCATCATCGTGCTGGATCGTGCGCCCCCACCGTCGAAAAGCGCCGCCTCTACAGATCTCAACAAGATTGTGAGAGCGGACTACTCAAATCGATTATATACAGAACTCGGACTTGAGGCGATTGAGGCATGGGAAAATAACCCGATCTTCAAGAATGGGGGTGTTTATCATCAAACGGGATGGATTATGTGTGACGAGAAGGGGAGTGATCTTGGACAGCGGATTCGCAAGAACTTCCAAGCCATTGGGCTTGACCCGATGCAAGAACTGAGCGAGGACGATGTTCGCCAGGATTGGGGTGGTCTGTTGAAAGACGCGGATCTCAGTCCATTTGGGTCGTTTTATTGGAATCCTCTCGCTGGATGGGCGGATGCCGGTCGTGCGTTGGAGATATTGGCTCGCGAAATCAAGGCGATGGGCGTGCGGTATATTGTTGGCGAGGCGAATCGACTCATACTGGGAGAGAATGGGGTGAAAGGCGTTGAGACTAAGTCCGGCGACAAGTTGACCGCAGAGAAGGTCCTTCTTTGCACCGGGGCTTGGACAAGCGCACTGATGTCATATACCGAGGATGCTCTCGAAATTTCCAGTGAGGATCGTATTGAGGCTCAGATGACAGCGGCTGGCGTTTGCGTCGCACATGTACAACTCTCAGAGGAACAAACTCAGTACAACAGGTTGCCGGTTTACGTCTATGGCGGACAAGGTAGGCCCTTGAACACTCTAATGCCTCTTCCTCGACCATGCTGACCCTGAAAATAGGGGAAACCATTCCTCCTACGCGTTCTGGAATTCTAAAATTTACCAGCTCATCCTCCTTTCGCAATACCATTTCCACACCAACAAATCACGCTATTTCTGTCCCAACAGAAAACCAGTCAGATGCCCCGAAGGGTTTACGCGATGAATGCCTCAACGCCATCCAAGCTCGTCTACCCCAGATACTCTCAAATAACCGCCCAGTCGATTACTATCGCCTCTGTTGGGATGCGATCACACCAGACCAACACCCCTTGATAACGCAACACCCACATCCTCATTTATCCAACCTGTACCTAGCCGCGGGTGGTTCGTTCCACTGCTGGAAATTCCTACCAACAATTGGTAAATACGTCACGAACGTCCTCGCAGGGATCAGCAACGGGGCCGACCGTGATGCGGCATGGGCATGGAAGTACGAGGGAACAAAAAGCAAGGGCGGGGTGCATTCCAAGTTGAAACCGGACAGAGAACTAAGGGAAATCCACTGAGCCGGAACCATTTTGGGCACTAAGTGGGGAGGAATGTCCATCAGAGCCAGAGAGTTATGCGCTTGCACAGCGACTCCATTATGCGGGGACGAAAAAAATGAGCCGAGGCTGGTCCAAGTCATAATTAGCACAGATCGCGTATAGCCTGGCGTGTACGATTCCCCGCATCCCCCGCTGAATGGAGCTCTAGTGGGCCTGAAAGTGGATGATTTCACACTGGCTGAAAGAAACAAGTGTTTCGGATTCGTTCATTTGACCAGATTCGCCATCCGTGCGGAGGGGATTCGTCTGTGCCGAGGATTGATTTCCAGCAATTTCGGCTCACGGCAATATACCTTTCTCCTCATTAATTTGACGACTCTGCTGACTTCTGTCTTTCCCTTAACGTCTTCCCTCTGACCTCCAGAGTTGATCCTGCCTTTCCCCCTACCGACTGTTCTTTTGTGTCATTTTGGTTCTTTCCCGATCATAATAAATCCATCGCCTGAACAGATTCGCCAAGCCAGCACACTGAAACTTCACGATGGACCTGGGTTAGTGAATATGGCGAGGAAGTGGAAATATCAACGGAATTATGTTCTAATGCCAATTTTAGGGACTGCTGCAGCGGCTCTCCTTGGAGGAACTACGGTCGCAGCCTACCTGGATGCCAAATTTCACATCAGGAAAGATGTCAAGGCCGTACTCACCCTCCGGAAGGGCGAACGTGAATATGCGAGCGCAGGTATGTCTTCGCGTGGGCTGGCTGGAATCAATAATTTGCTAACTCTCAAAAGTCAGTCGACAGAAGGGCAACCCGTGGTTTGTGCTCCTCGAAACTGCAAAGCAATATCCCAACATGACTTGTCTCTGGACCCGGGAAAGATCATACACCTACCAAGACGTACGGGAACAGGCTTGCCAGTATGCGCACTACTTTCTATCTCAAGGCGTGAAGAAAGGCGATCTGGTAGGCTTCTACCTCCAGAACCGCGCTGAGTTTATCATTGCCTGGGTTGGCCTGTGGAGCATTGGTTGTGCCCCCGCTGCTATTAACTACAATCTCACCGGTGATGCGTTAGTCCACTGCCTGAAGATCAGCGGGGCGAAGTTTACACTTGTTGATGAAGATCCGACCTGTCGTTCGCGTGTGGATGAGGTTCAAAGTACACTCACCGGGGAACTGGGAATGCAACTCGAGACATTGGATGAGTCCCTGAAAGCACGAATTCGCTCGTACCCGACCACTTTCCCGCCAAAGGATCTTGCGCTCAAGGTGGAAGGAGAATTCCCAGCTATTCTACTCTACACATCTGGTACGACCGGTATGCCCAAGGGATGTGCTTTCACCATGTCTCGACTGTACACTATGCTGTTCGTCCGTCGTGGATCGATGAATGATACCGTAGGACCCCAAGGGGATCGTTGGTACAGCTGCATGCCACTATACCACGGCACGGCTGCGATCAGTTTAATCAGCTGCTTAGTGGATGGCGTTAGTATTGCACTAGGCCCCAAGTTCAGCGTTCGCAACTTTTGGAAGGATGTCCGAGAGTCGGAATCGACGGTTTTCGTCTACGTTGGCGAGACAGCTCGCTATCTACTCGCACCTCCTCCATCACCCCAGGACAAGAACCACAAGGTTCGCTGCATGTATGGTAATGGATTGCGCCCCGATGTCTGGGAACAATTCCGTGAACGATTTGGCGTTCTCGAAGTAGGCGAGTTCTTCAACAGCACGGAGGGTATCTTTGGCCTCTTCAATTACAATCGCGGTCCCTTCACTGCTGGGAGTGTTGGTCACCACGGACTGATAATGCGCGGTCTTCTCCATAACGTCTTTGTACCGGTGGCAATTGACCCCGAGACTGGTGACGTTCTGCGAGACTCGAAGACCGGATTCGCCGTTCGCGCATCGTACGAGGAAGGAGGAGAAATTGTGGTTAACATTCCAAACCAAGAGGCCTTCCAAGGATACTGGCGCAATGAGAGTGCAACCGAGAAGAAGTTCCTGCGCGATCTCTTCAAGAAAGGCGATCTATATTATCGCTCCGGTGATGCGCTTCGCCGCCAAAGTGATGGTCGCTGGTACTTCCTCGACCGTCTTGGTGACACTTTCCGCTGGAAGAGTGAGAATGTGTAAGTTGTCGCATGATATCAGTCTTATTTCAGCCAAACTAACCAAGGTCTCTTAATAGGGCGACTGCTGAAGTCTCCGAGGTCATCGGAAAATTCCCTGGTGTTGCGGAGGCAAATGTCTACGGCGTGAAACTGCCCAACCATGAAGGACGAGCCGGTTGCGCCGCACTACAAATCACGCCCGAGGCGAGACAAACGTTCGACTTCGCTGCGCTCGCGCGTTTCGTTCAATCTAAGCTGCCTCGATATGCGGTCCCTGTCTTCCTTCGCGTCGTGGAGAACTCGACGCACATCCATAACCACAAGCAGAATAAGGTCCCACTACGCGACGAAGGCGCGGACCCGGCGCTCAGGGGCACCAAGGTGGCTGATGGCGGAGACGATAACTTCTTATGGATTGCCCCCGGGGAAAAGGACTATTCGCCTTTTGGAAAGGAAGAATGGGACAGGATAAGCAATGGCCAGGCAAGACTTTGAGACGGCGGTTTGATATTTAGTTTTAAACTTGGCTAGATAGTATATATGAATTAAGACCATTTTAACTTGAAGTGATTATCCCTTGTAGGTCCAGGCGGTTTCTGAGAACTCCCTCGTGGTATAGCTACTTCAATCTGTGATGTCAGAGAAATGACTTGAGAATAGGGACATGCTCCGATGTACCAACTTCCCTGTTTAGTAGGAGCCGATGCATGGCTTGGTAGGATAAAATGCATATTCAAGAATCCAGGCTGTTGAACTCATCCAGCACACTTTTTGGCTTCTGGTATGGCCCCAGACTCGTCCATTCCATATCCAAGCCAAAGCCTGCTGGTCCGCCAACCTTGAGTCCACGTTCGGTACCACTCCATAATGGGTGTGCTGGCATGCCGATCACATTCACGCGAAGTCCGTATCGAAGCTCCGGAGAACCAATTGCTTCACCATCCTGTCCAAGTATTGAAATTAGGTCAGGGACAGTGCAAATAACCTCGTGTTGAGACTTGTCATTCGGCTTATCCGGGTTGGCGTATGCGGCGTAGAGAAACTCATTCTGGAACGGAATTATCAGGCATCGGCTCTCATTCGTGTTATTCGCCTCGGATTTCTGGGAGCCTGGGAGATATTGATCCTCTTCGTCGCTGTTGAGGGGCGCGATCGTGCATTGACCCATTGTGTAGCCTCGACTGACGTCCCGCTTAACATCGATAATCTTGCCGCTGTAGAGGAGCCGACCTGGAGTTGTTTTGAACTAAATGGAGTGAGCTTGCCGCTTCTAGAAGACTGAAAAATAATTCTTACAATGGCCTCGATGAGGTTTTCCTTCGATTTCTGTGCTTTATGCACTGCACGGCCGATGTACCAGGCCTGTGACACCGTATTTGGGATCGCGTATTCCTTGATGGCCCTGCCACTCAAGGGCGCACATGAAACTGCGGCCATTAGACCGAGATCCACGCACTGTGTCCGTAGCATGCTCTCAACACGCCCATTTGATTCCGCGTTCTGTTCGCTGTCAATAAAAATTTCACCACCCTGAAACCGTAGACTCTCACCAGTACAACAGACGCATTCCCCTTCCCGTCTGCAATTACACAGGGGGGTTATCCGTTCTCCATAAACGTACGGGGTGCCTGCACATGTCAGTAACCAGCCATAGTTATCAAAAAGGGTGGTACATACCGTGCTCAAGAGTTGGATATGCTCGACCCATTAAATCTCCATCAATAACGGGGATATCGTGATGAACACTAGTGGGGAATGTAGACAATCCATTGCCTCCCCCAATCTCATCTGCAATGATCGCCTCGAAATGCGACTGTCCTGACAATTTAACAGAATAATCAATTGCAGCTGTTATCTCCGTCCCTGCAGCCATCCGTTCCCCTGAGACACTTGGAGCTCCGTACCAAGACCCAAGCACGCAAACGTCCGAGTCTTTGAGAAAATTTGGGGAGACCACTCTCATCTTTCCTGATGCACCAGGCTTCCTCAGACTTTCTAAACATTCCAGATACTGGAGATATGAAGATCCGCCGCCGCCAGTGCCAAGCACTCCGGTTCCTGTTGCGATAAATTCAAGATCAACTGGTGAGATGTACCACACACCGCCACGTACATCTGGTCTGTATGCCTCAATATTTATGGAAGAGGAGTGTTTGACTAAGGATTCGAGATCTTGAGCGGAGGAGCTTTGATTAAATTGTTTCTCGGCCTCATCCTTGCTACCCTCACTAGTAAAGTTGGTGAATTTGCTGGAATTTGCATCAGTGGCAGCGATGGTGCTGTTGCGATCTGGTATTGCCAGACTGCCGACAGCTTTGACAATTAACCGAGTTGCTTTGTTAGTGACATATTGCAAAGGGAGTTTATCGATCGCCACAATTCTGACATTCTCTCTGTCCGCACCACGAGCGACAGCCGCGTCGATCGCTTGGCTTTTAGCCTTCTCGAGGATAGCATTTTCATCTTGGTCAGCGAGAATCTCAATAAAATCGACCTCACCAGCAACCTTGGCAATAGCTGCGCCAACAGCATTTGCCGAGTCATGGTGTGGTGGAATAATGCATTCCGCAACACCTTTGAGATCATCCATCTGAATGATGGACCCTCCACCAACAAGTAAAAGGCTGATCGGTAGATCTGAAACCTTCATATCCTCTACAACACGTTCGAGGATCTTCTTTATCTGATTCCGAGCCCCCTGGACGACTTTTGCAGGTATTGCCTTAGCTTTGCTCACATCCCCGATTTCCGCTTTGCCGGACGCGACGACGATATCTGTCGCGGTCATAACGTCTCCTCCAAAAACAATCGCCTTGGTGGTTAGATAGTGACCAACAGACCCAGGTCCTACATTGACCCGATCCAAATCAGCATCATAGGTGACAATGCTACCACCTCCCAGTCCAGCAGATAGAACCTCCGGCATTGAGAAAGCAGTCCTCACACCGCCAACCTCCACAAAATTCGGCGCTTGTCGAGGAAATCCGGACGGAAGCAATGCACAAACATCACTTGTTGTGCCGCCAACGTCGACAACAAGAACTTGAGTATCGGATTTCGCAAGCTTGTTTTCACGGTCGAGCGATGCAAGGAACGCGGCCCCGGTCATACTATTCGTCGGACCTGAGGCAAAAGTTTTGATCGGCAGGTCTGCAGCCGTGGCAGCATCCGTGAGTGTTCCATCGTTCTGCGTGAGGAAAAGGGGACAATCGAGGCGAAGTTTCACCATTGCATCACAGAATGCATGGACAGTACGTTGAGCTAAATTCAAGATCGAAGCGTTTAGTATGGTCGCATTTTCGCGCTCAAGAAGGCCCACGCCTCCGATTGTATGCGAGCAAACTACCGACAGCGCTGGGTCTAACTCCAGCATCAGGCGCTTGACTGTCTCTTCATGTAGTCCTTGGTGATCAAGCGGGGAGAAAACTCCTACTATGGCGACTTTGGTGACTCCTGCAGCTTGAATGGATTTGACTGCGTCCTGAACTTGATCGGGGTTCAACGGTGTTATTTGACGACCATCGATCTCCAGTCCTATTCCCAGGGAGTTAGCTCAAGTGGAAATTTTGCTTTTTCAGAGCTCTGCGCACCTCCATCTAGATAGAACAAAGGGCCGCACATTATCGCTTTCAGAGTCGGAGGGAAATCTGAAAATGGCGGAATCTATAATATGATCCGGGGACGGAAATTAGCCTGATGACTAGATTGGCATATCACGCTTTGCTTCTGTATCACATTATACCTACCTGTCTTGTAAAAGGTCCACATAATCGGATCACAGCAACCTTGCTCAACCGTCGCGCATCAGCCTCAACGACAGCATTAACGAAGTGGGTCGTCCCGATGGCGACGCTGAGAACATCTTTACGGTCGACCTTCGATTTGGACAAGACATTCTCAATCGCGGTGTAAATTCCCGATGTCACGTCGGTAGTTGTTGGCGTCTTACTCGAAGCACACACCCCGCGCGATACCGAGGCGGTGGCAGCGATGTCGACGATGGCCGCATCGGTGTTTGTTCCGCCGACATCGACGCCGATACGAAAGGGCCCGGAACCAGCGTGGGTCATGGTGTTGGTGGACCTGGGATGGGATGAGATGGCAAGATAGTCGACCGTAGAGTGAGTATTGTACGGGTAGTTGGCCCCTATCTAAGCTGTCATGAAGAAATCGCTCAAAGCTGGAGATTTGCTTGGGGCTTTGTAGAATCCCGGAACTTTTGACTCCAAAGGGAAGATTTATAAACAAGAGATATGACCCCGCCCCGCTCATGTTATTATCGAAGACTCTCCCGATTGAACAAAATTACTAGCACTACTACCTACATCCATCTGAATTTATTCTAACTACTGGATCAGGTATGATTTTCGTTTGGATGTACTTCCTTTTTTTGGATCAGTCCTTTTACTCCTATCGTAATAGTTTGCTCGGGTGTTCCAAGGTTCCTTTTAGACTAGTTAGTTTGGCTCTTTGTTATCGCGAAGGTCTGGCCACCGACCAATCGTAGCTTGAATAATCGAGCGGGGAACTCAAGACCATAACAAAGAACGCGGGGTGGAATACTAGTATGTCAAAGGGAAGATAAGACATTACTCTCGATCGGCGTTTCTCGTCTCACGCCTGCTAGTCAGCCGATCGCCGTCTTTGCGACTCCTTTGTGGTCGGCTAAGTGAGAGGGGGTGGGGGTGTAGTACACTGTATTATTTTCCCTTATTCAGACGCGGTGCTTATGCTTATGCTTCTTACATTTTGCACATCACGGTTTCCTCACTCTGACTCCCCTCTTCAACCGAAACGATGAGGGTAAAGGCATTTCTGCGAAGTCTCAGAATCAAAGACGAAGGTGGCCCATCTCCGAATAGATGGATTAACAACGACATCAAGCCCATCGAGGCGGAACGCCGAACATGGGGCTTCTGGACATTCCATAACTTCTGTCAGCGATATTCCCCGACACGACCGATTCCTGGCTCAGAACTGACACATTCAGGGGTACTTATCAACTCAAATATCTCATCTTATATGACTGGAAGCTCCCTCATCGCCTTGGGATTGACATGGTGGCAAGCAATCATCTCGATTGTCATTGGACAAGTAATCGCGACGGCGCTTGTCGTGCTGAATTCGCTTCCCGGTGCTTATTATCATCGTGAGAAATCTCCACGTATTCAACACTTAGCAAGGAGTTGTGCTTATCCGCGTTATTAGTTGGATTCCCCGTTGTGAATCGTTATGTTTGGGGTATGTACGGGAGCACATTTGTGATTTTGAATCGGATTCTTCTATCTATCGGTGAGTAGACCAGCATATTCCTGCGCATGGTCCACTTGACACTTAACATTCTGACCATGATAATTAGTTTGGTGTAAGTGAGCCCCGTCACCAAGGCCGCAGAATATTTCAAATGATTGACCAAGGCAATGTCATCTAGACGGCTTTCAAGCCTGGATAGGCGGCGAATGCGTCTACGTATGCCTCCAAGCAATATGGCCGGACCTCGAATCTCGCATTCCAAACCACCTCTCTCCATCCACAGGAACAACAATAGCCAATTTCCTCGGCTACATAATATTCATGCTCATCTCGCTACCGGTAATCTACGTGCGGCCGCACAAACTGAAAAACCTCTTCTACGGCTCCGCCGCAACAATCCTAATCTTCGAACTAGTTCTCTTGATATGGTCACTTGCAACAATGGGCAGCGGTGGATTTGGCTCAACGATTTCCGGCTCCGCCTCGTCAAGCAATGGCGAATCATCCGGGTGGATCATCGCATTCGGAATAATCAGCACAATCGGTTCGATTTCGGCGGGTATTCTTAATCAAAATGATTATGCGCGATTTGCACGGAGACCAAAAGACGCGGTTTGGGGCCAGTTGATTAGTTTCCCCTTTTACGCTATTATATGCTCTGTTATTGGGATTCTTGTTACTGCTGCGACTCAGGAGCGATACGGCGGTGCGATGTGGAATTTGCCTACTCTGCTCAGTGCGGTTATTGAGAATGGCGGGTCTAGATCAAGGGCTGCGTCTTTCTTTGGTGGTGCTGCTTTGGTGATTTCGCAGATTGGTGTTAATGTGCCGGGTAATTCGTTGGCTGGAGGTATTCATTTCACCCCCCTAAAGCTTCGCTTTCGCCCGCATTCAAATTGTGTTGGATTAATCTACCAGCTTTGGGTAGATTATCACATTCTGAATATTGCTAATTTTGAAATAGGATTCGATATGGCGGCTACTTTCCCCCAGTACATCAACATCCGTCGAGGCGCATATCTGACCGCGCTCCTGTCCATCGCGTGCAACCCGTGGAAACTCGTGAATACAGCGACGACCTTTCTAGCGGTATTGAGTAGCTACTCAGTCTTTCTGGGTCCGATGACAGGACTAATGATCTCATCTTACTTCGTCATCAACAAGCGGAAAATCAAAGTCGATGATCTATTTGTCGGGGACTCTTCCAGTATCTACTGGTATACATGCGGTCTCGACTGGCGCGCCGCTGTAGCGGTGAGTTATAACTATAGTTGACTCCTTCCAGTAAAGCGCCAATATAACTAATCACTATCTGTAGTGGGTATGTGGGACAGTCCCCTCGCTACCTGGATTCGTCGCGTACGTGAGTCCAGGAATCTCGGTTCCTACTGGATTGACGCATTTGTACTATATTTGCTTTTTGTCCGGGCTTGCGATCAGTGCAGCTGTATACTGCACGTTTCACTGGCTCTTCCCCGTCACTGCCGTTCGAGACTTCGTGGACACTGCGCCACCTGCTCCTGTTTTGATGCGGGAGTATCGGGAGCGCTGGGATGGGGTGGAGACGGAGAGTGATCAGAAAGCTTGATTTGGGAAGATCGCTTCAAAACGGTTGTCACATGGAGAGTCTAGAACATGTGTACCCAATCAGATTGAATGTTCGCAAGTTCTTTGATGCAGCGGTGTGTGTTTATTGGGTTCCATATCATGGGGATGCTTCGCTTCGAATTATACGAAAGAGATGGCCCCATAATGCGGCAGGGGTCATGCGTGGTTTTTTGATGTTTGACAGCCCACGCGAGAGCTCGGGTTTAAAGAGATGTTCCATGATTCCATGCGTGGAGGCTCCAAGAAACATGGGGAGCCGCCGGGGTTTGGTTGAATCTGGGATCCCGTCGAAGCGATTGGACAAATATACCCGAACCCGACTCGGAGATCGATGAGATGCAGACGTGCGCTAGTCTAGAGTTGGACTATGGAAAATCCGAGAGACCAAGAATAATTGAAAAACTGCCATGTTGTCAGGTTTATCCCCGAGTGCGACGTACAAGCGATATTAATCTATAGTACTGACTCGGAGTAACTAACCGTCGAAAGGATCGTACGGTTAAGATCATGCGGCTAATTCCTACCATGGCTCTCAGTTCCTACTTTCGGTATTGTCCGAATGACCAGAGTAATCAAACGCTGAAAATTCTAACACGAACCGTGTGCTCTGTAGTCCGTACTCCGTAACAGCCTACAGCGTCCAGCGTATGATATCTCGAATTTTGGGCCAGGGAAACTTCACCCCGTCACATGCCAGGTTGTACGGCCGACTATCATCTAGACTGCATCGAGTTAGACCGGCCGAATGCAGCGGAGCTGAGATTGGGCTGTGGGTTTGGTTGATTGCCCTCACTAGCGATGCAGCCAGCAAGGAGCGGTAGGCAATTCTTTGACACGCCCAGGCCGAGGGCTTTCCAACCGATTCAATCGAAAGTACTCGTACTGTAACGGACCGGGGTCGACGCCACGGAGAAATTCAAGCGTTGCCACCGAAAAAGTCGGTTCACCGAAGGTAAACGGGGGCTCGGCCCCCAACACCCAACGCAAGGTGTGGTCGGCCCCACCGAACAGTCTCAGGGTTAGACTACTTTTAGTGGACCGACGGCCTGATCAGCTCTGGGTCGATTCTGGGGTCTGGGGTTTTCCCCGGGACCCGCAAGGGATGGGGATTTTGGAGATGGGAGGAGATAGGGTTGTGCGATCTGAGGAATGTGCCAGCAACAGCCCCTGATATATCACCACCACGCATTCATTCCGCACACATATCGCACTCTCCTCGTCGTGATCTCGGAGTTGGTACTCGGTAACACTCCGTTAGCCTTCTCGGCACACAACCGTGGCGTCTGGAGGACCATGCCCATCCGTCCCATGAGGCGTTGGTCACATCCCGCAAACGGGATAGCTTCCTAGGGGAGAGTCACCCCGCTCAAATTCCACCAACCACGGGGATGGCGTGACAGTCAAGGAAACGATCGGTTGCTTGGACAAGCTTAGCCGGAAAAGTCTCGGCTGAATGTAATTGGATCGTATAGTAGAGAAGCCCTGGGCTTCGGTTGTGGCTCTGGGTCAGGCAGCACAAGCTTACCCCTGTAGCACCGGATGGGAAATGAATCTTAATCGGGCTAAGGCGTACTCCGTAGGTAAATCCTGGACCGATGCAAGTGATTTGAATGGATTTGATTGGTCTGGAGTGCGGCAGGGTGTCATTTGAGGTAAAAATCCACGATGGTTGTGAGGTGGGAGTTGTGACTTGTGAGGGAAAAGTGCCTTCCTTCAAATAAGGCCCGCCTTCTTTCTTTCCTCCCCGCACTCTTCTCTTCTTCTTCAACCTCACTCCTCCTCCTCCTTTTCTCTTCTACCTCCTTCCCAGAGATCCTCCCTCTTGCTTTGTTGATAGGATACTCTCGCAATGTCCGAGACCAAAGGCTCTTCGGAGCTACATGGCAGTGAACATGAAGATCACGCCAAGGTGGAAAAGGTAGAGGTCCACCAAGATGAAGTCCTCCACAACCCTGAACTCATGAATGATGCCTTTGAAGGTGAGAATGCCGAGCATTCGATGGGCACTTGGGAGGCTGCCAAGAGACATCCCTGGGCTTGTTTTTGGGCTTTCATGATGTGCTTCACTATTGTGAGTTTCCCCCGCATTTCAACGCGCTACGCTGCGATGCACGACAATGCGCAATTCTGGCCCCCATCCGTGCGAATCCTCAGCTGATCTCGTGTTTCCCCCCAATCATAGGTCATGGAATCCTTCGACATGTTCTTGAACGGTAACTTTGTTGCCCTCCCCTCCTTTCAGAAACATTATGGTGTGCCTGATGGCAAGGGTGGCTGGGTCATCCCGACTCGCTGGCAGAGTGCCCTCTTCCAGGCTGGCCAATGTGGTGCTTTCGTCGGTGTGTTCCTGGCTGGTCCGGTGACAAACAAGCTGGGATACCGATATACCACTCTGTTTGCCTTGGTGCTTATGAACGCCACCATTTTCATTTCCTTCTTTGTGAGTCGTCCACTCCTTTTAGCCTCGAAGCTTATCCCCGCTAACCCGAGACCCTTTTTTTCTTATTTTTAGGCCAATTCACTTACTCTCTTGACTGTTGGTCAAGCACTGGAGGGTGTTCCATGGGGTTTCTTCATTGCTAACTCCCCTGCCTATGCCTCGGAGATTGTCCCCATCTCCCTGCGTGGTGCCTGTACTGCCACTCTGCAGATGAGTTGGTCAATCGGCTCCATTATTGTTGCCGGTGCGACATATGGTTTCAACAAGGGTACCGACGAGTGGTCCTGGCGTATTCCTCTGGCTTTGCAGTGGATCTTCCCTGTGAGTTCTACCTTTTCATGCTCCTTTTTATCCTGCATTGTAGACCTAATACTAATTGTTTAGACCCCTCTTATGATTCTCGTCTGGTTTGCGCCGGAATCGCCATGGTGGCTTATTCGCCGCGGCCGCAAGGAGGAGGCACTCCGTTCCATCAAGCGTCTTGGTACCAATGATCCCGCCGATGCTCAGCGCAGCCTTGCCATGATTGAGCGTACCGTTGAAATCGAGGCTAATATGGGTGGCGCCCCTACTCTGCTTGACCTGCTGAAGGGTACTGATCTGCGCCGAACCATCATTACCTGTTTGATGTATGCGTCGCAGAATTTCGCCGGTAACCTGATTGCTAACCAGGCCACCTACTTCTTCGAACGTGAGTACACTCTATAACTTGACTGATAAAGCACTCAAAAATAGTCATACTGACTCCCGAATAGAAGCTGGAATCTCCCCCGACCGCGCTTTCCAACTCAACCTGATCAACTCGTGCCTCCAATTCGTCGCCAACATCCTCTCCTGGTTCCTAACCTCCTGGTTCGGTCGCCGAACCATCTACCTCTACGGTACCGCAACCAACATCACCCTCCTCGTCATCCTTGGTATCTGCGCCTCCATCGCCCAGAGCAGCGCCACCAACTACGCTCAAGCCGTCCTAGGAATCTTGATTTCCTTCGGCTACGCCCTCTCCCTCGGACCCATCTCATACACCATCATCGCCGAGACCTCCTCCGTCCGTCTGCGCGCCCTGAGCACCGGTGTCGGCCGCGCTGCCTACTACGTCGCCGAGATTCCGATGATCTACCTCGCCTCACAGATGCTGAACACCACTGGCTGGAACTTGGCTGGAAAGTGCGGTTACGTCTGGGCTGGTACTGCCGTCGTCTGCTGGGTCCTTGCTTACTTCGGTCTGCCTGAGTTCAAGCACCGCTCTTACCGTGAGCTTGATATTCTGTTCAACCGCAAGGTTCCGGCCAGACAGTTCAAGAAGACTGTCATCGATGTGCGGGACAACGAGTAAGAAGATCAGTCATGTTACTGTTCTATGATTTGTTATTTTATGTTATCGGGCGGATGGAGATATTAGTCAATATTCAATACCCGTTATGAACTTGAATTATTGAAGCCCCGTTTTGTATTTCTGTAGTCATGTTGGTTAGGGGGGATTCATTCCCCGAGTTCATTTAATAGAATACATTAAGTGACTTGTACACTGCGAAACTCCTCAATTAGCTGACAGTAGCCAACAGTAGCCAACAGTACTCCAATTCCCGATAAGATTTAACTGGACACTTCTATCTGTAGCCTGATGCACCCCACACCTCCACCTCCGCCTCCACCAAATGCAGATCGCGGGGTAAATCCCCGCCAATCTAGGGTTACACGTGGACGACGCAGCTGGCATTCTCAAAGTAACCCTGTGGCTGGTCATGTGTCTCACTCGAGTCAGACTAAAATTCTAACTTTGGAAGACTATTTTTGGGGGCTTAGGAAGGGTCCAGGGCTTGTTTCTTTCTGGAAGTGCTGGGGTCTGAGAACTGGGTAGGTTATTTGGTTCCTACTTGGTTATCACTTGGACTACATACTATCTTCAAAGCGGGGATTATTCAAGTTGGTGTACTATTAGTATAAGCAGGAACTTGTTTGCGGGTGCAGTGTATCTAAATATTACTACACGGCGATTTATTGATGGATTTTCATCTCCTTCAAGCTTTTTCCTGGCTCGTCTTTTTGCCCATCATGGCCGCTATGCAGGAGTAACAACGGGGACGGCATGGCAATATAGTATGAGGAAGAGGAGGAGAAGTTGGAACTTTTTATTGATTACTGGGATGATTTTCTTTTGTGTCCCATTTTATCTAGATTAATTTTGCTGGCCGGTGGCTCATGATTACCTACTGAGGTACCTGCTAAGCTAGATTTGGATACAGAGAGCGTGTCTCCCAAATTTTATCCCCTTTAATAACTCCGAGTCTTTCTGCTTATTTATGTATATTATCTCTATTCATTCCTTTTTCTATTTGATATTTCTACCTAGTATATGCTCATCGATGCTTCTATACAGTTAGGTAACAATGGCAATAGAACGATAGTGTGAGTTGGCAGCGTCATCGTGACAGCTATGAAGCCCAGCACACTCCTTTTAGAAAACTGACATTTTTGAAGCATCCATCTTCACTTTATCAGTCTTCCATCCTTCCACTGCGCATATTGTATTTGATTCGACTTCCATTCTATTCAACAATCCACTCCACTTAGGCCTTCATCATCATGCCAGTGCAAAGTTCCTTTCAACGCGAAGCCATCGAGCTATATTTCTCCAAGGAATACAAAAATGGCACCAAACCCAACTCCCGAGACAGTTTCTATATGGAGGCTATAGAATATCTACGCGAGGTTCTCGTATCACGGCTTGCCTCCAAAGGAAATGTTTTCCTGTGCCAGGTCGATGATTGTGTGGTCACAGCTGTACGACAGGGCCTTGGGATCAGAGATGCAAATATTGATTCGATCCAAGTAACCGCATTCACTGAGACAATTAATTGTCCAGTGGAACATGATCGCGGCGAAACATGCAGTCATTATAGTATCTGGATGTGGGTCGTTTATGATGAGTCCTACCGGGAAACCTTTGACCCGAAAGAGATATCTCTGGTGCAACCACGAAACGGCACCCATCTTAAATATAAACAAATGGGACAACTATCCGATGCCGTTGAAGTATATCTTACGGGAAAACTGAAAGGCAAAGGAAAGGTTGACGACGATGATCTGGATTCCGAGTGTGGTACGCGAGTGCCGCATCTGCATAGTTTCCCTCATTTAACTATTGTGGACGTACGTGCTGAAGATGACGTTCGGGAGATGATCTCTGAGGAGTATGAGAAGATGAAGAGGGACCATGATACCCCTCGGGAGGACTCTGATCTTGAATCTTCTCGTGGGTGGCTTGATTCGATTAAATCTGATTGTGTCACTCAAAGCACGGAGGTGGATGAGCAGCATTGGTGACTGCGAGAAGTGACTTTGTCGCTTTTTATCTAGCTTGATTTTGCTTTGATATTAGGTGGCTTATGAGTGGTAAGGAGATATATTAGCTTTAGTAATACGAAAATTGTTTCTCAATGAACTATTCCCGTTTAAGGCTGGTTTGCTATAGGATTCGGATACCTACGGCGCTCCATGAGCGCAGGGTGGTCAGTAGTTGTATATGTACTCGTATAGCGGCATTTTACACTGGCATCGCAAAGTATTCCAAGCCGTTGTTGGCCGGTCTAGTCCCGCCTAGCTAGGGTGGACTAGTAGCTATCTGAGATGGAATAGAATGGCCAATCTATTCCGTCTCAGATAGCTACTAGTTTGCCATTAGAAGGCGATCCGAAATGGTTGGCAATAAGGACCCCGTAGTTTCAAAACTTTGCGAAACCACTGCAAAAATACTAGGTACCCTTATACACAACTGCTGACTGCCTTTACGGAGCGCCGTAGATAGCCAACTGGCATTTGGCGTACGCAGAGCAAAGCTGGTACGAAGTTCCAGCCCTATCAGTGACAATGCCATTCGGAAACCAAGACTTTTGCGAGAGCGGTGTATATGGAACAAGTAATTTTGACCATCTCTGAGTGACGGCGTGAGGGCTATATAACCGGTGGGAATTCGTTGACCACTGGCAATGAGCGCACACCTGGCGGAGAAGGAATTTGGAGAAAAGTTGCTGCGTACTATAGTGGCGTCCAGGGTGTTGGGACTGATCCAGGGATATCCTGGATATTTTGCGTGTTCATAGATGCAAGAGATAGTCGGCAATAGACACTCGAAGACCTTGAAGCAACCTTGAAATAGTTGATCATATGATGATGGATCATGATAGTCACTGGCGTTGACAGCTGAGATTCGGAGCTTCCATATTATGCCCAGGTGACCATAGATGTTGCCGGGGTCTCATCGGCTATACCGATGGCATCGATATGTGTTTTGTTTGAGAAGATACGCTACTCATAAAAGAGGTAGGATCGATATGGACGATAATCGCAATGAATTCAACGAGTTATGAGGCATAATGGCCGTAGCATATCATCGCTTCGACTTGTGGCGATCGAATGGATAGAAAGGAAAAGTACTTGAATCGATTTCAGGAACCGTATCAGAGTTTGTGACATGAATTCACTCGGGCATTCGCTAGAGTCATTCGTGCGAGGATTCGCTGCGAGGCGGCTGGTAGGGTCATCGGAATCCTCCATAGTCTGGCGCTGCCAATTGGGGCCGAAGACACCGATCTTTTCCGAGACTGTATCCCCAGGAATATAACCCCGCGTATGTAAAAGAAAGCCCATTTGTATAAATCGACAAGGACTTACCATGATTGGGAGGAGGAGAAGAGAGAAGAGGAGGAGGAGGGGAGGGAACGGACCCCGGCTCTGGTGAGCCATTTTGGTTTCGGGGGGCGGTGATTTTTGAAAAAAAAAAATGAATTCAGGAGGAGGCGAGTATCCTACCAGGTAGCAAACGAGTAGAGAATCGAGTACGAAGAAGAAGAAGAAGAAGTGGGAGTTGAAGCTATCGTGAACTTTTGTCCACCTGGTCGCTACTTCCTTCCCTACGTGCCAAGCTACGCTCCTCCCATCTTTGGAACCCAAGGAAATTTCTTCTTGATTACGTATCAGATTAGCTACTTGAGTAGAGACTAGGTGTTTTTTTCCAAAATCCCCCCCCCCCCCCCACCCTCCCTTCTATAGGAATTCACGATCCTCTGTTGACTTTGCTTCACGATTGCCAAATCGGGTGGCACTTCCCCATGCGCTCGGGGAAGCAAATTAAACCCCAACCGCGTCAGAATATTAATATGAGGATAATAAATTGAATCAAAATGCATACTCAGATCAATCAGCTTTCTGAATCTTGTTCCAGGTTGATTAGGGCGTGTATATTGGGCATAGGACACTTCCACTCTTCTTTGGCAGGTCAGTCAAAGTACCTCGAGATTGGGCTCGTTTCGACAGCGTACTCAAGACCATGACGATAGTTCCTAAAGTAATTCCTCGCCTCTGTTTTTTTGGTGGCTCTTTGTATGGAATGTACCAGAACCTTGGGGGTTCCCAGACAAATGGCTTTCCCATTTTATATCGGTCTTTCGTCAGATAGAACAGGTTGCGAGAGCACAATTCCTCGAACGACTCGGGACTTTGGCTTTCGAAGCAGAGGCGGGGACTTTCAGTCATCATTGAATGGGGAAGCTTCTCAGGACGACAGCCTAAGCACCAAGCGGCACGGATCCTCCATAATGGGTCCTCGTAATCAAGGCCCTGGCCGAGATTAATCCACCTTGTCATGACCAAGGCAATCATGGAATTTCCTTCAACTTGAAAGATTTCAAACGCGCAAACAGTGTTACATCTGGAACAGGTGTACGTAAATTGCAGTTCTTTTCCATATTTGAATGCATCCAGTTCAGACATTATGCTTGAGAGTTTAGTGTGGAAACAAATCTCATAAAGCCTCATTGGATTTATTCCTCCAGACATTTTCAGATCTTCCCATGTGGGAAAGAGCACCATATCTTGCATCCTGATATAAAGCCCCAGGGGCTTAGGGCATATTTGTGCTTCTATTGAGAACAATGTAGGAATGCACGAGTATTTCACCCTTCCAAAGCACCCGGTGTCGCATAAAGGGTGAAAGTAGGGACGGACTTGCGTCCACGAGAGAGATTCAATATTGATACCAGATGTTTTACCATATTGAAATCTCCTCATTGCGAGCTTAAGCTGGTGATGAGAAAAGCGACTTCGTGAATGATTGAAGTTGCTATGAGTTCTTAAACTCATTGTTGCCCCTTCACGAACTTCATCTGCCCAAGTGTATCCTTTGTAATCGCATTGAAGTCTGCAGGTTTTCTTATGCGCTAATCCGCTCAGTCCAAAGCTTTCAGAGCCATCGTACTTGTGTAACGTTTGGCAAACGTAACAAGCAAAGTACTGAGGCAAATCTCGCTCGAACCGGGCGAGAATAAATAGCTTTTTCGCCCTCGTAAGAGCAGTAGAATACGGCCCATAGGACATTCGAGAGAGCGCATAGAGTCTTTGGTTGCAGAGGGACAGACATTTGAGATCGGCAGGTGAAAGCATGTCACATATTCCAATATTAGCTCCGGAGGGAGGCCGGGTAGTGTAGTCATGCCATAGATCTTGGGGCTGATGATCTCAGGGCAGGGCACGATGAATGGCCGTGTATGGCCAGATTTGACACAAGATCGTAAATACTCCATCACTATTAGGCGCAGGGGCTTGTAGGAAATCTGTAAGACTGATAGTATGAAAAGGAAAGAAAGAAGAAAAAAAAAGAAGGAAAGAAGGAAAAGGTACGGAATAAATCGACAGCAGGCCGACCGTCTATGAGATTTACTTTGCGCAAATTTCACCCATGGATCCATACCACTCCGATGCCATTTATGGTGAGGAATACCAAATTCGACCATTGTCCTGAATAGCCGCATCAGAACTACGTCAGGGTATAGTACAGGGATTTTCGCGAAGGCTGGGGCCTTTCTACATTCCCAGATAAAATAATTATTTGTATTGCGAATTAATTTCCAACTTGCGTTCAAGGGTTGTCAGCATCTGAGTAACTTAAAAAAGTGAGGTGTTGCTGCCCGAGGCAATCGCGGCCTCGGACATCCAGGTTGAGGCTGCCGTGGCAAGCGACCATTCATCGCCTTCTGGCAGATTATACCCTGGTTTGCCCTTTATATATACGAAAGACACTCTGCTTCGGCAAACATCAAAAATCACCCCTTTTTTGACGAACTGAGGCGCCGCTAAGCGAGGTGACCACCACTATCAAAACCGAGTCGTTTCACGGCTCGCCCTTAAGACGAGGCCTCGCAAACAACAGCAATATCGGCATCTATGCCAAGTCTCATCGAGGATCTCCAAGAGTAAACAACATCAACCACTACTACCGACAGTCTAGCCACGGCTCGGCGGTCTCCAGAAATTAGCGACAGCAAACACGCTCCGAGAGCGGGAGGTATCTGGACAAAACATTCCCGAGACTCTACTCTACCTTCTGCCTCTTCGTTCCTACCCGATCCACTACCTCCTCTCGTATCGGCCAACTTTACGCCGTATCGCGAGCAAGTGTTGTGGGAGCTCGATAAGCAGACCAAGGCTGATCTGATGGTCGTATACTTCCATCCAGCTACGCAGGCACCGGTTAGTCTACTCGAATTTGGGCTCGCAGCGGGGGTTCCGGGGAAGGCTATCGCTGTGTGTCCTGAGGGTTACTGGAAAAGGGGGAATGTGCAGATCGTGAGCCAGAAGCTTGGGGTTGAATTGTTGGATGATGTTGAGGAGTTAGAAGGGGCTGTTATTAAGAAGTTATTACTTGTCTCACAACTATAGTACTATGAGTATTCTTCTTCTAGTATAGTTGTATAAGTCTAGTTTCTAAGGATCTTTAATACAGGTCCAGCTCATATTTTGTTGGAAAGATTCTCCATTGGCCTTGACCAAGGGCTTGAAACGGGCTTCATGATATTATTGAAAGGCTCTCCTCCAAGAGGTACGGGTGGAACTTCTGGCGTCAAAAGCTGTCATTTTCGGCCTCGATTACATAGGTCCCCATATTCTAGTTGCAATCTAGGCCATAAAACATTTGCTTGAAGCCATTCATTACTACCGAGTCGTTTGCAGTTATGGAGATTTATGATTATCATCGGAATTACGCCACTAAGCTGCGTGTCACTGCTTTGTAAGAAGCCTTTGCATTTTTTCAATGGTAGAGGAAAACCTAACTGAATAGGAAAAGCCTTACCGAGGACAAGTACAAGTAGAAACCCCCATCTCATCCAGAAGCAATGATTCCCTGATATTCCTCGGGCATAACCGCCCGTGTGGACAATAAGAAGGATTGTATACTAGTAAAGAAGGTTAGTAAATATCAATCGCACTGTGGTCTTCAACTCTGACATCAATATATTTGACTGATACAATAGTATCACGCATAATACGTA